ACAAAAGTTAACTGGAAAAACGTCACCCAGCAAACATTTGACAGACAGAGAATGGGCCAGAAAGTCTTTAGCAACAATTAGCACTCACCTGTCGATGTTGCAAACGCATTAAAATTTTTAGTGAATGCACCAATCCAAACAGTTAAAAGCTACAAATCATACAACATGTTGTCTACACAACGGGTTTACACACATCACTTCAGAATTCATAAAAGTGAATCTTTCACACACGCATGCACACTCACTCCCACTCGCTCGCTCTCTCATAAACACACAAATGTATCTGCAAGTTGCAGTAACATATACAGATTCAGATACAAATGTAGGCAACAACAACAAACAACAGCAGCAGAGACTGCTGCAGCATGTCGTAATGCTGTTGATGTAATAAAAAAAGAGCGCAGCAGCAGCCGCAACAACAATGTTATCAACAGTAATGACCAGGAAAACACAATGACGAAAGAAAAGCTTAGCAAAACAAAATGTGACAAGGAACAATAAATTAACGTGACGACGGCCAAGACGATAGATGATATGGTGGGGATGAGAAGAGAAACAGGAATTTATGGTCGAAAAATACCTGTTACTCGATTCCTGATCATAACCAGTAATCAAGGGGGCTTATTAATTATGTTTAATGCTTAACTGATTCTAATCATACCTTCGTTTATATATCTTTTCTTTTTACGAGTTAATATTCTCTTCAAATTTCTTAGAGCATAATTCATAACATAATTAAAACAAACAATAGTAAAATAAAACTCCATAAACTTAAGCCTTTGCTGTTAAAAGTATCTGTTCCCAGGTAGACTAACTATGAACAGTTTTCGCTCTCTCGGAGAGCGCCTAGATGAGGACAGAACACCCCGCAACAAGAGAGAGAGAGCAACATAACAGCAGGAAAGCTACTGTAGCTTGGAGCAGACTCTACTATACCCTTTCTAGATGAAGAGATAATAAGGTTTAATTGAAATTCAGGTAATGAAAATGGTATTAAGTGAATGATAGTTACCCAAATGAACCGCTTTTCTGGGAATACATTTTTATTAACGATTTTCGTTTCTATGACAGCTAATCCGATTTACGACTGATATGTTGATAACTTTGCTTAGGGTCAAGAATTCATCTTGTACATCTGGCCAACATTTTAATAACTCAAAAGGGGATTCCGACAATAAATGTAAGCAGTGGCTCTTTGTTTTTGCATAATTTACATACATACATACATATCTACATACGATGTAGAGGCTTTATCTTTATGCAATGCCAGTGTACCTGAGTGAGAGGAGGCGTGACGGGGGCGGGTGCTGATTGCAGGTTAATTCTACTCTCACCGATCCTATTGTTGTTGTTGTTGGCTCCTGCCAAGCCAGACCTACACGTCTGGCAAAGAAGACCGAAACAGGAAAATGAAAAATAATTGAATTGTAAGGCAATGTTTACAGGAGAGGAAGAGAATATCCGGACAGACAGACAGACGGATAGACGGAGAGAGGAATCGCCGCCGCAGACGTTTGCAATTGCCAATAAATAAAAAAAAAAAAAAAGGGGGGAGGAGGGGGAAACAGCCACAGCTGGAGTAATGGCACAACAGCAGAAGATGTACCAGCAGAGCATAATTTGCGATGCAAATAAACGGGGGGAATGTGCAAAGCCCAAAAAATCATGGTGCAGAAAAACAGAAATGAACGTTAAGTGGCATTTACCTGGCCGGGTGGACGGATAAGCAAGGAGGAGGGTCGGCGGCTTGGGGCAGCAGGTGAACGTGCCCGGTTTACAAAACAAACAAAAGGAAAAGGTCGTCGGCAAGGTGGGTGGCAAGCGGGAAGGGGAGGAGGCGGGGTGGAGAGGGATTTGCTGCCACAAATGTTGCCGTTGCAACATCGCGACCAAAACGTAATCAAATCATAAGAAGGTGGCAAAGGAACAATGGCGCCTTTGGTCTAAGACGCCTGCAAGAGAATTAATTCAACTACAGTGAAGCTCCCATAACTAAGATTAAAGATTACATTTAAAGGAAATATAATATTTTAAAAATTAAATTTTATTAAACCATTACATAGTTTAGTTTATAGTTTTTTTTATTAATTAGTTAATGTCCTTTCCGTGGCATTTAATGCATTTATTCCACACAAATGTATATTAATTAGTGCAATTCCCTTGGCTCAGACAGGTGATGATTTCACGTCTCGTCGCCACCGCCGTTGACGGTTCAGTCAACCCATTAAGGATATTAAATAAAAAAAAATATGGAAAAACATGGAAAGGGTTTCCCATCCAACAAGCCTGCGAATGCAAGCACTTAAGCCCTCAAATGAATTGTGCAAATATTTGTGCAGGCAACGTTTTTTTAACTTTGCACAGCACACGCCACTAAACAAACCCATTTTGTACGCATTATTGATCATCAAGGAGCGAGTTTCAGCCCTCTATGCCTTTCAAAAAGCAAATTAAGAGAAAAAATGTCAACAGCCAAATATTTGGACAAGTGGCTGACAGTCCTTAGGGATCAGATAGGATCTGTGGGACTTTTTTCAGGGGGTGGTGATACCAAAAAGGGAGAATGCATTTAGCAGAAAATCGATCCTCTAATGTGGATAAAAAAAAGGTTAATAACCATTAAGATATTATCAAAATCGATACCCATAGCATCATAATCATATCATCATTAAATACCCATAGCATCTGGAAAATTGGAAATTCCACCATGGTTATCATATTAATTATGCTGGCTTATATAACACACTTATAACATCAAAGGTCTAAACTTCACTGTAACTGTAACTGTAACTGTACTTGGTCAGTGTTAAGACATTTGGCCAAGAGTCACAAACAATAAAACGCAATAACGGGCCACGTGTCGGAGCCATGAATATGTCAAAATCAGGCAACACGCGACTCCCAGGGATTCTCATCGACTAGATGGGAAAAACGACGACGACCCACCAACCCACCCGCACACCCAAACAAGGTGTTTGTTGCTGTTGGTGACCTGCCAGCCGGGTGACTATCCTGCGGGTAAATTAAATGTATTGCCGCAGGGAAAAGGTATTTGTCCAAATGATTTTTATGGTCATTTTAAATAAATCGCTTAGGTAAAATGCACTTACAAAGGCAATACACCACCCACACCCACACACCATAAATAAGCCATCACAACCGAGGGGTAAGAGAACCCAGCATAGTCATCACAGCACGTGTGCATTTCGGTTTTTTTATTTATTTTTTTTTTAGTTCCATCGACTTCTGACAACCGGTCATAATTGAAGAATTCAAGAGGAACGGAATTGTAAATTATCACCCACCCATCGACACATCGGCCCATCGGCGGGTAGAATTTCAGCAAGTTTCCACCACCATCACCACCATAACAATATTGTAAAAACAGCATGAGGTGCTACTGTTGGATGTAGTTGTTTTTTTTTTATTTATTCTCAGGGTTGGGAAACCCCCCATGGACGTTCTATTAAGGATAGCAGTTGCAATTTGAAACTAACAATCGGTGGCGTAAAAAAATTCAGAACAGCGGTGGCCCATTGAAACTGTCAAAGTGTGGCCAAAATGGTTCCGTTTGGTTGCGGTTCCGTTTCCAATCCCAAACCCCCCCCCCTGCCGGTTATATCACATTCTGTAATGCGAAATCAATAACCCGGCCATTAAATGCAAGCTAGTCACGTAATGCAATAGATATGATGTTTATTTCGTTATGTAGACTGATTACCCGACCAATCGAATGTGTCATTTCCTGATTTAATCAATCAAACCAACCACCTCCTTTTCTGGGAAATCTCAAAGCAATCGAGGCCCCAGGAAGACCTTGCATCTCCCCAGGTTCTGGTTCCGTGATCCATAAAATCAACACAACCACATGTTCTTTATCGTCCAGTCCAGTCGTTTTAGAACAAATAGTCGCATACTTGGAGCAAGACATAAATCTATTCGCACCATTGACCGGCCGAAATTGAACATTAATTAAAGACTAGAAGAGCCATATAAAAAATATAGATCCTCCCCGTCAGTATATTTAGAGATCATCGCGGGTGTGTGTCATATGCGAAACAATTTCAAAAACGAATCACTCGAAATAGAAAATAGACGCTGACTATGAAGGTCTATAAATATTCGCATCAATGCAAACACCAAAACTAACATAAACACACCTGAGACCGAAGGCGTTCTTTTATATTTATGAGAAAAATAATATCGGGAATAGAAATATATATATAAATTATTATATTTGCTTTGGTTTGGTTTTGAGGGGCAAGCCCCATGGCAACATATTTTCGTGGTCAACGTCACGGAGCACAACGGACCCACTGGGATGCCAGGAATTGTTTTTAGAAATGTGAATAATACGAGAGGTATGGTAGTTCATAAGTGCAACCCATTAAATCATCAAATGCATTAGTGAAATAACTTAGCTTTAGGTGCTAACACACTCGACAACAAGTCCATTTCCTAGTTTTCCAAATCACCACTCTCTTGAGTGATTCAGACACGTGGAATAAACAATTTAATTTTTGAATTTTGAAACAAAATAAAACACCCATTCTCTTAATTTCTCTCTTGAGCGTTTTGGGAGGGAGAAAGCTTTTTGCTGAGGCATATTAGCATCATATTTATATTTAGAAAATCATTTGGATACAGTTATGGAACATTTCGAATGTGTTTTTCTCGACCAGGCCAAGACACATACACAGAGACAGGCCCCACAAATCGGACAAAAGGATATGTATGTATATTTTGAGAAAACTTTGTGCGTATGTTGAGCAATTATTTTCACGATGTTTGTCGGCGGCCGAACATGTCGGGGCTCTATATATAGACCAGATGAGGTGGCTCAACTGACTCCCCAACCAACCAACCAACCCACAACCAGGTAGCCAGCCATCCATCCTAGAGTCCAAAATCTAGATGCAGATGCTCAGGTATTTGGCCATTCTCAGGTATGCACACCCAATTAAATCAATTAAAACTACGAAAAAACAATTTTGAAATCATTTTGTTTTCATGGAACCCACTGGGGCATATATATTATTGTTGTTGTTGGATGTTATGTGCGTGAGTGCTCTAGTGTTTGATGAATATGTATGCGATATATATATATTTATATAGTATATGCCATGGCTCGCATCCGAATCAGAATGCAAGAGATTAGAGAGTGATGTGTGTGAAATATCGTTGAAATATCATTATAAATAATAAAGATTTCGTAAGTGTATCGTAAGAACTAAATCAGCTAAATATACAACACATCATATATCATTCAATATCGTTCAATATTAAAAAAAATTGTCAATAATTGGCACAAAGTATGCTTTCTTTTGGGGTATTTGGTTTTGGAGCAAAATACATACTTGGCTCGAAATCATCGAAAATATAGATATATATATTATAAACGACTTGGATCGCAGTAGTTGCGCTGCTTCCTTCGCTAGATCCCTATATCTGTGGAAACCTGTAGAAAGTTTTCCTTTCCTTTCTGGTCGTTGGGTTAGTGTATTCGATGGTTAGTTTCGCTTTTGAGTCGTAAGTTCTTTTTGGTTTTTGAGTTTTGTAAGTTTTCAAATTTTTTTTCCATTTATTAGGTTTTTCTTTCATATTTTTTGTTTGTTTTGTTTCAATATTAAGCTTATTCTCACATAACCTAAAGAAAATGATTTGCAATTACTATATATCGTAGTACTGCATCGTTGATCAAAAATCGTTGGAACGAAGACAAACGAAGACTAAGTTAGCTAAGTTTTCTGGGATGGTTCTGGGGGGGATTAGTCATAACAGACAGGTCAAAATTAGACAAAAATATCGGAACGGAACGGAACGGTTCACAGACATGGATGTGGGTTGTGATATTTCGGTTTCATAAATTAGAACCACGATTTAGAAGGTGGTGAGAGCGCCCGCGCCCAGACCGTAGCCCACGCCCTTGGGCCCGAAGTTGCGGCCGTAGCAGGCGCGGCAGTAGATGTCGCCATCGGGTCCATCGTTCAGATTTGTCGAGTCGAGCGATTTCCGGCAGTCCGAGCAGTAGAAGCAACGCTTGTGCCAGATCCGGGTCTTGCTGATCATCTGCTCGGCGGCGAACACGGCGAAACCGCATCGCGGGCATCCGCCGGAGGTCTTGGGTCCGTTCAGGGGACGGCCGTCGGGGAACTGGATGGTGCTCTCGCCGCTGGTGGAGACCAGAGTGGGGGCATGTCCGTAGCCGAAGCCCTTGGGGCCGAAGAGCTTGCCGTAGCAGGCGCGGCAATGGATCTCGCCGTCGGGTCCGTCACAGGCCAGCATGGAGTCCAGTGGCCGGTGGCAGTCGGCGCAGTTGTAGCACTTCTTGTGCCACACCTTGCCCTTGGACAGCTGCTGCTCGGCAGCAAACACGGCGCCGCCGCATCGGGGGCATCCCTCGCCCTCACGGGCCTTGATGGAGGTGGTGTCCGGGTTGTAGAACGGCCGGTTGGCGCTAATCTGATCCTCGGTCAGGCCATCCGTCTGCAGGAAGCCGGAACCGCAAGCGAATCCGTAGCCGTGGGGACCCCACTTCTTGCCGTAGCAGGTGCGGCAGTAGACGTCGCGATCGGGTCCGTCGCTGGCGTTGATCGAGTCCAGGGTCTTGTGGCAGTCCTTGCAGTTGAAGCACTTCTTGTGCCACTCGCGACCCTTCGACAGCTTCTGCTCGGCGGCGTAGACGACACCACCGCAACGGGGGCAACCCTCGCCGGGACGGGCCTGGATCTTGTCCACATCAATGGCGGCACGGATCTGGGGAGCTCCGTCGTCGTGGGCATAGCAATCGGACTGGAGCGCACCGCCACCCTGACCATAGCCATAGCCCTTGGGTCCGAACTTCTTGGCGTAGCAGCCCTTGCAGTAGATGTTCTTGTCCGGAGCCTCGCAGCACAGGATCGAGTCGAGACCCTTCTTGCAGGTGCCGCACTTGAAGCACTCCTTGTGCCAGCTACGGCCGCGGGCCAGCATCTGTTCGGCGGCGTAGACATAGCCACCGCAACGTGGGCATCCCTCACCCTCCGGAGCACGGGCAATGGCACGGGGTTCCAGGCGGGCTCCGTTCCTCACCGACGGTGAATCGCCGTTCTCGCGCAGGAACTGTGATCCATTGTCCATCGAAAGAGTGCCGGCTCCGGTGCCAAAGCCATAGCCCTTGGGACCGAACTTCCTGCCGTGGCAGGTCTTGCAGTACAGCTCGCGCTCGTGCTCTGTGCAGTTGGTGGAGTCCAGGGATTTGTTGCACATGCCGCACTTGAAGCAGTTCTTGTGGAAAACATAGCCACCGGCCAGACGCTCCTCGGCGGCGTAGACACTTTTGCCGCAGCGCGGACACTTGGGGGCCTCGATCGGTTGGAAGGAAGGCATTCTGTCTGTGTGTTTTCGGGTTCGGTTTACACTATCAAAATGATCTACTCGAATACAATATACTTATTATTATCTGAAAGTGCAGAAAGAGAACTCATAAAGTGGCAGTCGCGGACGGTATCTCTGATGGTGGGTGGTGGTTGGTGGTGGGTGGCTGTGGGTGGCGATGAAAGCGATGGATGAGGTAAGCAAAAGCACCTGCCAGTTCCGAAGGCGTAAGATCCTAATTTTTTTTTACCTAATTACCAATATTTTGGTATAGAATTTCCAGCTAAATCTATTTTATGGAAGCTTAAATAAACAATATTTTCCAAAGTTTATTGATTTTTTTTTTGGCGAATTAAATTCTATTTTAGTTTCTCAGAATTGTAAACATTTTTTTAAGATCGTTTTTTTATGGTTAATATAGCTCTTCAGTTGTCATCATGTAGATCATCTATCAGAAATTCTTATCCGTCAGTCTAAACGTCATCGCCTGTGCTAGAAAATTACCCAACCGGACGTATACGTAATACATATACAAAATTCTTATGTTAATGATCAGAGAAGAATATCTTTCTCAACAAACAACAACCAAAAAAATTGGGATAGAATTCTTTGAATCACAAGAGGAAAATCGGAGGAAAAACATGAGCAATAAATGTGTATCTATACAGAATATTTTCGTATAAAAATAACACAGACAGGTAGAAAGATATGGCGAAAAGACACAAAAAATGACTATGACCGCGACTATGACAGATATAGTATATATATTTTTGTATATCTAATACTGACTCATCCTTAGCCCTGGCTAAAATATGTTGTTATCTGACGAGATGAGGAGGTGTTAGATGAGGTGCAAGATGGTTGCAATATATCGGTTAAACGATGTCAGTATCTACCCAGAATAGACGGATATAGGTACACCTGGGTGTCGGACAAGAACGGAACCTACAAAACGCACTTAAACCACACACGGAAGCGCCGAGTACTGAACTGGAAGATTGCTCAAAGCAAACTAATCTATATAATAGTGAGTGCACACGGCACGGCACGGCGGATAGCTGAGTTTTTCCTACTCAGATCTGAGTTGAGAAACTTTAGATGCGGCAACAGCAGCAACAGCTTTAGCAACAGAAGCAACACGGAGCACTTTTCCCTCACGATACATTTTCATTTAATATCGCCAGAGAGTGTGGAATGGAAATATGATTGTGTTGGTAGAGTCTGCGGTTTTTCAACCTTTGTTTTTTATTTTTCTCGAAAAAGTTTTTCATTTCATATTCTCGGTTGGTTCACTTGTGTGTTTTAATGTCCGATAAGTTTGTGGGGCTAGGATGTTGTGTGAAAATGTTTTTCCTAGCGGGAAGCGGAGTATCGCCAGATCGTAAAGTCAGAAAAAGCAACATCTAAGAAATTTTAATAATTTGTTTACAGTCCCTAGGAATTCTAGAAAAAACCCTATAGTTTAATAGTTACAATCCTAATACTAAGTAAAAAATTAAATACTCCCCACAGACAATTTAGATGTCATTGAGTCCACCAACAGCTGCAAAAAAAAACTGTTCCACTAAAAAAATCCGAAATCTATAAATAAGAGTGTGTGTGGGAAAAAAACTGCTTCCTCCGTGGAGCCACACATTCCGCTTTTTTAATTTTTTAGGTCAAATTATGGGCCAAATTACACACAAGTTCTAAAATTAAAAAACCGAACGCTTGACAAAACTTCAGGCAGGTTTACACGACGATGCATTTTTTAGGCGAGGCACTGCACTGGATTGTGGAATTATATTGGTTTTGGGTTCGTCTGGATGATGATGATGATGATAGACGTCTGGAATATTTACTTTTCGTTCGTAATAACAAAATTCGCTAAAGAAAAATTCTTAATTTTAGTTTAGCTTCGATTAACAACGATTTTCGACTGATCGCGCTGCGAAAAATGTCAAGCGCTTTGAGTCTTTGTCTGCACACGGCACGAATGGGGGACGATGATGTCGCCAGAGGCAACCGATAGGGATGACTATATGGTCGGGTCGGTCATCATAACAACAACAATACATACATTAGCCATTAGCCCACTCTCTCCGCCTATATGTGCTTTCATAAATTTCATTTATGATCGTCGTCGAGTCGAATTTTCCAGGTGGCGGTTGGACATGACAAGGCGAAAAGAGTGTATCTGTATCTGTATCTTATATTGGATCAACAAACACGGTTCAACTGTCTTGTTCAAAGTCGCTATCTGTCGGACCGTGTCTCTCGGATCATTCGGCACTTCAACAACATCAATAAATTAACATGCGCATTTGCATTTAATTAAATTTCGATAATATTTTCGCATGCATTTTTGGTTCAAAAGAAAATTAATGGGGCATGGGTACATCATTGGGCATCAATCAAATCGGCCAAATGGAAATGGACAAGGAGAGACCCCCAATCGAATGATAAATACCCTTGAAGCCGATCAAGAACTTGTTCTTAGGATTAGCAATACCATAGGTACTTAGTTTTTCTAATAATTTTTTAATTGATTTGAAAATAAACATGATACAACCTTGAGGAATCATTAATGGGATTAGAAACACGGAATTCTTTCTAAATGCAACGGGTGTGGAACACCTTTTGTATAATTAACGCTCACCTTGCGCTTCAGACAGAATATTTTACAGAATTTCGTGTAATTGCATTTTCCACTTAAAAATATTATACAAAAATATTGGCAAGACGCCTGCGTCCAAAACTTTTTGGATGATGAGGGAAACGAATATACAACTACCAGATCCTATAGTTATATTCCCTCTCTTGCGGGGATATGACATCGTGTACACAAGTGTAAACGATTATGGGATCCATCATTCAAACAGCAACATTGTATACAAAATAAGAGATGAAGGGAATTCTCAAGAGATTTTTGGAGCTATCCAAACTATCTCAAGAGATAGAACCAGAAACTGTGCCTCAAGAGCCAAAAAGCTTTTTCTTATATTTTCATACTCTTTCAGTGAGGTAATAAAGTTGTTTATTATTCTATTTATAGGCAGATTTCTAAAAAATAAACATTCGGTAGACTTACCCGTTTCGAACTCTTCTCGATTTCCTTTTCAAAGTCTGTTAGAGGCGTTAGAGTGACCTGCACATCCTTGATAATGTCCCGAAAAGAGCTGTATGAGTCGAAAAAATAATTAAAACTAATACATAAGGACTTATAATTTAAGAATAAAAACAAGTAGAATAAAAAAAAAGGTCTCATACAGGGTTAGTGGTTAGTTATATCTACAATTAATGAAATGGTTTTTAACAATGACTGTATGCCAAAATTAAATTATTAAAATATACTTCTGGTCTGGCTTTTAAATTATTTTTTACATGATTTTCTCTAATATTTAACATTAATCATTAATTTTAAAAATCAGACCACTCTAAAAACTACAAATTTGGAAAATTGTAAATTGTAAAAGACCTTTTCTTTCCCATTCTCGATCCCCACCTATTGCTGTCGTCCAAAACGGACGCCGAGATGGAACCACTTCCACTGGACTTTGCCGAGTCAGCTTTTCGTTTCTTTGATACCGAATTCGATGATGAGCTGCTGGTGGACAGGTTCGTTGATATGGGATTACCACTTGTCGAGGACGACGACGACGAGGAGCCGCTTTTGTTGGTGGTCAGATTGGTGGCTGCCGTGGACGAGACACCACCCAGGCCCATGCCGATAATCCCGGACAGATTGCTTGCCGACGAACCAGCGCCGGGCAAAGTGTCCCTGTCTAAGCTTGAATTACTGCCAGCACCGAAGTTGGATGAATCGTTTGGGGCTGTGCTGGAGGTGCTGCTTCCAGATCTGAGCTCCGAACCGAACCCTGAACTGCTGGAGTTCAGTTGAGGCCCCAAATTACTGGTCATTTGCGACTTTCCGGCGGTGATGCTTCCCGATCCTCCACTGGTGCTTAGATTCTGGGCATGGTTCGAGTGTTCGTTGCTTGAGTTAGCCGTGGAGTTAATGCCACTAGAAGCCGAGCTGGTCGAATGAGTGCCGGTCGCTGCTGATGCACTGCTCGAGGTCGTTGTAGATGAAGTGGGCTGGGTGCTAATGCTGCTGGTGGTGCTTGTGCTGCTGCCACTTGGCACTTGTGAAGAGTCTTTGCTTTTCGAAAGTTTCGACGATGACTTATCCCGAGAAGATGAAGAGCTGGAGGACGTGGAGGTGGCTGATGAATTCGAAAAGCTATTGTTAGCTGAATTGCTTGCGTTGTCCTTGCTATCCTTCTCTTTGCTGGAAGTGGATTTGCTCAGACTCTTGCTATGTTTATCCTTGTAACTGCTACTGCTGCTGCTCGAGCTGCTAGCCGATGATTTCGTGCTAGGAGCTGGCGCGGATGACTGACTGGTCGTCGATTGAGATGCTCCACTGCCAGCAGTTGGTAAATGCGCTCCACTGGAGCTCCCGCTAGCCGAACTAGACGGGTTGGTGGTAGATCCGCTTCCGCCTGTCGGGTTGTTGCTTAAATTAGTTCCCACATTGCTGGTGCTGCTACTGCTTCCAGGCAGAAGGCTACCTCCAGCCGGTGGATTACCAGAGCCTCCTGTGTTTGCAGAACTAGATGCATTGGCCGCCATGCCCGTGGATGAAGAAGAAGAGCTGCTGCTGCTGCTACTGGATGACTTGCTCGAGGCATTGCTCTTGCGCTGTTTGGACGACGATGAGACGCCGCCACTGTTACTTCCGCCGGAGATACCCGCTCCGGAGTTGGTATTGAGGGCACTGCTTGTGGCATTAGTTCCGCTGCCACTGCTGCTGGTAAACTTGATGCTCGTCGCCGATGTGGCCGACGAGTTCATGGTGGAATCGATCTCCTTTTCGGGTGACGAACAGGAATCGGAGGAGGTGTCATGTTGAATGGGTTTGTATGGCGGAATGGTTTTGACGTTGCCGCCCTTTTTCTACAAAGCACACAAAAAATAAGCGGAAAAATCACGAAAAATATCCCTCACATACGCACCAGCTTGCTGTAGTGATGCTGGCAATAGCCGCAGTACTTAACGTTGTCCAGATAGTTGCCGGCCTCCTCGCAGAGCAAACCCAAGCTCTGGGCACAGGTCACATGAAACTGCTGCTTGCAGTTGGACTTATTGCACTGCATACAGGCGCCGACATTGGCCCGATTTGGCTTGCCGATTTCTAGGCAAATATAACAGGCTAAAATAAAAATAGATGCAGGTTATTATGTGAATCCAGGACTGGAAATATGTGTCTCACTCTTTGAGTACCGCTCCTGCGGTATGAGGGTCAAGATGATGGGCTCCATTGTAGTCACATTCCCGAAGCGCACCTCCGGTATGTAGAGGGCGCAGACGACATGTGCCCAGCCGCTGTTGTCCGTCTTCTTCAGGGCACCGTCACGGGAGGGGCACAGCTCGCAGCGAACGCGAGAGGTTCGCTCCTGGGATTCGCACTTGCGGCAATACCAGGGCCCTGTGGGCACGGTGACAATGCCGTAGCACGCCTGGTGAACCGCCACCGTACAGTTCTGGCCGTCACAGTAGACGAGCGGGTTCTCCGGCCACCCCCGCTCGTCCGAACATACACAGCAGCCGCCCACCATCTCCTTCATGTCGTCCAGCTTGAACTTTTTAATCTTGACCAGTTTTTTGTTCAAGCTTGCGGAGTGAATGGTGTCGTCTTTGCTGGAGTCAAGCTCCAGTTTAGCATTGAATGAAGATGGAATTTTGTTGGAACTGTGAAGGATAAAGATCTATCAGTAAGGACATCCACAAATACCCCCCCAACAAACACTCAATAGCACTAGTTCAAGATATGTATTTATAGAAAAAGAGGTTCCGGCCTTTCGAGTTATTATCGATGCAGGTGTCAGTTTGCAAGGTCATTCGCACTCGTCCACTCGCAACAACAATAACAACAGGCCGGCCTTTTGCAATATTACTTAATTGTGCACATGTTTGTGCATATTTACAATTTTAGCCTTCTGTGCGAGTGCAAGCGAGATAGCCGATGAGCTCCATTCGCAAAACATTTACACGCGTATATAAACACTAACACACACACACACACACAGACACAGTTGATTCTTTCAATGTCAAGGTAATTTCGCCGCTATTTAACAAAAGCACGCGAATTTTTTGGTAAACGATTTAAATGACTGCCGTAAACACATAAACGATGCCTCCGAATATTGATATTATATTTATCGCCGGGTAATAAAATCCCACAACAAATTACTTTTACGGGTGACAAGAATTAAGAGACACGCATACACCGAAACACGAGGCATTCCATAGCTGAGCTGGTTCATTGAACTTGAACAAAATCGGATCCCAATATAAACAAAGGCAGCCGTAAATAAAACAGGAAAATGCTGCATTACAAGAGCCCATTCCAATTGGGAGTCTTATGTAGTTCGAGCGAGTGTGCGAGTGAGAGGGCAAAGATGTGGGTCGCAGCATCTGCAGAGATTTCTCAGCAGCAACAACAACAACTAATACACTAATAATAACAATAACGGCATGCGGGTGTTGTTCACTTCTCCATTCATGCAATCTCGCGCATCTCGGAAAGAGTGCGGGTCTGGTTATACCGTTATTGGGTCAGCATGTTGCCAACTACCGAAAAACGCAGCCAGCCAGCCAGCGTGTTACCAACTGGGCGAGAGCTCCATCTTAACGGTGTAACAGAACTAAAAAAAACACACACACACACACATGCACGCACGAACATGAAACGAGGCCGTTTTATGTTTGCATTTGAAATGAAGAGACGACGATGGAGCAGGAGAGGAGAGCAATGCACTTTCCACCAGCACGCCTCAAACACACACACAGATATATACATACAGCTGGGTTCAAATTAATAGATAAAGGTTTTAATTAAACTTATTAAAGGATTAAATTGATAAGAGCCTCTCTGAAAGAGTGTTACAATTTCATCTCATCACTTTAAAAATTTCATCCAAGGCACTATTGATTTGACCGCAACTGTATATACACGTACATACACGAAACGCCGGAAAAGGGGGCGCGTTTTTGGGGGAGGATGCCAGTATGTACTCCATATATTTCCTTCGCCCACAAGATGCCTGCATTTGGGGGAGTTTTGGGAGGTTGGGGTCTGTGCTGTTCGGGGTGGGCGAGGGTGGTTTCCCAGTTCCGCTTTCCCATTTAAAGCACACCAGAGTCACCGTTAAATTTACATCACATTTCGGCGGAGAGATATTGTGTGTATACCCGTGGCTTGAATTTATTGATTTTTATGGGCAATTGCTTTAATTTCACTCCCGAGCACGGCTTTAAAACGCTTTAAAAACTAGTTTCGAGCCGAGAAAAATGCGCGCGGTCAAAGTGGTCAAGCAACGCAGCATACAACAAAAACAGAAACGGAAAAAATAAAGAAAGAACTATCTCTTTTTTTTCAGGGCAGGGCGGCTGGCGGCAGTGGGGTCCACTAAAAACTTGAAATTCTTTGGGGGATATTTTTTTTTTTTTTTTCACTCTGTTGTCTTATTGGGCGCTGCTGGCACCTTCTGAGAATATTGATTTTCTTTACCCGAATTAGCACTTGTAATAATGAATTTCTTTCAGCCCGATAAGAAGACTGAAGGGTTCGCGTTCCTTGAATTTTCCCTGGACTTCCCAGCACTTTCTTTTGCCTTTCCTCAAGCAGCCGCCCACGAGCAGCAAACGCACGCAAGTAAAATAATCAACACACGAATCGAAGCGAAAAAGGCGCTGAACATCCACCAGCGCAACAACAACACTGTGTGCGCGAGTATTTACAACACCAACACACACCTTGTAACTTGTTTGTTGTTGTTTCGCTCGCACATTGAAGCAAGCTGGTGACCAGATCGGGCGGAAGAGAGACAACACCACCTGCTGTACACAAATGCAGCGAAGACGTTTTCCAAGCTATGCGATTCTGGCTGAACAGCACAGGTGCAACACGGATTTTTTCACGTTATGTCAAACTTTGTAAACGCCAAAATCCTTCGGAAGCGAAACGACTTAGAACTCGGGGCTTTTGAGCACTTAAAATCCAAATAAGCGACCGTGACATAGAGGTGCTCCAAAAAACGGTGGCCTAACGATAGTTCGATTACTTAGCGGTGGCAATAGAGTTGTGTGGCCGTTCTGGCTTACAACGTTTACAATTTGTTATTCACATTTATTTAAATGTTTTAAAATTTAATAAATTATAAATAATTATTTAATTTATATTAGCATAATGATTTTAATGTTTTGATTTCAATAGTCATTATTTGACTATTTATTGCGATATTGTTGTCGGTTTGGTGTGGAAGCCAGTGTTGGATAACACCCCACATCAAACAGCTGTGGGAAAAATCAATTCTGCAACTCCCTCGTCGTCTGTGCATTTTTTAGAGCTTCGCGAGAAAACCCAGAAAAAATGTCCTCCAACGGCGACTGCTTTGTTGTCCTGCCTGCCAATTGTGCCGATGGATCTCTGATAATTGGTCGCAACGCGGAGGACCCCGAATCCCTGGGAGTTTCCTCGGAAGTTTGCTTTTATGATGTCAGCGAAGTGCTGGAGGGGAAGGTAAAAGAGGCTGAGACTCGAAACCGTGGCTCGATCAAATGACTCACCACTTTTCCAATTTGTAGACTGATGGCGGTGCGTCTGCCGAACCAAGTGGCGATGCCTTGCGTGTCATATTGCAAAAACCGCAGCCAGGCCTTTGGGGGGGCGATTTTGGGGCCAATGAACGGAGTGTCGCTGTGGGCTTAACCTGGACTTCAGGTGAAACGGAGGCGAAGGACAGTGACTGTCTGCTTGGAACTGATATTGTGCGGTAGGTAAATTATTTTTTCGACTATATTTAATTTTAATAACTTTTTGTTTCTTTTCCAGCTTGACTCTTGCGGTGGCCATCGATGTAGACGCTGCCGTGGATCGCATTGGAGCTTTAGTAGCCAGTCATGGCAATGATACCTCAAAGTTGAACTTCATTGTTTGTGATTCCAGTGCCGCCTGGTTGGTCAGTTGCTCCGGAAAAGTTTGGGCTGCCGAGAAAGTAGAGGCGAGTTTCTTGCGGCTGCCCATTGGGGGATTGGCGGTTACCACAGGCTCTAATAAAACTAGCGAAGGATTGGAGGCAGCTTCTAGTTTTGCAGCCGCCCACGATGCAGAGGCTAAATCGCCAGCTGAAGAGTGGAGTGGTCCTAAGCCGGCTGGTGATGGTAGCTACACCCAGCACGACATGTTCGAGACACTGCGTGCCGCCAGCCAAGCGAGTAGCTCACGAGCGGCCAGCGTTTCTGTTCTGTCGGGTAAAGGAATCTCGTGTCACTGGTTTACAGGAACGCCCAATGCCGCCGAGTCTGTGTTCAAGCCGTTCGTATTCGCGCCCAAGCCACGCATCTCGCCGTTGACCCAAGTCCAGGCGGAAGCAGAGTTGACCCTGCTGCATAAGCTACACTCGCAACGAAAGCCGGCGGCCTTGGAGCATTTGCGCAGCTTGGAAAAATCTTGCGTGGACGAACTTAATAACTACTTCTCGCTGCAGGATCATGCCAGCGAGGAGCTGGACGAACTGCTCAAGGACTGTGTCGAGGCGGAGGTCAAGTTCTATCGTTAGATGAACGAAAACTATTCATATTTATTATTCAAAAACTAGCTTGCAAGCTCTATTGGGCTTTGGAATTTGACTTGAGCATTACCAAAAAAGGCAACCATTTTCTCGTGCAATTTTCGAAAGATTTTATTTCCATTTAGTTTTTATGCTTTTGCGTGATATTTAAAATATTATTTATTATTCTCCCTATCTCAGTGGGTAATCTCTGACTTGATTTTAAAGTATTATTAGGTGACATTCCAGGCTTATGTTAGTTAACGATTTACACAATTGCATTAAAATATATACGAATACATACATAAATATACCTTATATATGCCTCTCAAAATAAAGCGCATAAAATCTGCATTTATACGAAAAAGTAAAGAAATACGTGTTTGGACTTATTGTGGAGTTAAGTAAGTACTACTTTGGAAACAAAGGTAAAATGATCCAGGCACTTCGAAGCATGCAGTTTAAAATAAGGGTTTCAATAGGATTAAACTATCTGCCAATTGACTTAGTGACTTTATTCCTAATATTATTCAACTATAATTAAAATAAAACCCATTCATCCAAATCTTAGACGGACTCGACAACCAAATTTGTCTTAAAAATAGTATTCTCATTGTGCAGGGCCTCCAGTTTGGTGATTTCGAATGCCTGATAGATCTCGCGAAAGTCCATAATATTGCGTGGATCACTTTCCATCCAAAAGCGGTCGAATTCAAAGAACAAGTAGCAGTACAGCTTGTGGAAGTCCTCCACTGTGCTAAAGTCTTGTTTGTGCTGCACCACCTGGTTGTAGAAGTGCGTCTTGGCGGCTCCGGTTTTAACCAGATTAAAGGCCATCGATGTGAGGTTGATGCCCACGATGGCGTACGTGTAGCCCAGAGTGGGATGCAGCGAATGCAGGAGAACATGCTTGGCGGCATCGTTGTAGGCCGTGGCAAAGTAGAGAAGGTTCTCTAAGCCCAGCATGCCCATACCCCGGAAGTCTGTCTTGGGGTCGTCGCCTTGAAATCCGATATCCTGCCACTGTTTGCTCACCCGTCCAGTAAGCGGGGTGTCGGGCATCAGAAGCTGCCACAACCTTAGCAACTTATGCTCGTGATCCAAGTTGTCTGAGTCGTATCGCTCCGCCCGCAGTTGCTCCACTTGATGCATTAGCCGCCGGTAGCCCCATATGCTGGTAACGCAGCTTCCAAACAGCCTGGCGAAGTCAGGATGCACATTGCTTTTAATGCGTTTTGCCTGCATAACAACCCGTGCCGCACGAGGAGCTGGACATTTTGAAATTAAAGTACATTAAAGAAGTGTTTTTATCAGAATGAGAACATTGTGGACTCACCAAACTCCATCAATTCCCGGTTGTCCACGTAGGGCGCCGCCTCATCAAGGTCAAGTACGAGGCGTCTTATTTGGGGCGTCTTTGACAAAGTCAAGGACCTTTCCACCTGGCTGGTTCGGCTGGCTCCTGCCCGGGCTCCATAGCAGATCCTCTGAAGCTCGGATAGACGGGTGAAGGCGTGCAGGAACCACTTGATGAATGGCCTTATGTAGCCAAATATTAGCGGCAGTATTCTGTCAAGTAAAAACATTTTGATTGGGCAAGTCGTTTAGCTTCCTCGGTGGAGATATCCTTTGTTTGGCCCACTACTGGATCCGTTGCCAGGGCAACGTAACAATTGTTTTGATCACAGCCTTTTTATTATTTTTCAAATGATAGGATGTATGAGGTGGACCTTAGTAATTGAGGCACAGAGACTGAGAAAATATCGATATTTCGATAAGTTTAAGGCGCCATCTGTGGGAGAAAAATTCATGGCATAAATTTTAATACAATAAACGGTCACATCTTAAGCTTCACAAAATTGTAAACAATAATAAACAAAACTTTAAAAAAATACTTTAAAATTTTACAAAAATCTTTAAAAACAAGGGAAATATCCTTAAAAACATTTATTTATTCAATTAAAATTTAAATACATAAAACCTCAGACAATGGAATAAAAAACCTGCATACCACTCATCAATGAAGTAATTAGTTCCGATTTGAAGACTCTTGAGAAATGATTGCTAAAATGGGTTTAATTAAAACCGGCAATGCTGTTGCGGATAATGAAGAGCCTTTTAATGCTAGAAAGGAGATTTATAGATTAAATAAACAAATGGATATGGTTCTTGATAACCAGAATAAAATGCTTAGTGTTTTGCGAAAGCTTGTCAATGAGCCTGTGGATGTGCCGATCCTTGAAACAGAAGCGGTAGAAAACGTCTCAGACTTGGAAGATAATAATACGACTCAGTGGGAGCCCCAAGAATTTCCTTTATTAAATATAGAGCAACTTCAAACTGTTGAGGATGAACTGGCTGACCAATTAAAAGCAATTTCATACGTATGTGTCGATACTTATTTTGAAATCCAACTAATTTTTAACAATTTATAGTTAAAAACCATGAAGTTAATGATGAGACCCCATGGCAAACTACGAAGTGGCGGACTTCAGAAAAACTTTACCCTCATAATTGAAATGGAGCTATTGGCGGACATGAACTACAGTGGCATCCACAATAAGATTCCTTTCCGGCAGTTTACAAAGTTCAACAACACGTTATATGGTAGTAGGAATTAATTCAAATTATATTTAAATATTAAAACCATTCATTTTCTTTCAGAGGCTTTGAAAGGGGAGAGATATCTTAAGAATGATTATATCGCAGATATAAGACAAGCGTTCCGTATCTGCAAAAATCGAAGAAATAAATACGCCTGTAATGCTCGCAAGAAAATTAGGGAAGCAAACGCCAACGCAGAAACTGAAGTTAAATTTGAGGAGATTATGTACTCGACTTCAACTTTTAGTTCGTAATATACATAATTGTAATTTTATAATATTTTAAAGTTTTTAAATTATTTTATTTTAGTTTTTCGGTTAAGAAAGTCAAATATATATAGTCAACTATTTATAAATAGCTACGTTTTAAAATATACTTGTGGATTAACGAATATTGTTAACACAACTCGCGTGCCGAAGCGATTAGATAAATAGAATTGGTTCGGTGCCAAAGCTTCGGCTAAGTCCGACATTTGAGTATACACATGTTGCCTAGTCGTAAACCTGTATCGCTCAGTAATAGACCGACACTTGACGCAGTTGTTTCTATATTTTGTTCCCTGCTTGACCGATAAGAAATCTATAATGCGGCAGCAAAATGGAAGAGTCTGGGGAACGCTCCATGAAGGTATGTAGCTTGAATACATGTGAGAGTATGTTTTTTATGGTTTTGCAATGTTAATTGTACTTTCTTTGTGCCCAAACTATCAGGAAAATTTGAAGTGCGTAGTGTCACACAGTCCGATTTGGAAGAAGCTCTAGATGTAAGTAAAAAAAGCACACTCGTTATATAGGTGTTCTTCCTACCTAGTTTATCATTCGAGCTTAAAACTTGTCAATCTAATTTAAATCTGCAAAGTAAATAAATTCTCTTGGAAGTAGCTGCTCCCAAAGCACAAAACTATATTTGTGTCTTCAAACTAACGTGGCGTCGGTGGTGTAATGGTTAGCATAGTTGCCTTCCAAGCAGTTGACCCGGGTTCGATTCCCGGCCGACGCAGTTCGCTTTTTTGCAATTTTTTATTTAATTTTTTTTTATTAATTATTGTTTTAGGTTCTGGATGGTTCATTTTTTATAAATGAATCGGTGTGCGTTGCTTGCGAAATTAATTTGCCACAAAATGTTCAAGCCAGACAAGAGCTGCGTGAACTATGCAAAATAACAGCCTTAGATGGAGTCTCTTTGCTGGTCAAGGAGGTAGAAACTGGACGCGTAGTGGCTGTATCGTTTAACAAGATCCAAGTAAGTTATATAAGATTTCGTAGTTTTCCTTTTAATGAATCTGAAATTTTTTATAGTTCTCCCCACCGCCAGGCGAAGACCACTTCTTTTTGAAATTCCGCAATGAGAGCGCCAAAAGTCCGCAAGCCAAGCGCCTGATGAACTTTATGATTGAAGTTGACGAAAAGGTCGATGTTTGTGCCATGTACAACATGGATTGCTTCTGCGAACTAATGTTTCTAGCCACCTTGCCCAGCCACGAGCGACTGGGTCTTGGACGATCCTTATCCAAGTTTACCATAGAACTTACTCAGGAGCTTGCTAACGGAAAGGGCCTGGAGGATATAGACGAAAAACTACGATCTCTACGACCGGCAGCTGTTACCGCACTTTGGACTTCCAGTTTCTCCCAAAAGGTTGGAAAAGCTACTGACTTTAAGGTCATAAACACGGTTCCGTATTCGGATTTTGAATTTAATGGCAAGCGTTTCGATGAGCGAATTAATCCTTTGCACAAATTCTGCCAACATGTTGTATATAAATTTTAAATCGAAAAATGAAAGAAATAAAGTTTTGTAAATAAAATTAAATACAAAATAGCAAAAAAGTTGGTTGTGCGTCGGCCGGGAATCGAACCCGGGTCAACTGCTTGGAAGGCAACTATGCTAACCATTACACCACCGACGCCATGTCTGGTTGCACATACTGGTTTATACTTGAGCATTAGACAGTGAAGCATTGGACAAAATTTTCAAATGTGTTGTGGGCACACTGAAAGTGGCGCGTAAATTTGAAATATTGAAAGAAATAAATAATTACATAGTTTTTTTTGCAAATGTGCCTAAATTATAGTTAATTTTAACCAATAAGTAATATTAAAAAGTCGTATTAGCTTATATTCCAAAGTAAAATGTTACCATTATTTTCGAAGCTTAAATAATTAAAATTACACTATTTAATAGCCATGTCGGGTATGTTAGAGACTTCGAATATAGTGACAAGTCTAATTAAGTTCGTTTGTTTGATGATGAAGGACTGCACACCCATTTTAGAAGGTGAATTCGAAATACTTCGAGTGACTCCAGATTTGTATGATGACGTTGAAGAGGTAGGCATTGTAAATAAAATAAGTTTATTATTTTCCTAGTTATTTTTTTCAGCTATTGACAAGGATTTCATTGGAGGAGGAATTCGGATGCCTTGCTACCAGGCTTAAGGAATCTTCCTTGGCCGTGAGTGAGTTTCGCACATTAATTCGGCACATCCTTACCCTGGGCGTATCCTTTGCCATAAGGCATGTGAAAAGTGGAAGTATTGTGGCCGCCATTGCCAGCCTGGTATACGTAAGTTATATGGAAATTTTTATATTATATTTATTTATAAAAAAATCTTCAACCTAGATAGAATCCAAGAGCGGATAGCTCCTATGATAATCTGGAAACAAAGTTTAGGAGTCCCAATATGCTGAGTTATATCAGATTATTTGATGCTGTCGATGAGAGTTGCAATCTCAAGGTGGGTATGGAGAGCTGGATGGAGGTGGAGTATATGGTGACCTTGCCGGAATTCAGATGTCGAGGTTTGGCATACTATTTGTGCCGGCATACCATTGATTTTGGAAAGCTCATGGCTCATGGAAAACTACCATCGGATGTGTTCCTAAAACTGCCGGAGGAGATGCAAATTGAAAGACCTGAGGCTATTACCACAATAGCCACATCTCTTACCTCCCAAAAATGTGGCATTAAGCTGGGAATGCAGGTGGCCCACAGGTGGCACATTACGGAACTACAATCTCTGGGTGTTACCATTATAGATCCAATGGAGGGATTGGAATACGCGGAGCTGCATGTTATGAGACTTTAATTAATTAAATGCTAATACACATTTTTATTCATTTAAAACTGCTGATAAATATATTGTATTATGATAAACGCTAGATTTGGCTTAAATAATTCAAAACAGATTTATAGTTATGATTGAATAACTTTTCCAACCGTTCCAAAAAGTTTAAATCCAGTTCTGGGCTCACCCCTTCTAAAAAATCTATCCTCATTGTTGATTTCAATTTTAGCACTTTCAAAAAAAAAAAAAAAAAACTTCAAATGAGATTAAAATTTACACTCACACACACACATCCAATCCGGCAATCCTGTACTCTTTGAGGCATAAACTCGAGAGGATTTCCCCGACGTATCCCTAATGCCCGGTGTCAACACAGTGAATGAAAAGGACGAGGGTTTCGGACGAGCAGTGTGATAAGCATTTCGATCCTACTTTGCCTCTACCTCAACAATGCACTGGGGTTTTTAATTAGAATCCGAATAACAAAAAATGAAAAGTACTTTGCCAAAAGAGCAGGGGGTTAGGGTGAGGGTGAGGCAGATATCCTTGCGGCAGGGCAATTGCGTGTAATGATATCGGAGTGCATACAGGACGTTATGTATATATGGTATAGGGTTGTCTGTCAAAGAGGCGGTTACGCTTGATTGTGTTCTATGACGTGTGCATAATTCCTCGGTTGCAGGCTAATTTTAGAGTATACATTTTAGACTTGGTGGGAGTTATTAAGGGTCAAAGCCACACCACAAAAATAAAAATAACTAAAAAGATTATGGTTATTTTTACAAGACCCTCCAAGCCTTCTACTAACTTACAAGGTTTTTTGTTTGTTTTTAATTCAAAGAATTTATGGTAAGGATTCGAAATAAGGTTATGGAGGATATAATACTATGTTATAGTATATATGTATGTTCTAGTTCTAGTACCTTTTTATCAAGGTATGTAATACTTTGTTCCCACCATTATATTTCACGATGTCCATACATGATTAATATAAAAGTTACTATGGTTGCTTAGAATATTAAATGATCAAATATATGATTAGAATCAAGGCAAAATGTGTCCTATTTTAGGATTTCCATTCAGGACTATTTCCAAAGCTTTCAGGAAACAAATTGCCGCTGCAAGACAACTTGATAAAATTGAAAACTAATTTGTTTATACAGCTGCATAAAACGAGCAGCGCCGGCAACGATAACAACTCCCAGAAACAAAGGATACAAGAGGAGGGACTGCGGTACGAGGAAGGCTCCTGGCAGAGGCTAAACAATTTGTTTATCATGGTAGCCTTAGTGAGGTTGTCTGATGATGAGGCAACACACACACACAGATACTCAGGATAGGCACAGGAAAAAGGACAACAAACAAACAGAGGTCGGGTGCGGCGCAGGATGAGTTGAGCCCATCACCATATCAAGGGTGAGGCAAAAAAGAGGGGGTGCATTCAGAGAAATATTAAGAGTCTTATAAAAATACTGAACAAGTATCTTCTAAGAAAAAATAGAAAAAAAAAAATTTTACTATCGTATTTAATAATAATAGAATATTAAAGTATTTCATTATCAAAAAGACTCATTTGTAGATCTTTAGATATTTATGTATATTTTCCAATAAAAGCCTTGTATACCATTGTTTTCCCATTTTTTCATTTAATTGCTATTTTCTATTCTATTGCTATTCTATTTCCATTTTTTTCAAGTGTAGCATATTTTGACACCCCTGTCATTGGTGCGCCCCGTAAAATATGCAGCAAATACTGCAAGCGCCTCTTAATGGAGTTGTAGTCAAAAACACAGCAAAGACAAAGGACATGGCAGTGGCAGGAGGAAAAAAGGAAATCCCAGACTGTGCAAATATTTGAACAGTCCTTAGCTAATGCTTAAAAATTATGCTGGTTGACAAATTCCACCGAGTCTTCCAACTCAACAAAAAACTATTCTGGTATTTATTTTTTATCATGTTTGCTGAGCTCGGCTTGGTTGAAACAAATCATTAATTAGACTTAGAAGTGCTACAAAGTAATCCACATGGTGGCAAACGAAACAAAATAATTATTTCAACACATCAGCGTGGAACCTTTGCAGCTGGCATGCTGCCCCTTCCACCAATTAACCGATTTCTGTGCAACAAACCCCCAACCCCGTACACGGATCGAAACACTTGTCTACATCAAATCATCAACACCTTCCATTGTCAAGCACTTGGGCAATAATTCCGCTTAAACAGATAAACGAGAGACCGATTCGAAAAACAATTGAATGAGTTTTTAGTGTGAATTGTAGAGCATGGCCCGGGCGTACCCCTAACCCACCCCATACAGTGGGTAAAGCTTATTAAGCTTATTTCCACCCCAACTTTTCAGCTGGCATTTTCCGATTGGTGGATGCCTTGGCTCCGCCCCTTTGGCTGTACCTTTTGATGTAGCACCGCCATTGATAGACAAAACACACATCTGTATGATATAAAACCACCCTTCGCCAAAAACTTCTTATCAGACAAGTCCTGCGATAGTTTCAGGACCAGGGTACAGGCATTCGCTTTCCGGCAGTCCCTGAGTTTGCAACACAACGCGGTGTTCGGTTCTGTCTATAAAAAAAAAATATTGTTTATAAAGTTAGCAATATTACAGCTATTGTTAATAGTGTCAAAGTTCCGGATAGTTTAGTGATAAAAAATTATGTGCAATTGGAAAATATTTTAAGTTTTATGATACTGATTACGAATAGAAAAGTGTGTTCTCTTGGATTTTGGCGGAAATTTAAAGGATTATTGGATATTTCTAAAAGTTTCAAGAAAAGGTAAGCCATATATTATTATTCAAAATCACAATATATCAATAAATATCGGCTAAATATAAAAATGACTGAAATTGATTTATTAAATTTTCATGATAGTTTATTTGAATTATTTTAAATAAACTTAAATGTTTCAAATGATTTTTGGTGATAAGCCATTTTCATTATACTATAATGATTATATGACTATTTATTTTAATTGGGTTATTAGTGTTATTGATTTTAATATATTTAAATATATAGATTTTAATAGTTATTGGAAAAAGTTTTGACTCACAAGTCCCTTAATGTTCAATTTACTATTCAATAGAATGGTTGTATTGTTATATCCTACACTTAATGTTACCCTATGGCTTTATCAATCATAAATATGTAAATACTATTCCGATATTCACAACCTGATTGTAAATCAATCCTTATCTAATCGAAATAGTGTCCAACATGTTTATTATCAGTAATCCAACAACTGAACAAGTACAAAAAAAAGACTGATAAAATCGTTAACACTTCCATTATGCTATATCCAATTTCAGGAGCAAAAGTCAAAGACCGACGACACGCGTTGCACTTGTCTGATTTTGTACTTCCCCTAGCCGGAATCCCAAAGTTTGCGGCACGTGCTGGTCACGCGTCGCCAATTAGGAAATCGGAAGTGTTAGCTTTACCGTTATGCACTTAGCTGGCAATTAGCAACAGATTTACAAGTCGCGAAAATCGGAACTGTGTGATAATGTTTTCAATGGATAACTTTGACTTGGAGGCCACTATGGCGCGCCACTTTTTCGAGGGCTCCCAGGCCACCAATGCCTCCACCTCCAGTTCCGAGTACTTCTTTGGGGATGAACACAGCTCGGAAAGCGATGACGAGGACGATGCCTATAGCAGTGGCTTCAATAGCGATCAGGAGAACAATGAAAAGACGTAAGATTTGATTTTATATTGTCTGATTTCTATTTTAACAAACATTGAAAATATTATCCTTATTTAGCCGGCGTAGTCACAAGCCGAGGCGCTTGAAGTGCGCCTCCCAAATGGCCCAGCAACGGCAGGCGGCCAATCTCCGAGAGCGTCGGCGGATGCAGAGCATCAATGAGGCCTTTGAGGGCCTACGAACCCATATTCCCACACTACCCTATGAAAAGCGACTCAGCAAGGTATATTTTATGTTAATGATAGTAAATAATTTAATGTTTAAGTTATGGGCTACAAATTTCCCAGAAATTATTTTTACAAGGAAATTGAAAATCTTAAAATAGAAAAAAGTAAAAACCTTTGTTTTTGAAATAAATATTTAAAATTTCAACTGCCCTTCATAACCCAGTAAATTTTTAATATCTTCAGGTCGACACACTCAAGCTGGCCATTAGCTATATAACCTTCCTGAGCGAAATGGTTAAGAAGGACAAAAACGGCAACGAACCTGGACTGAGCTTGCAGCGAAATTACCAGAAGGAACCGCCCAAGAAAATCATCCTCAAGGATCGCAGTGAGTTGTCAATCAATCAAATGCCATCTATTATTCTATTACATGTGTAGGTAGTAAGTGGGCGGACGGTCAGCGGGTCCGTGGAATACATTTAATAACATAATTCATCAGGGGCAGTAACCTTATTCAAAGGCCATCCGTGGTTTGGAAGAATATATCCGATTCAGGGGGGATGCTGAGCTGCATCCTGCCATCGGTTCGGGGTCTGTTGTGCCGGGCTAAGTGTAACTAATTAGAATTTTCACACTTCTAGCCCGGTGGCTTAGTTGGGTTCGCATTGCGGGCTTTGCGTGACTGCCAGTCAAGCAAATTGTTTTGCTCATTGCCGTCGCATCGATCACCGTGGATGCGGATGTGAATGTGGCATGGCTGGGTTTTCACAAGTTTCCCTGGGATACAATGGTGCTGGATTAGGGGTTCCGTGTGCCAGCTCATAAAAGTTGCTTTGGTCACGGTTTTTTGGTTAATAATTTTCCTATTCAAAATGTATGACACTGCAGCCTGCAACGAGTTCCCTCGATTTGCAAGGGGATCTTATTCAAAAGCATCTGCATAACTAATATTCTGGGTATTCCAGGGTGTTGATTTTGAAGTTACGCGAATTGGTACCCCTTTACCCTTCTCGATTGAGTGTTATGTATGGTCCTTAAAAAATTTCCACAAATTTTTTTTTTTACCATTTTTATTCATGTGTGTCAAAACACTCATTTCGGTTTGGTTATAAGTTGGATTGGAACTTGTTTTTTTTTATAAAAAAAATATATTTTAGCTGAGTAAACTTCCTCGAGATTTACAGCTTTGGGAATTAAAATTAAATGTATATGTAACAAGGATTGTTTATGGCTTTTTCCCTTATTCCCTTAATTATTCCCAAAATAATTATAAAATAGGGAAAATGCATGAATACACAGAATTGCCCCCCAAAAAGGCTATATCTTTGTCAATAATCATCCGATGCAAGAGCGGAATACCTTAAACGATTTGTAGATGGATTCTCCACGAATCTGCAACAAAATCTACAAACAAAATATTTTTAAAATTTTTTCTCAAATTTTCCGAGGGACTCCCTTCAAAAATGGGGAAAATGCATGAATCAACAGAATGGCCCCCCGAAAAGGCTATATCTTTGTCAATAATCATCCGATTCAGAAGCGGAATACCTTAAACGATTTGTAGATGGATTCTTCACGAATCTGCATCAAAATCTACAAACAAAATATTTTTCAAATTTTTTCTCAAATTTTCTGAGGGACTCCCTTCAAAAATGTGGAAAATACATGAATCAACAGAATGGCCCCCGAAAAGGCTATATCTTTGTCAATAATCATCCGATTCAGGAGCGGAATACCTTAAACGATTTGTAGATGGATTCTCCACGAATCTGCATCAAAATCTACAAACAAAATATTTTTCAAATTTTTTCTCAAATTTTCCGAGGAACTCCCTTCAAAAATGGGGAAAATGCATGAATCAACAGAATGGCCCCCCGAAAAGGCTATATCTTTGTCAATAATCATCCGATTCAGAAGCGGAATACCTTAAACGATTTGTAGATGGATTCTCCACGAATCTGCATCAAAATCTACAAACAAAATATTTTTCAAATTTTTTCTCAAATTTTGTGAGGGACTCCCTTCAAAAATGGGGAAAATGCACAAATCAACAGAATGGCCACCCGAAAAGGCTATATCTTTGTCAATATTCATCGGATTCAAAAGCGGAATACCTTAAACGATTTGTAGATGGATTCTCCATGAATCTGCATCAAAATCTACAAACAAAATATTTTTCAAATTTTTTCTCAAATTTTCGGAGGGACTCCCTACAAAAATGGGGAAAATGCGTGAATCAACAGAATGGCCTCCCGAAAAGGCTATATCTTTGTCAATAATCATCGGATTCAAGAGCGGAATACCTTAAACGATTTGTAGATGGATTCTCCATTAATCTGCATCAAAATCTACAAACGAAATATTTTTCAAATTTTTTCTCAAATTTTCTGTGGGACACCCTTCAAAAATGGGGAAAATGCATGAATCAACAGAACGGCCCCCAGAAAAGGCTATATCTTTGTCAATAATCATCGGATTCAGGAGCGGAATACCTTAAACGATTTGTATATGGATTCTCCTTGAATCTGCATCAAAATCTACAAACAAAATATGTTTCAAATTTTTTCTCAAATTTTTGGAGGGACTCCCTACAAAAATGGGGAAAATGCGTGGATCAACAGAATGGCCTCCCGAAAAGGCTATATCTTTGTCAATAATCATCGGATTCAGGAGCGGAATACCTTAAACGATTTGTAGATGGATTCTGCATGAATCTGCATCAAAATTAACAAACAAAATATTTTTCAAATTTTTTCTAAAATTTTCTGAGTGCCTCCCTTAAAAAATGGGGAAAATGCATGAATCAACAGAATGGCCCCCCCGAAAAGGCTATATCTTTGTCAATAATCATCCGATTCAGGAGCGGAATACCTTAAACGATTTGTAGATGGATTCTTCATGAATCTGCATCAAAATCTACAAACAAAATATTTTTCAAATTTTTTCTCAAATTTTCTGAGGGACACCCTTCAAAAATGGGGAAAATGCATGGATCAACAGAATGGCCCCCCGAAAAGGCTATATCTTTGTCAATAATCATCCGATTCAGGAGCGGAATACCTTAAACGATTTGTAGATGGATTCTCCATGAATCTGCATCAAAATCTACAAACAAAATATTTTTCAAATTTTTTCTCAAATTTTCTGAGGGAAACCCTTCAAAAATGGGGAAAATGGATGAATCAACAGAATGGCCCCCCGAAAAGGCTATATCTTTGTCAATAATCATCGGATTCAAGAGCGGAATACCTTAAACGATTTGTAGATGGATTCTCCATGAATCTGCATCAAAATCTACAAACAAAATATTTTTCAAATTTTTTCTCAAATTTTCTGAGGGACTCCCTTAAAAAATGGGGAAAATGCGTGGATCAACAGAATGGCCTCCCGAAAAGGCTATATCTTTGTCAATAATCATCGGATTCAGGAGCGGAATACCTTAAACGATTTGTAGATGGATTCTCCATGAATCTGCATCAAAATCTACAAACAAAATATTTTTCAAATTTTTTCTCAAATTTTCTGAGGGACTCCCTTAAAAAATGGGGAAAATGCGTGGATCAACAGAATGGCCTCCCGAAAAGGCTATATCTTTGTCAATAATCATCGGATTCAGGAGCGGAATACCTTAAACGATTTGTAGATGGATTCTCCATGAATCTGCATCAAAATCTACAAACAAAATATTTTTCAAATTTTTTCTCAAATTTTCTGAGGGAATCCCTTCAAAAATGGGGAAAATGGATGAATCAACAGAATGGCCCCCCGAAAAGGCTATATCTTTGTCAATAATCATCGGATTCAAGAGCGGAATACCTTAAACGATTTGTAGATGGATTCTCCATGAATCTGCATCAAAATCTACAAACAAAATATTTTTCAAATTTTTTCTCAAATTTTCTGAGGGACTCCCTTAAAAAATGGGGAAAATGCGTGGATCAACAGAATGGCCTCCCGAAAAGGCTATATCTTTGTCAATAATCATCGGATTCAGGAGCGGAATACCTTAAACGATTTGTAGATGGATTCTCCATGAATCTGCATCAAAATCTACAAACAAAATATTTTTCCAATTTTTTCTCAAATTTTCTGAGGGACCCTCTTTTAAAATGGGGAAAATGCATGGATCAACAGAATGGCCCAAAGATTTAGATTTAAAATCAACGAAAAAATAGTTTTTTATTAAATTTTTTTTTTGCTTTGATGGTGCTTCTGCAGAAGATAGATTTTTGTTCTTGTTAGTGTAAAATTTAGATTGATTTTGTTTATAATTACCCTCTTTTTGGAATCGTTTATCAGTCCAGTCGATAAAATGAACATGCAAGCTTAGATACAAAGTATATTTTTGCCCGATAAAAAGCCCATATGCATGCACCTTGCTCGGTTCCCTTGCCTGGGCCCAAACAATGGCGAGGGTGGGCGGAGGTGGTGGGTGGGAGCCGAACAAAATAGTAACAATAACAGAAACAACAACACACAGCCAATCGACATAATCATAGCGTGAGAAATTCGTTACACTCGAGCAGATGGCTGCTGTCGCTGTTGCCGCTTAAAGGCCAAAATGGAACGGAATGGCATGAAAGGCGAGCGACCTGGTCGAAAGGGGCCAAGTGAGAGGAGATGGCCCAAGCTGATGGGAAAAGCGTTTTCATGCTTAACGGGCATTAAAAATGTTTCTGCAAAAACAAAAATACAACCAAATACATATCGACGCTCTTGCAAAAAGTAAAACGAAAGTTTTTCTTGGAGCCGGAGAGTCCCCACAAGGATGAGGCACGCGCCTGGCATATGTTCACACCAACTTGCCAGACAAGGATGCTGTGCCGCAGCACATCCGAGTGGGGGTGGGGGTGTCGCATATTTGAGTAACACCCGCATCAAGCACTCGAAAACTGCCAGTCCTACAAATTGCCCGACTTGGGTGGGACGCCGGTTCTGGGTGCAAGCCGATTGGATGTAGCCAAATATGCAGAAATCGGGGTTGGAGGATACGGATTTCGGTTTGGGCTTTGGTTTTCAGTATTCGGTTTTCCGTTTTTGTTTGTCCAAGGCAAATGGCGGAGCACAGCAGGGTGGCAGCTGCAACAACAAACCGCCCAGGATCCGGGAAGAGTGCCAGGGATGAACCCTTCTATTCCAGTTTGCTTGTTTGCTTTGGTCTATGATGGACCCTGTAATGTGGCTGCTAATGGCATTTGCTCAGTTTTTCGGCAACAATTTTAATTGTTTGGGCGGCGCTTGACTTTTGATTGGAATGTGTGTGTAATTGTCTCTTAAGATACATCTTTATCTATTAAAAATCCTAAAATATATAATATACTAATTCTTATCCTATTTTTGATTTAATTCCAGCTGGCGGAGTGTCGCACTCATTGTCCTGGTACCGCAAGGGAGATCGTTATCCTGGCAGCAAGCTCTACGCCCGCACTTGGACCCCCGAGGACCCCCGGGGTCCCTTGTCGCAGCCCCAACCCCAACACTACAACAACAGCAACTCCAACCAGAATCAAAATAGCAACCAAAGCAGCGAGGACTTCAGCGGTAGTGCCGATATGTCAGATCCTGGAGCTGCGGCCAGCATCTTTGGCAGTGGCAATGGAATGTGAGGATCCCGTAGGGATAAGAAAAAAGCAAAGGATTCATTGGAAACCAAACTAGTCAAGCTTTGCTAGTCACGACATCTAACATATATTAATCAATTTAATAATTATACGAAGAAAACATGTTCTGTGGTATTTAATTGCTCTAAGTTTGCTAATATCTAAATGTTATACTTAGTGGTTTAGTTTAAATCGAATAAACATCTCAAGCAAATCAACTCGACCCAATCTGATTGCAGTTCAAACGGCCGGGGCAAAGGGAGCAATTCGAAGCTAAATTATATAGTTATCAGCACGGTAAAATATTGAACACCTGGTCCTGTTTGTCCTCGTGGCCTCGGCCTGGGTCTCGGTCTCGGCACCCTGCCTGTTGTCGATATCATTAAAAAACAGCGACAACGAATATATATTTTTTCATTTTTGGGGTGGGTGTGCACTTCAAAAAATGATTGATTTTTGAAATACAATAAATGTTTTCAAAAATTGGATTTATTAATATTGTGCATTGTGGCTTACGACTCAAAGTTTTAAATGCATTATCTTTTATAAACAATTTATATTTATAAAAAAAGCTTACTTCTGAAGGATTTCACTCTTTTTTCAGTGTACTTCACTGAAAACGGGTCAGTGCAACTAGAAAATTATTTCCGGTCTTCAGACATGCATGCACACACTTCGATCAAAGTTTTTCTGTAAAAAAAAAAAGAAAAATTATTATTTTTAATCGTTTTTATTTTTCATCAAAAGCGTGTCATTTAAAAAATCATTATGACTGTCAACCAAAGGACTGACAGCTGTTGTCCTTGTGACGCGTTTGGCTGAGTAATTTAGATGTTTATCTGCAATTAGGATTAGTCCGTGGCTCAGGGGGGTGTTTCGAGTGATGACGTGATTGAGCGTTTTGATTGTTCGAGGGCCTGGTTGATCTAACAATTCGATCATATGTAAATGAATGCCTTCTGTTGTGGTCAAAGATTTAATTAACTGAAGGCGGCAACAGCTGCAGAAGGCTATAAATCAAGGATCTTGATAACCCAGCATTTCACAATCGGCTTAATATTGGATTAGTATTTTGGAAAATCGCGTAAGCATATCTGCGTATAAAATCTTATGAAACAGGAGCTTCATGCACAGGAAACGAGAGGACCTCCCAATCTTTTTAATCTTTTCAGCTTTACAGTTAAATGTTACATTAAATTTAAGATTCCGATTAAGAATATCTAAAGCAGGCGTTTCGATGGCGCCAATGAAAAGCTTTTTAAAAGGAAAGTCTGTTACTGCAAAGATGTTTTTATTTTACAAGAATTTTGAAATGTTAATTATTACATAAAAATAACAAATAAATTATACAATAATAATCAATTTTTTGTAATACAAATATAATAGATGCGGTTTAAGCTTTTTCTAAAACTACAATTTTGAATTTTCTTAGTATGCCCAGTCTTAGCCAAATTAGAAGACCTGCCAATGTGCTTTCAAAATTGGGGCACAAAAATCCTTAGCTTCAAACGCTTTGGCAACACTGTATTTGGACCGCACGCTTTAAGAATTTGTTTTGATATTAGAAATTTGTTTATTCCTTTCAAAATATGCGTTATGCACAAATAATTGTGGGGCCAGCTGGCAGCGGGAAGGTGAGACTAGAAAAACTTCCCATATTTTGTATAATTTTCCCAACTAAACCCTTTCCAGTCGACGTATTGCAGTAACATGCAACAGTATGCCATGGATTCTAAGCGGAATATTCAGGTTGTAAACCTGGATCCGGCGGCAGAGCACTTTAGTTACACCCCGCTCACGGATATACGGGAGTTGATCCACTTGGACGACGCCATGGAAGACGAGGAGCTTCACTATGGTCCGAACGGAGGCCTCATCTTCTGTCTGGAGTTCCTGATCGAAAACCAAGATTGGCTTAAGGATCAGCTCTGCGGCGGCGAGAATGAACTTATGGTCGGCGAGCCGGACGATGATTATATACTGTTTGATATGCCTGGCCAGATAGAACTGTTCACCCACCTCAAGATGGGAAAGCAGCTGGTGCAGTTGCTCGAGTCATGGAACTTTCGGACATGTGTAGTCTTTTGTCTCGATTCCCAATTCATGGTGGACGGCGCCAAGTTTATATCCGGTACAATGGCTGCGTTGAGTGTTATGGCCAATATGGAGCAGCCGCATGTCAACGTACTTACCAAGTGTGATCTCCTGAGCTCCGAAGCGCGAAAGCAATTGGAGTTCTACCTAGAACCGGATTCACACAATCTCATGGGCGAGCTGACAATTGGAAGCGGCTTTGGAGAAAAGTATCGAAAGCTTACAGAAGCCATTGGATCACTGATTGAGGATTTCAGGTAAGTTATCCTATTTTTTTGTGAAGTTTCATTAAAAAGATTTTAAGTCTTTTAGTTATGATTAAATCTTTATATTTATTTATTGTGTATATAATTAGTTTTTCTTCAAACTTATTAGGTGCAAGCTTGATAAAAATAGTACTATAGTTTCAATTCGTATTCAAAGGATTGAAAAAGGTATATTTTAGTAGGTAATTACACAATTAATTCCGTTGATTTTTCTAATAAATCTTCGGTGCTTCGAATTTCGAGTCGAGCTCATTATCATATATATAAAATTATATAAATTTAACTTCCAAAATTAAAATGAAATAATTGTACAACTTTCCTAGCCAAAAAAGACTTAAATTCTAAGCAATTAAGCTTTCGTTTTGCGCGTCGGGTGAAATGGGTGCTCCATTTGGGATAAATCTGGAGGATTCTGTTCGAACGCGCTGATCTCCTCCATTCCGCTATTGGCGATTTCCCACAACTGTGGATACTCCTCCTTGAAGGTGTTGTACCACTTGGCAACCAGGGGATACTGCAGCAAGTCAAAGTCGATGGCTTCCAGGCACAGTGTAGCCGAAATTAGACCAAAATCGGCGATGGTTAGATTGTCACCAGCAGCGTACTTGGTTCCCAGTCTCTCCAAATAGGTTTCGAACACCTCGAGGGCGTTCTGCACCTTCTTGAGCGACATGGGTGTGCGATCGTAGTCAAAGAAAATGGGTGCCATGCTGTGGGCCGAAATCGGTGCATAGTAGAAGCCCATGTTGAAGCACAGCCGCTGATTTATCAGTGCTCGCTGGTTAACATCCTGCGGGTACAGAGTCGAGTCGGGTGCATACTTATCGCACAGATATTGCATAATGGCGATACTCTCCGACAAATAGAACCCATCGTCGTCCAGCACGGGTATTTCCTTCTGCGGGTTCATCTGAAAGGGATTATGTCTTATTTTAGTATTTTATTATTTTCGCCACTGTAGTGTGTATTCACCTTTGCATAATCCTCAGTTCGGTGCTCCAGGGCACAAAAGTCCACGTTGATCAGCTGGTATTGGATGTTCAAGGCCTTGAGGGTCATGCGAACGGCCAGGGAGGGTGGCCCATCGGAGACGGCGTACAGTTTCATGGTGTATATGGGTCTGTGGGCAAAAAAAATCAGCATTAGCTTTTTGGTGGCCTCTCGTTCGACCGGTTTACCGGCCCCAACTAGCTCTAAAAGTGAAAGCCATTTGCCTCTGTCTCTCCTCTTACAAATTTTTCTATTTTTGGTTCAATTTTTTCTCTTGTTGGATTTTTATAAGTATGCATATAAGTATGGTTAGTGATGTGTTAGTTTCCTATGGTATGTTTTGTTATTAAATAATTTTAAACCTACAAAGTTGTTATGCACTCGCGGAGCTCTGAAATACCACTGACGAGGTTTTAAAAGCTCCCACAGACTGCAGGTGTTCGTTTCAATGACAATTCAAACGAGTTTTATGATTTAAATATGGTTTAACGACTATAAGATACCCTGTACTTACTCAACAGAGCCGTAGCCATCAATATCATCGGCCGATTCCTCCACGACTTCAATTATGGCATCTGTGTTCTCCATTTCCATGTACTGCTGATCTTCTTCCAGGGGGACTTCCTCGCAGTCCTGCTCAATATCGTCCTCCTCGATGACATCGTCTTCCTCCTCTTGCGATTCTATTTTTATGGAGGCTGAACTATTTTGGCTTCCAGAAACCCTTGGCTTCTTGTGAACCACAATATCGTTGCTGATATTGGAGACATTGAGACGCTCGATGGCCAAGTCGCCGTACTCCTCCTTGATCTGATCCAGTGACTTGCCGATAAAGTGCAGTGGCCGGAACTTAAGCTTCTTATTGTTCTTCTTGTTAATCTCGTTGAAGAGGCGCCGCTTGATGTCGTCCTCGCTGAATGGATGACAGTGATGGTTGTAGACACGTAGCACGCGGATGGAGCCATCTTTTTGGGTGGCGGTCGAGATGCGGCTCTTGCAGTTGATCTCCGGGTCGCGACCCTTTATGCATACCCAGTAGTTGCGTGAAATGACCCCCCGATTCTTGGCGTGGTAAATGTAGCCATCGACGCAGAGCAGCTCGTGCCCCTTGGCCGAGCGCAGAGTGCAGATCTTGGTGAGATCCATATCGGGTTGGGCGCCCTTGACAGGCTCAACCACTTCTCGCTTCCTGCGGATGTTGGTAATCTCCGGCTGAGGCTTCGGCAATGGTGTCGATGTGTTGAGTCCCACCAGTGCATCTGGAAGAATCTCTATTTTGGCACTTATGTTGTCAGATCCATCCTTCATGTACTGGACAATCATGTTGGCTTTGGCTTCTGGCTCCATTTTGATGGCTCCGTCGATTCCAATAACCTTCTTCATCACCACATTGCTGGTGTCCACCTGCTCGTAGCTGTCATCTATGCTGGCGTCACCTTCAAAGGCTTCTCCTGTCTGACTGGCTATGTCCTCGTTGCTCTCATAGGCCACTTCCACCTCATGATCCATCTTGATTTGCTTTAGGTCGCTGTCCAGCTTTGCCTGTTGCTTGAGGCGACGTACGATCTCTTTGAGGTCTGGCAGATGCGTGTGCTCCCCATTGATGCGCAGCACCAATGGCCCGTTTTCCACCGGATTCAAGGTAATGCGAACGTGGCAGGTGTTGATCTTGTCCCGACGATTGATGCATGTGAAGAACATGTGGCCATTAGATCGGCTCTGGGAGTCAAAATGGTACAGGTGTCTGTTCAAGCACAGCACCTTGCGACCCTTTGCCGAGGGCAGAAAGGTGAACTTGGTCAGGTCGGTCTCTGTAAGCGGATTGTATCCTGGTGGCGGCTCATAGTCGGCAATCACTTGGAAAGCCGCGGGCCACTTCGATTCCTGCTTCGGATGATCCGACTGGTCGACTTGGGAAACCATCTCCATGTATTGGCTGTCTTGAACTTCGGAAGGCCCTCCACCCTCGGCCCCCACATACACATCGTAGTTCTCCTCGCATTCCTCGATTATGATCGATTCTAGATCATCGCACCGCTGTCCCACCTCATACGAATTTTCGGTATCAAAGTACTCCAGATTGGGGCATTCGGCTAACACTTCAGCTGTCTGCTCATCCTCTACCAGGACGATCTGGTGCTTGGCGAACATGTGCATCAACTTGGTGGCGGAGTAGTGCGGGTGGATGTGGGCGTCTGTTTCCAAGGCGTGCAAGCGATGGGATCCTGTCAGCGTCGCTTCGGTGCAGATATAGGCCGTGCACTCTATGTCCCGCTTCCTGACGCATGTCCATCGAAACACGTCTCCTCTGTAGGACTTGCCGTCCAAATAGTACAAGTGGCCGTCGATGCACACCATCACGCGACCATCTCGTCGTCTCAGCATGAATATACGTTCTTTGTCCTTTAAAGAAAGGAATTAAAATTTTAATAAAAGTTTAAAAATGTGAGAATTATAGCTGAAGTCACAAGTAATAGGGAAGTCCTACCATATATGTCATGTCCCTCCAAAAATTACTCATCCTGTGTCCTGTTTTATCCCTTTAGTTATAATATATCCTTCTTCCTGACATACAAATCTTTGAAATGTTTGTAAACACCTAGTAATGTGACCATTTTTTTTGCTAATCTTGAAGACATTGCCTTTAATAAAAATAATAATCATACATATCATAAACCAATCCCTAAAAATTTACCCTATCAATAGTTTAAGCCCTGCCCATTTTAGAAACATAAGAGTTAACCTAATTCTCATTTATATTATCTATAATTATAATTATTATAATTTAAAAAAATAGGTCAGGTTATCAGCCTCTTAGAGAGTTTCATATTCAATTTATTAAAATCCTGAGTGCCAGCTATAAGAGCCAGCAGACGCACCTCAAAGTCCAGCTGAAAGGAGGCTTCCAGGGCGGAGGTGTCAATCCCGCCCTGGATCCACTCCGGCGGATTCAAGCCCTTGTTGGCGCGCTCGTACAGTCGCGCCCGCTTTGGCTGGGTGGTGCTATAGGCGTCGTCCATCTTCATGACCGATAGCCGTTTGCGTTGGGCCACCTTGTTGACTTCGTGGTCGCTGCAACGTGGATGGATGTGGGGCTGAATCACTTCCACCACTACGTGATCCTGCTTGTTCATGGGATTGGGAAGAATGGTACATATGCGGGATTTGCATGGAGTGGATCGGTCTTTTCGCCGGTTGCACAGCCATCGGTATGTTTTGTCTTTGCCAATGCGGTCAAAGTGGTATAGATAATCGTCAACGCAAAGCATGTCGACGCCCTTGGCGGACCGCACCACGGACACCTTGGTCAGGTCCATGCCGTGGTCCTCCAGCGCATCCATCTTCTGTTTGAGTTCGAATCCCTCCATATGTTTCGGCGTTTTTAGCGTTTTTCGATTTTCCAGAAAAGTGTTTTGTATCGTAAATTAGGCGATTTTGTGTGTGTGGCTTTAAATTTGTTGGTTGGGATTTTTGGTGGTATTTCATCAGCTCTCCAGTTGCGCGCCCATTCGCCAAATCCCCGTAAATATTAATTGGACACTAACTAATCACGTCTTAAATCACTTTTTAATGGTTTTATTTGGTTTTCCCGTCCAAATTAACAACACAAGCACATTTTTTTTTCTGCGACGCGATGAAATAATGGATTTGTGAAAATACCAGGGTTGCGAGCGTTTAAATGGCGTTGGTGTTGCCACTTGTCAGCTCTTTTCCATTGTTTTTACTAAATATTATTAAACTATTTTATTTTTATTTTCTTGTTTTGCAGTTTGGTGCGATTTTTCCCTTTGGATCCACAAGATGAGGAAAATATTGGCGATCTCCTGCTACAAATCGACAATGTATTGCAATACGGGGAAGATGCTGATGTCAAAGTAAGGGACTTTGATGAGCCTGATGAGGAGGAAAGGAATGATACATAAAACAAATATATTTTTAAGCTGTTTTTTATTGTTTTAAACTTAAAGAAAAATTAATATACCAGTAATAAATACATTAAAATAAAATAAGAATATATCAGCTATTGCATCCCTGGCTGCAGCGTTGCCACCTTATTGTGTTTTTGCAGCTCTGCTTCGTAATTTGAAAAACTGCCCTCCGCGTTTAGACGCTCTAAATAAACAAGCTTATTAGCCGCAATTCGATGTTAATTAAATCATGCAGGAGGACCTCGACGAGAGTCCCGTGGGTCTAACCGTCAGCCAGGAAGCTATCACTAAGCGCCTGGCCGCGCTGAATCGATGGCAGGATGAGCAGAGGAGACTCCTGGCGGAGCGTCAGAATAATCAACGCATTCTGTTGGGTTTGGAACAACGCAATATGTACAAAATGCTGGGACTACTGCATAAGGATGGGGATAGTGCAGAGAACAGCGTCCTCGAGGAGGAGGAGGATGTTGAGGAACCCTCCATTCAAATGCCGAGACTAATGGAGCATCCAGAACATGAAGAAGTGGTCAGAACCAGCCCTCAGGTAGCTAAGCCCAAACGCCCATTTCTGCGACGGGGAGAGGGTCTGAAGCAGCGGTTTAAAATCAATCCGGATGAGTTGAGATTGGACAATCTTCCTCGCTACAAATACGCCAACGCACATCCTCAATATCGTACGCCTCTGAAGAAAAGTAATATTAAAACGCGCAAGGATCCTGCTCCTGTTCCAGTCCCTATGAGTGTTCCTGCCCCTGCTCCTAAAAACCATCCCCCACTCGACCTGACCGAACAGCGCTTCCAGCAGCTCCTTATCAGCTCCAATAACGTTGTCAGTTCGACGCCGGATCTCAAGTCTTCCCATATATCTTCAACCACTGCCTCCAGTATCTCCCCGAAAGTCCGTTTCAGAGACAACAGGAAAAATGCAGGACTAGCTGACGATGAAGCTTCCTCAGAGGCAAGTCCGTTAACAGGTGTTTGCTGGGCACAGGTGCTGGATACTCAAAACATTAAACCCCTCATCCAACGGCGTTCAGCCCAAATCCGGGTAGAGGATGATAGCAATGTCAGTATCTTTGAGTTGTTGGAACAGAAGGCCAGTGAGGGTAACTTCGATATGAATTCCAGCTGCATACGTGCCTTTATGGCTCGCAAGGAACACCGCCGAAATATGGCGGATGACTCGGATCAGATTGTGGTCACGCAGCAAGTACGGCAGATGCGACTACAGCCGGAGGTTGGGGAAGTAATCGTTCAAGAAATTGATGAAGAAAATAATGAAGAGAACGATGAAGAGCTGGAGGACGAAGAGTCCACAGAACAAACTATGACCATGACCCCAATTCAGGTGGGCAAAGCCCAAGTGCGAGTACGTTTTTCCGACTCCAATGATACCCACGAATACTCCGATGGTTCAACTCTTGCCGATGGCTCCAACATTCACCTCTTTGAGCAGTTTAAATCCGCTCTATTTCAGGCTCTGGAACAGAAAAAGAAGGGAACTGCAGCCGGCCAGCAGGCGCAGGAACCCCTAACGCAAGATCTTCAAGAAAAAGCCAACCTGGTTCGCACTCGCCTCGAGGAATTGGAAGCTGAAATTGCCACATTCAAGGAGAAAAACACCGAGCTTTTGCGTCTCAAGCAGCAGCATGAACTCGAGAAGGCTAGGTGTGCCCAGGAACATCAGGAGGCAATGGAACGTGTCCACGATGAGAAAATTCAAGCGGAGATCTACCTTCACGATGAGCGAATGAAGATTGAGGAAGAGCGTCGCAAGTTTGAGCAGCAAATGCGGCTTCAGAAGAGTAATGCCAACACCAAAGAAAAGAAAGAAATAGCCGCTCTTAAGCAGGAAGTGGAAACACTTCAACTGCAACTTAAGCAAAAGGATCAGGCTCATGTTTCTGCCCAAGCTAGACTGCGAGCTCAGCTTCGGGCCAGCGAAAAGGAGCAGCGCAACTACCGCGACGAGATCGAGCTTCTGGGCAAGGAGAACAAGCGCCTGGAGCACGAACTGATCAAAATCAGTCGCGAAAACAACAGCAAAATGCTGAAGGAGATCAACAGGAATATTGCCCGACTGGCTCCTAAAGTGGTGCGTATAACCCTTGGTATTTTCATAACCTTAGTTTCCAGTTAATACTTACGTTTCTTTATGTTCCAGTTGCCTTCAGCTTCCGCTTCCCAACCCGTGGATGAGAATGGACGTCGAACTCAGTCCCTGGATGGAAACGCTTCCGCAGCTCATGGAAAGCAACAGGAGTCGTCTAGTCGGCGCCAGAGTAGTGGCAGTGCTCACCAGCGAAGTCGAAGCCGGTCTCTAGGCAGAACAAAAAAGAAGCCAGAGGCCCTAGAAGAGAGCTACGCTTCAAGTAGCAGTTCGGCTGAGGTCGAAGAAGTCGAGCCAATCGAGCCATCCCCAGGTCCAACAAATCCAACTAATCACCCGGCGGCTGCCAACTCATCTAGTGATTTTAAGCGTGAAATTGTGAATGCTGATGGGAGCAGGGATATTTGGTATCCCAATGGAAATCTTAAAAAGATAAGCGCCGATGGCATGAATATACGCATGCTTTACTTTAACAAGGACATTAAGGAAACGGATATTAGAGAGGGAACTGTGAAGTACTACTACGCCGAAACCAATACCTGGCATACCTCATACCTGGATGGTTTGGAAATATTAGAGTTCCCCAACGGACAGACCGAACATCGTCGTAAGGACGGAACCGTTGAAATACATTTCCCCAACAATAGCATCAAAGTGGTGGATCCCAGCGATGCGGAGAAGTTGGAGGAGTGGCGCTATGCGGATGGAACTCATTTGGTGCAAATGCGAAATGGGGACAAGATTCTAAATCTGCCCAATGGCCAGAAGGAGATTCATACAAAGCTAAATAAAAGGAGAGAGTATCCTGATGGAACTGTTAAGTTGGTGTATCCGGATGGTAGCCAGGAGACTCGCTACTCCAATGGTCGTGTGCGTCTGAAAGATAAAGAGGGTAAACTAATCATGGACACTGACTATGCCAAGTATTAGAATAAGAGGGTTTTCCAATTTTATCAATAAATATAGTTTTTAAATTATTAAATATATGTTATCTTCGTTTCCCTTTTCGTATTATATAAATCGGAACAACTGGGATCGGCTGACTATATCCTATAGCTGTCATATATATACATAACTGATTGATCGGAAATGGCATAACTTAGATATTATTTAAGTTAAAATGTTACGGCTTTGTGTGGATGCCATTTGTATCATACTAATCCTCACACATCCTTATGTATTCATATCCTTAATTCCTTCCTTCCTCATCCCTGATTAACTTAATTCATCTATAATTTCTAAAGGAAAACATGTTTGTTTACAAATTAAAAATCTGAAAATGTAAACACTCATATTTCCATTGCCTACTTTTAAGGGCGCCTTGAAGTCGAATAGGAATGAAGAGTAAAATAATATCGTTGTTTTGCGTATGATAACATTCCAAAATATTCTTCAGTTTGGTAACTATTCAATAAAATGTTTAATAATAATTAATTAAAAATAAAAATTAAAAATCGCCCTCCTCCTCGATTCTCATAGGTTGCACTTAAGCAGGGCCAAAAAATCGGGAAAATAGTAATTTTTTTTTTACAAAATTTTTTTTTTGCTTGCTTGCTTTGGTTGTTGTAATTCTAGTTTTTGTTGTTGTACTTTTTGTTGTAATTGGTTTTGTAATGTTTATTCTTTTTTTTATTTTTATTTTTTTTTTACTTTTTTTTTTTTTTTTAAGTTGCCATATATGCTTCTGCTTTTATATATGTAATTGAATAATCCTAAGTGTAATAACTTTGATGTTTTCTAAGATAGAAACATGGACATTTTTCAAAATTTGTTTCAAAAGAAACTGTTTTGGTCTCCGATGACCAACAATATCCAATATTTGCAGAGTATATCCCATCCGATATTATCTTTTAACAAAAACTGTCGTTTGTTGTTCTTTTTTTTTAACTTATTTTGAACAGTGATTTTATTTAAACATATCATATAAAATAAAAAAAATATTAACATTATTTATTTAATTTATTGTTAATCCTTCGGAGCGTCCATATCAGTTGCCATCTTTAGATGAGCATCAAACTGAATTGGATTCATGTTGAAAAGTTTCGATGCAAACTGAACCATTTGTTCGTAGGTGATCTCAGCTTTAGCCCGCAATCCCCAGAGGAAGTAGATCTTAGAATCGTCGTAGGCGCTCAGCACGGAGCGCTCCCGCTTTAGATACTGCTGCCTAATGAAAGTCTCCTCGATCAGCTTGCGAATGTTGGGACCAAAGTATCCATGTTCTTTATCGACACAGATGTTCAGCATTTCCAGCATCCCGTACAGCTTCGTGTCTTCGATGCGGTTTCCTCGCATAAAGATGTACATAAGGGTGAGATATAGAAGCGTGTATTGAGGTCTCTGGGTGGGTGTCAGTTCATAAATGGAAGCCATCGGAGTCTCCGCAGTGCAAATAAACGTCTTGCTGGTGGCATCGATCGGTTTGAATAATATGCCAAACCGTGTGCTCAGCAAATTGATGACGAGCGGTAGGCGGCGTACCACTTCTTTTCTGTCCCCAACCGTGGCGAGTAAGTCCTTTTCCTTGATTGGAATCTTTTCAGCCGAGTGATCCAGGATGTAGTTCAAAATGCCGCGCACTTTGTCGTCTACTTCAGTCACGTGCTGTGACGCGCTTGTCTGAGATAGGTTTACAGTCTGACTTCTAGCAGCGCGAGATGTGCTAGCCATCTTTGAATCCAATTGTCCTTAATAGTTGTCAAATATAAAATTAAATGCAAAAATACGAATGAGATATGCGAAATAATATTTCAAGAAATAGTGTGACTGTATTCAAGACGCTTAGATATACCAAATGGCTAAAATGGTTCTGCCAATCGATAACAGTTTGGTATTTTTATACCATATTGGCGCCAAAATTCAATTTATGAAACGGTCAATGGGCCACTTGACATTGTGCTGCATTTTCGCCTGGGTCGTTTCCGTCCTGTCTCACTTGATAGTCATTTTGTGGTTTTCAAGTGCGAATGAGCACTTTATGTGCTCGTTAAATCGCACAAACTGGGCCAAGTGTGAGCGCTGAAGTGCCGACATTAGTGGGTTAATATTGATTGGGTTTGCTTGGCAGGCCAGCTTTCCTATTGTCTCTTCCGATTTTCTCATTCAGTTTACTGTCAGCCGTTTAAAAGAAATAATTTTCTTTTGGTGGAATTTTCAATATTTTACAACCTAAATACATTAAAAGCGCATTTTGGTGGAGACTTCTGAGGTGATGTGTTTTTAATTAAAATGGCAAAATCATGGCGACGTGAAGCAGCAGGAAGCAAACAACTTTCGAAACTAAACGCGAATGACATGCACGGTCAACATTCCCCACGGAGACTCAAAATAAACAGGCCTAGAGCAGAGCCAAACAAAACGAAATGGAAATGCATTTTGTGCAGGAGTAGGCACTCTCAGACGCAATTGCAGACGCAGACGGGAGACACGAGGGAGAATTGCCTGGCCAAACATATTTTATTGCCTTGAAACGTGTGTTTTAGGTGGCGGTGACTGAGGTGAAAACTAGTTACCTGCGCCTGCGTAAGCCGGCTAAAAAAAAGTGAAGTGCTCTATCCATAAGTGATAAATGTATAGGCGGAAGGCAGACCAAAGTTGACTGGCCAGGCGGAGCACCTTTAATTGATTTGCCATTGTTCCGGCTCAGACAAAAGCCCGACGCGAGCCAAATCTCAGAGGTCAAAAATTTATGAGAGCCTTTTGTATTCGACCGAAATGGATATCCGTTCGCATGCGCAATTTTATGCTCGACCACTGGCTCTAATAACATAAGAATTTGCATACCAAATCTGGCCAAGTCAAGTGAAATGCCTTGGAGTCCAAAAGAAACCGCGAGTGAGTGAGTCAACAAAGCGCATTGTCAACGCTTCGACTTTGACTTTCTACTCACAGACGAACAGTTTTGCTTTCAAAATGGGTATTTGTGACGAAAACTTTGTCAACTCCAGCCCTAACTTTTTTTATGGCCGACTAATTGTAGACACATCCCCGCCACTCAGAGTCGTATGGCGAAGAAATGCTTTTCGTTATACCGCCTGCTGAAAAGAAAGTCAAGGTCTTTGCCGAGAGACATGAGCGGTGAACTTGCTTTGCAGCTTTTGGCATTTAGTGGCCATAAAAAATTAGCAAAATGACATGAGCAAGCTATTTAGAATTTTCATGATAAACAGAAACCCATGACCGACCAATAGAGTAACGACAACGGGTTTTTGTGCTCGCCATGGTGGCAAAAACTATTAATAAATTAATAACAGAATCTCAAGAGAAGCCAACAAATACAAAACAAAAGTGTGCACAAAAAAAAGAAAAGAAAGCTAACATAGGAATGCTGAGAGGTTTGATGCTCTATATGATCCGGGTTTATTGGTTTTTTATTTAATTTTAAAGTAACCTATATAAGGATTAGGATTTATATAAGGATTTAAACGAAATGTATACAGTAGTAAAGTAAAAAGTTATTTCCAGTTACTTATATGATTTTTATGTTTTTTATTGGTATTTTTACATTTTCAAATTCTCTTATATTCCCTTCGAAATTTTTAGTTTTTTCTTTACTTTTCCAACCTCTTAGCAAAAGCTAATAGCCCCGTTTTCGATTGCGCTAGAATAAAATCAAGAATCTAGCAACAATAGCCGGCTTTTGTTGACTCAGTCTGGTTGCGTGCTGTTCCCAAAAGTGGACTGCCTTCAGCGGAGTGGTTTGGCATTCTTGTCGAACGGTGGCTGCCGCTCGTGGCTGATCTGGCCGATCTGGCGATCACCGCTTAGCTCCCGAGCACAGACCGGCACTTCGATTGGATTATGATTTGCACCTCTCCCGCATCGTTTTTTCCCCAACGACCAGTTCGCCGCTAAATGTCAATGGGGTTCACAATTAAAAAACTTGGCTATAGTCATTAGTTGGCTGGCATCTGAAGTTGAGTTCTAAAACAAAAGACTTAGGCAACAAACTTGTTAGGCAGATGTCGCTGACTGCTCAATTAAGAGGTCAATTTATACACCCAGGCCATGGCCTAAAATGGACGAGCGGATTTTTGTGTTTTTGTTTCTCCCTCGACCTTTTACACTTAATAAATTTTGATGCAAACTAGTTGGCAACGGCACCAGCAGCCCTGGCTGATAATCAAATTAAACGCTTATCAGTTAGTTTGGCAAACTGCTGCAACAATCGCCGTAATTAAAGACAGACAAATGAGCAATGACTTGACTGACTCCACTTGGGGGCCAAGTTCATTCGTGCATATCGAATCGCGTATACGCACTGTGTGCACTGACGACACCGCAAAACCAGGGGGTCTCACAAATGGTTCGCATTTGTACAAAAATAATTGATGGCAAAGCGGATCTAAAATGCTTGAGAAAATGCGATTTTTGCATTAAAAGTTTTCTTTCAGAGCAGCAGGAACTAAGATTTTATTTATTCAAATTACTAATTTATGTGCGTTTCTAAATATTCACTTTTTTTGAAAATATTTGAAGGTCGTTTAAAATCAGATTATTTATTTCTATGCAACTTTGTGGTTCTTCCAACCTGATCATTTCGCCTTCGTGGCTTTTTGTTATTGCTCTCAAGATTCACAATCTCTGCGTTTGGCTGCCATTCTAAATGGTTTATTAATTTTTATTGCCAGTTTTTCGATGACTTTGAAGTGGGCTAGGCCAGTATATATCTGAAGCCCACATCGCTTTAGTTTTTTTTATAAAAATTGGGTAATTATTAATTATGTCATAAATATCCATGCCGTTTTGTAAACAATTAAGCGTAAAATTCAATGTCTACCATTGGTCGCGGATAGTCAAATAGATCGAGTCAAGTTGGTCAAAATTAATGGCGTACGGCTGACGCTTGAAAAATGCCCAAATAATGAGTCATTTAAGACAGTAGCCCAAAATGTTCCACGTAATTCTCTACGCTTAGCAAATGCTAAATAGTTGTTATACAGTACCCGGCGCCAGTTAAAGTTCATAAAAACTCAATTAGGGATTTCTCGAACACCACTTTTTTGGTGACGTTTTCGCCGCTTACCTTGTGAAGGTCGATCAACAACTTTTAAAGCCCCCGTATCACACGAGGCGAAATGTGAATCACATTTTCGCATTTTGTATGCAGCCGGCGACGTTGTCACAACAGCCTTGAGCGCCAAACACTTTGCATGAGAGAGCGGACCCAAAAATAAAACACAAACAATAAACTGTTGCATAAATCTTGGTCGGCTTCCTGTGTGAAAAACTTTCACAAGCCATTTGCCAAAAGCAACATTTTATAATAATTATTATTGAGCTGGGTGTCATGTTATACATGCATCAATTTTATGGATTTTATATCGCAAATGGTGTTTACCTAACAAGAGCCCATGTGAAGATCTGCAGTTGGACTTTGAAGTCATGGTCAGGGTCGGTTAACCTAAAGCTGTCAACAATTCAGATTAATCCTACGCATAAATACACATAAAACATCTATAATAAATATTTATTAAAGTGTTTATTTTATGTGAACGATTATACACCTAAAAAATTAATAATAACCCACCAAATTTAAGCCCTAGAATTGTTACTGCTAAGCTTCTTATTTTTCATTCTAAGATTTATGTTTATGATTCTCGAAAGGCAAGTTGTAAATTTATTAGAAGAATTCCCAGGGTCTAAAGCTTTTTGAGTCACTTAAAAATACCCCTATATATATATAGGATTATTCAAAGAAATGCTGTTAAGCCAATTTAAATCCCGCCAGAGAAGATTATGCATCCGAGTGGCCCGACCTATGATGTCATGTCTTCGAAATGAATTTTTCGGTTATTTTTGAGCTTGAGCTTGGGTTTTGCTTTCTGGTTGTTTATCAGATATCTGGGTATCGGTCCAGCAGGCGCAGCGGTCTTTTTGAACGCATTTTATTAGCTTGGTTGTGTACACTTATATATATGTATATGGATGTATACATATCCAGGCTTTGGGCATATTATATGGGTATAGTTGTCTGAGCGGTGTCTGCATTCACAACCGGTGTGGCTGTCTTCGCACTGGCTTGGCTTTTGTTTGTTTTATATAGTCGCACATACTTACATATATGTATCTGTGTATATATCCCTCGTTCAGTCTCGACATGTCTGCATTTAAATGCATTTTGTGTATATATATATATAACACACAATATATGTGCATATGGATTTGCTTTACTTTTACTTTCATGTGCAACTGGTTGCTGACTGCAATGGGGAAGTGTTACCCGAGTGCCGGTAAGTGTGTGTGGGTTTAGTTTTTTGTTTCAGTGTATGCGTTGTTTTTGCAGCGACTGCAATGAAAACGGTTTGTAAAGTGATTGTCAATCATTTTTGGTGGCATGTCGCTTAACTGCTTTGACAATAAAAAGCCAACAAAGCCCCACAATGGCAGCTGCTACACATTTTTTCGGGGCTTTGGCCACAATTCATTGGCCGCCCGAGTTGGCTCAATTAAGCATTTAGTGCTTTTAAGCATTGCGAAATAATTAGGTAATAAATATCAATACATCTCACTAAATGCTGCTTATTAAATTAATTATACTTGGTAGATTATTTTACCCAGAATCCCATTCCCCACTGATCATATCTGTGGATAAATTAATGGCGGTCTGAAATAAATTAATTCTATTAACTCAAGCAACGTTTATGCCCCACTTTTTTATCCTCTTATGTACCTGCTTTGATTTATTTGACTTTAATCATCCAATAATAAACAATAAAAGTTAGACACAACAGACCCCGAAAAATAAGCCAACAAAATATTGACGTAATATTTGGCTGCGGTGCAGAGCAAATTGGCTAAATGTTTTTGGTGAACAAATAAGGAAAACTAAGCCAATTTAAAGCGCACCGACTTGCCAGCTTTTATTTGGGTTTCGGTATCTTTTGAAACAGACCCGAATCGAGATTAACTTGAATGAGATTTCTGGTGATTTTGTGGCCTTCGTTTGGCCAACTCTCTTTTAATTTTTATTATCGTGAAATTTTCATGTGTAACTCGAATGAAGACATTACAAGCCAAACCAACAGTAAAGTGGAAAAACGAAATGAGAAAATTTTTGGCTTCTCCCATGTAACCAGGGAATGGCATCCAAAAAATAAATTTTTCGCGTTTTTATGTAATGTGAAATTGGCTCTGGGATTTCATTTGGCATTTTCGCCTATGTCAAATTTAATTTTAAATTTCTATGTAGATTATACTCTTAATTATGTCAATTATTATTGAACAACTTTCCCTGTCCTTTATCTCCGATCGAGTTGCATGCGAATGGCTAAGAAAAAATCACACAGGTATCGGGTTTTAATTTTTCCCGGCCCAATGGCTGAGGGAAGTGGGTGCTTATCTTTGTGGCCATTTGAGTTGGCAAATTGGTTAATGCAATCATATGATATCTCTTGAGGTATTTTTTCTAATTAAATTTAAGTGTTTCCGATGGCTTACATAAATAAAAATAATTCAATTCGGGTAAAGTACAGAGTTGCAAGCCCAAACTGCCGTCTTAGTTTCTAAAATATTGCCCCATTCAAGAATAGAGTGCATAAACTAAAGTTGCATTATTGTTAGTATCTTTTTCGTTTGTTTTTTTTTATATAATTTCGTGGCAGTAGCAGCCTCTCAATGACACTGCGATAAGCTTTAAGAAAAACTCCAACAAACAAACAAAAAGACAATGCAACATTGGCAGGGTTTGTGCAATGCCACAAGCTCAGATCTGCACTATTCTTATATTTTTGCATTTTTATTGTATATGCCACCACAAGAGGCACCGACAACAACCCAAAACCCCAAGAGACTTGGTGCACATTTGATACTTTTTGACGGCTCCGAGTTGGTTTTGAGTTGGATTTGATTTGAGTGGTGCGAGTTCTTTGGGCACACATTTCTTTTGGCTGATGCTGTTGGCCAACTCATGCCATTGATGTGTGCTGACGGTTTCTGGGCGCGTCTCCCAGCCAAAGCCATTGGATTGATATTTGCATCGATGGCATTTGATGGCGGTTGATCAGCGGAATTCATATTTCGGGGAGCAGCAGTCCCGCAGATAAGGCCTTGCGGATGATTTTGTGGGTAGTCGGTTATGTGGGTTCACAAATTGGAATTCGTTGTATTTTGCAGATTTTATCTGGGCCCTGTCTAAGGCACGGTTTAAATGAAGAATCATTTTTTGGGAATTTTATCGTCAAATACTTGGGTGTTGTCGAAAATCTTAAAATCTGTCTTAGAAAAGGTAAGACTTTATACCGTTAAGAGGCTATGATCGGAGGTATTTGTGCTTTAATCTTATTCGACTTTTGGGCCCGTTCAGCGACCCAGACAAAAAGAAGTAGAAGCAGCCAGAAATTGAGACCGAATACCGAAAACCGTGGGCGTAATCGGAACAATGAATGCCAGCCTGGTGGGGCTTGGGGTTTTTCAATGAGTCGTACCTTTTCCCCGCCCAATCAATTGGACAGTTCGAATAGTTCGCTGAGTTCACTTGTCAAGGAATCGACAATTGCAAGTCTTGGCCAAAAAAAAAGAAGAAAAAAATGTAGAGTCTTGTGTATGCATCATGGTCGTTTGCTTCTGAACCAACGACTTCTGGAGAGGGTACACATACAGCCTAGACACACCTGAGTGTGGGTGCAAGAGCGTTCAACTATTATGTCAAGCCGAGCTCCCTCGCTCTCACCTGTTGCGCGCTCAGCTGACGGAGTGGATGGTGGAAACTCAACACAGTGAGCGTTGTGGCCAGCAAACCAGTTACCTGTTGGAGGTGGTGAATTCAGCGAACGATCCATTCCAACCAAGATCCAATCCGGCGGAGAGATCAGTTGCTGGTCGTGCCTCAGACGGAGCGGTCTGAACGATCGTATTTGAACAACCGCGTTGTCCGCAAACGTGGCCAGAGATAACAGAGGAGAAAAAATTAAAAAAAAAAACCTATATCTTTTGCCGGGTTGGTGCTAATCTTAAATCCTAATCTCGTTAGCGTGTGTGTGTGTATGTGTTTCCGTTTTGATTTATGCAAATCTTTGGCTTTCCTATTGAACAAACACCAGAGCCAAAGAAGTGAAACATGCAGCATGGCAGAAAAAATAAGAGAACCACGACCAAAAACATTCCATTGAAAATACCAAAAACAAGTTTTCTCCTTGCCCCCGCCACCCCCCGCGGTCGCTCTTTCTCTTTTCTTTTCATCTGTCTCGTTCAGTTGTTTGCTTTCGACCATTTGCCATTTCTACATAAAAGGAGTGAGAGTGAAATGTGAAATGTCAGTGCAAATAACCCAAAACTTTTACAATGACATCATTTGGCAAAAAAAAATATAAACGTAAAATAAATACTAACAAAAATGAAGTCGAGCAAAAAATGTAGAACCGCCTGCTGTCTAATTGTCTCTCAGCTAACTTGGCCAAAAAGGCCGTGGAGCGCATTCTGCGGTCTGCAGCCGTTTCTAGTTGCAATGGTTGCTGCTGCCGTAGGAACCGGTTGAAATATTTTCGCTATTGCAATTTGGGTCTAAGGTTTTTGTTGCTGCCGTTGCAATATAGCCTATTGCATGAGCATCGACTGCCTTGCATATAATATAGCACTCGTATATCTTTTTCCTAGAGGGCAATTTGTTGTGCCTTTGTTTTTTCTATGCTGGTTTATTTGCCTACTTTATTTTTTGTTTGAATGGTGAGAAGCTGCTTCGGTTCCAGAAAATAAAAATTATGTATGAGATGCTTTAGGGCCATGTTTGGGAGTTGTAAATTTAAATTAAATATGCTAAGTAGCATTTTCATATCGTAAATCTCTAGAGCGATTTCCAAAGTCTCGACATTTGAAAGAAAAAAAAAAGTAAAACGAAAGACTTAGGCAACGAACTTGCATAAGCTATTGTAAACTAGGGGAGTTTAGAAGCTTCGCATACATCACTTTAATGATTTAGAAGAATCTATAACTCAAAACTTAAACAACGAGAAATAAATAAACAGACATCAATAATACTTAGTCGAGCAGCACCGACAGCAGATATTTCATTTAAACTTTCCAAGTAACTCACCGACTGACCCAGCAAATCATTCCACCAATTGACGGCAAACTGTAGTCGCTTGACACTTGGTGGATCATTATTCAACCGACTTTCAACGGAAATGACAGCATTTGGGGTTACCAAACCAATGACAAATAACTGAAACCGCTGCCGTCCAAATGTCGTGTGAACTTAAACAACCGCAAAGGCAACTAACGAAAAAAAATCAAAAATAAATAAATAACACTAAAAGAGAAACTTCAATCAAATCGAGTGAACCAAAGTCAATAATGAGCTATCGAGACCTTTCCTATACCCCATATGTAATTTATTTAATTCCATATTTATAGAAGATTACTATAAATTAACTATAACAAGTGCAAACGTGTGAGAAAAAATCGTAAAAGAAGGGAAACAGAGAAAAAAAAACGGATAGATTAACCAAAATGCAGACGTGTAGAAGAAGAAAAGCCCGAGGCGACCCAGCCACGATCTCTTGGAGGAGAATGTGTTTGGCCACTCTCTGTGGATTGCTGCTGCTTGGCATTCAAATCGAGCATGCGGCGTCTGCGCCTGCAGGCGAGGATGCAGCAGAAACAACAATGCCAGCGTTGGATACAACAACAGACTCCCCAGTCGCAGCATCGCCAGTTACAACAACAATTGCCTCAGAACAAAGCACCAACATCAGCAACAACAACAGCAGCAGCTCCACCACCACCACCACCGAGGCAGCGGATAGTTCAACGACTTCCACGACAACAACCACTGAAGCTACCAACAAATCGAATGCGGCCGAAGCTGGTGAGTCTCAAAAGCCAAAAGCCATGAAAATTATATAGATGCCGGTAAATCGCTTAGACGCCCGACTAGATGAGGTCAGTGGCTTAGGTTGGATTTACTAAGGGGGATTCTAGCAAATTTAAAACGATATTTGTTTTTTAATAAAATTATCTTCTTTTTATCTTCTTATTAGTTTTTTAAAGGGAAGGTTTCAAGAAAAGGAAATGTCAAACCCTTATCTGCTAAATCCTTATCTTTTGAAACAAGTAAATGATTATAAGAAAAAATGTATTCAAAATACTTAAAGCATTCAGCGAGAGTCTTTCATTCGATTATCTAAAGATAAAGAATTAGAAAGAATCCTTAAGTGGCTACAAAATGTACATTTATTAAAATTATAAATAAAATTTTAAGAAATTACCCTTTTAGAAAATAATTTCATAAAAGAGTACTCAGTCAATGTCCCCTTTGACGCCACTGAATAATGCATCCCATCTCGGGTCTAGAGCACTTCTCCAGACACCTTAATCTCGCCCCACCTTGGCTCTGGGCCATTATCAAATTTGGTTCTCTGAGATACTAATTAACGCCGCGCCGGTGCGTGACTTCTGGGCCGCCCTTTTTCCCCGATTTCGTTTCGATTTGTAAGCCATTTCTCCGTAATTATTTTCCGATTCGGTTAAATGGAGCGCACAAAAGAAATTTTTCGGGTTTATTAATGAGCGAAAGAATATTCAAAGATACGAGTCGTTTCCTGTTGAATTACTTAGTTAATTGTGCGGTATATCAAAGTGAAAATAAGAAAATCGTTAGACCTTAGGCCAAATCAAAAGAAAAGCTTCCTCAGGCAATATAATTATTATAGAATTTCTTACAGGAGAAAATTGTTTTTTAATAGAGAACTGTGTAATAATTTTTTTAGAACATTCAGACATGTTTGGGATCATCAGGCAAATGATGAACTTTCATCTTTTTTGATCCACTTCTGTAGTACAAAAGTGAAAGGTTTTATTGCTCGGCGTTTGTCAAAGCCAATCGAGTTTTGAAAAATTAGGTTGCCGGTTTAATTGTCGAGTTCTTGGCAATAACAGTTTTATAATTGGCTTGAACGTTGCTTTAGGTTTAATGTCAGATGCACATCAAAGCATTTGTTCATTGTTGTGGTGGTTTTTGTTCATTTGGTTGGTCCAATGATGACTTGATAAAATAAGGTCTAGCATAGGCCCAGATCAATTCAGTCCAGATTGTTGGCTCAAGAAAACGGTAATACACTTTAACAATGGGGAAGTGGCCTTTTTTTAGGCCGCCCCAAATGCCACGGGGAAGTTAATGAGTTTTGACAACAAACATTGGATTGATGGTACGGTAAACCTTCACAAATTACTCAATTTAAATGCAAAGCACCCAGCAGTCATGACTCATGCCCTTAACCTACGTACCACAAGCCACTCTGTGTCAGATTTGGATAATTTAGGGAGTTGGCATTTGTACACCAACATGGAGTGTCTTCTCGCGGGGGCTAATTTAAACAAAAAAAAAAACAAAGAAATGTATACAGAAAATTAGCAAGGAAAAATAAATGGCAATTAGTCATTGGATGGCTTTGATAAATGATACGCCCCCACCTGTTTTGTGAAGACATCACACCTGATTAGATGAAATACCTGGTATTTTGAAATAGGAATAGGTTGGGATTTAATTAATTAGGCAGTGAGTGGGCTGCTAGGGGATTAATGATTTAGATTATATAATTAAAACAAATACAAACACTTACAAATCAATAATTGGGCAAGACTTTACACAGTTGATAAACTGGTTTCTAATATAGTTACAGCAACTGAAACAAGTCTTCAACTTTGCCGCAAACTGTCAGTCAAGCATATAAAAAGATTATAAATAAAAATAAAAATGCTATTGTTGATCTATTAATGTTTTTTTCAATAAAACGTCAACTCCTATGATCATGGAATATCCCATAATTACCAACCATTTTTACCGCTTGGCGGCTAACTTGTTTTGTGGAAAATCCAAAGCCAAAAGAAACACTTAGAGGCCAGCAAATTGTTTGCAAACCGAGGAAAAAATTTAACAAACTAACACTAATGAGTTGGAAAATTGCACACCACTAACGGTGGCAGTTGTACTTGAAAGTCGAGTACATAAATCATTTATGTTAATTTTCTGTTTTGCAGCACCCAATTGAGTGCTAAATTATGGCCTTGATATATAACAAAGGTGAACAAAAACTGAAAAAATGCAGAAGAAATCCTATTGAGCAATTTTCAATGCGTTGGCATTGCATCTCAGGGACTGCACTTAAAATGGCTTGCCAAAAATAAATAAATATTTATAGAAGGTCTCTTGCCCAATAATACGCATCACGAAATCTATAAACTTCAATAACGAAAATGATATGAACGAAAAAAGTCCACAGTAACGACCTCAATTAACAGACCAACAGGTCTCGACTCACTTTCTTCAAGGGAAAATCTACAGCAACAAAAAGAGTGGATGAAAAAATTATAATAAATAAAAAAAATAAATAATAATAAAAAGTGGCGAGTGACCTGTTATTATGTGGACTTGTTGATTGTTTATTATTTTTACAAATCAAAGCAAAGTGAAATTTACATATTTCTTGCACGTTTATCGTGATTTTTTGGTAGTGAAAATATCCCATCATCTTAAACATGAGAAGTTTTTTTTTTAATAAAATTTTTGATGCGGGGGATGACAAGTTAACATTTATGCGAAAAACACCAAGTTTTTCTGAATGGAATATACCCAAGCCAAGTTCGTTGCTTAAGTCTTTTGTTTGCTGCGCCCATGCGAGCTTGCTTCTTTCGTTTCTTGTTTATTTTTCTGTGGTTTTCATATTTGTTCGTCTGCGTAATCGAGAAATTCTTCAGAAAAAGGCCGGCAGACAAAACTTTTGTTTTCGTGAATTTTTTCAAGGATAAGAGTCCAACCTGAGTGTGAGAAATATGCCAGGAGAAATACATACATACGTACATATATAATGGGTGTGGCATTTTGGTGCGTGATATGCGGCATGAACTATGCTGTACCTTTCGCTTTGGGGTTCATGCTCGATTAGCTGGCGAATTTCAAGCGACCGCTATAATGAACCGATAAGTAAAAGTAGCTTAAAAAAGGCTTTTCAACAAGTTAGCAACGGTAAGAGTTTGAAAAATACATTAAGTGTTATGAGTGTGGAGTGACAAACACAACAACACGAAGCGATTGTTAATTGTTGGCCGTTAGCCGGTAGGTTGATTTTTTTTTTGCTTTGTTACTATTATAGCTTTTTACATTGAAACTCAAAACAGCATCCCATAGGCGAACCACAAAGGCGAGCGGGGGATGCGTGAAAGTGCAGACAGAGACAATTAACATTTTGTCCATAAATATGGCTTTATAGATGTTTGGAACTTTAGTGTCAAAAATATTACTATTGGGCTTTGAACTCTGAGTGGGATTTTCACACCGTTGATGTAGGCTTTCTCCACAAACCACACACTTTTCAAACAGAACCAAACGGGTTGAGCAAGTGAAAACCAGGCCTGGCCCGCGACTGAACTCAATCCGATCTATGTGTGTCAGGGGCGCAAATCAAAATACATAAATAAGTTGGCAAAATTAATTCTAATTGTAACTAGTTTTCAAATATGCATTAAGCAATGGCATCAATTCCACTTAGAGTACCAGTATCATGCAATTCCTACTCCTCCTTCTCCAGTCTAGTCTGGCTGTCTTGCATTTTTTCAATTAGATAATTTTTCACGTTGTTTCTTTTTTCTTCTCACATGCATTGGGAAAAAAATGTAGCACAGAAAGGCACTGTGCGGCTAATTAATGCATTTTAATTGCGAATACTTAGTGGCCTGGCCAAGTATCCATGTAAGTGTGAGTGTTGGGGTACACTGAGTCAATTATCTGTGTCATTGAACGGTGCCGAGAGCAAGAGAACGTGGACAGGAAGTTTCAGCTTAGAGCGTTAGCTTCAAAAAGAATGGAAATTATTTTAATTACCTGTTATGAATAATTTCTACTGTTAGGCGAGCTCAAAGATTAAATAAGAGGGGGATTAGTGTTGCATAAATGCGGAAGAATACTCCATAACAGAATAGTCTATAAAATATTACATAAAATATGTCCCAAAGACCTTGTTTATTTTGTAAAATACTTGCCTGATGAATTAAAATTCACACATGTTTATCCTCTTATGTATCTTCATGTCCATTGTTGGTTTTGCCAGCTTGTGCCATTCAATTGACCTTCAATTTGGACGCACTTTGCCACAAGTTACAAGTCAGCCAACCCGTAATGAAAAACAAAACCGCTCACATGGCTTTGTAGCTCCAATTCCAATCCAAACTCCACTTCCAATTCGATTTCATGGCCGGCCAAGCAACTCGCATTCACTTGGCTAAGAGTGTGTGGTGTCATTCCGCTGAGATCAGATACAGATACAACTAGAGCTGCAACTACACAAGTTAAGTGGCGTTTGTGTTTAGTCATATTGTTGTTTATATTTCTGCTAGAGGTCTTTGTCTTTAGCTCCTTAAGCTCGAACTCCAAATGGACAATGACACGCGCTCTTAGCAGCATTCGAAACGTGTCTTGTTTAAAGCATTAGATGCGGATCCCCCCACAACTCTGAAAAGAAATAAATACATATATATACCCCTCCGGATCCAACTGCATTTTTGTTGTTGTGGGATGCACATGAACTTTCGAGTTGAAAAAGGTCAAATACTGGTTGGGAAATAATTTTGCTTTATTGCCGAACAGTTTGAGTCGTCTTCCCCTTTTAGCTGGCTAATGATATTGTTGTTTTTGGCTTTTTTTATGGGTATGAGGAATCTGACCCTATCGGAGATGGTCTTACATACCTGACTGACCCACCGGACATTTGTTTGTGTACGAGAGTTCTTTGTTTTCCTTTCTCTCCACGGCCTAAGTCCATTTTTATGTCATTAGCCAGATAGAAAGGCCGATAAAATGCCAAGAACTATTTGGGTTGGAAGCAAACTCAGTTAACTGCATTTGAGATGAATTCATGATAAAGCTGTGTACTTTAAACGTTTCTTTGCTGATGATTTCTTTTGACAGAAACTGAAAAAAGAACAGGAAACAAATCGGATTCATAGCTTTGAAGTATTTCCGTCCAAAAAAGATGAAAAATTCAACGTAACATTGAAATTTAACACTTCGTTTCACAAATTTCCATATTCGCCTTTTGTGAAATATCAGCTCTTTGGACAAAGGCCAAATAATTTCATTAACATCAGCAAATTTCTAAAACAAATAAGTACAATAGGAAAAGCCTCCAAAATCTCGCTTTAATTAAAAGCAATACTATAATCAAAATTAACACCCAAAGAGTAGCGAACGAATTCGAATGCAAGCAACATCATAAATTGCGTAATCTATTCGAATTTTGTTTATAATTCAAAGTTGAAACCGGACCACCGCCAACAGCTGCATAATACGGTTGAATATTCGAGAAGGTACAAAACTAGATACATATATGTACGTATAGAGCCAATGTTTTGGATTCATGACACACTCTGAGGCATGACCGTTACATTGCCCAAAACCCAAAATGGTCAAACCTTTCCCCTCATGTTTTCCTTCTTTTCGATCGGCGGTCGCCGTTTTATTATGTTGACACTTTTTGCGCATTACAAAACCCGGCCAATAGAGCGGTGCAAGGTGGGTAAGAAGCGGTGGAGCCACAAGGTGGGTGGAGGGTATCAGGGGTGTGGGCATGGAGCGGTCATGGAGTGCTCATTATGAAGATCTGCTTCCGGTTGGTTGCGTCAAAGGCTCCCCTACACTCGGCGTCCAATTTCTAGCTACGGAAATGGGGAGAAAGAATTTCTGAATAGAGGTGCTTTAACGGAAAAGGTAATCGATTGGCTTTGCCATGTTTCTGGGTCAAGTGTAAGGTTTGACGAGGTTCTTTGTTGAAATTAAGTCATAAGTAGCGGAAAATGGACATTAAAATAAATTACATAATCTACATCTCTTGGAAGTTCTCACTAAAAAGAGAGACTTATAAAGTTCTTAATGATAAAAAGGCTATATCTACTAAACCAAGCCTTCTGTTGAATTTTTCAAATGCTTTCAGAATTTAAAAATGATAGAAAAGTTCCCAAATGACATCATTTAACTTTGTATTCTGCTGGAATATAATCAATAATTTAAATAAAAACCCTTTTTCATCAATAAATTATATGCATATCGTTCAAGAAACATGCCTTTATGAAGATTAATTGACCAAAAAGCTCTTTTTTCCAGCCATTTAGCAAACATTTCAAACCATTATCAACTGCAGATCGGTGGTGCCCATCCTCGGCCCAGAACAAGTACTATTCCGCCTAACAAAGACATCCGGTTTGCATGCAACGCTTCACGGCAGCTTGTCAATTCTAAGCACATCACCTATGGCCTCCGCCGTGCCTCTTGTAACGCCCCCTCGAATGTTAGCCCCAGCTACCAGGAGGCTCTTTGACAAGCTGTCTGTTCATTTGTTTGTTTGTGGAGCCGCAGAACGTGCGGCGACTTAGAAAAACCGCAAATGAGTTTGAACTACCGGACAGAATTTTTGCATTTCTGCATAAGTGGCCTGTCTTCGGGTGATTGTTTGCGGTGGTGCTGGTGGTTAGCATTCGTTTATATACCATATTTATATATATAAGGTGTATGTGTATATCATAATCAAGCTGACTGACCGGCTTAGGGACTGAGTCATAAACTATGCTAAACCAAAAACCCATTTTGCATGGCCAAGGCACTGAAGCAGATACAGAAACTCAAGTTCGTTGTCTGAGTCTTTTGAATGCACTCACAGAAGTAGGGGATAAAAACCCAAGGCAAAAACTTACATAACGGAAAGACGGACCACCAAACAAGTCCTATCTTTACCCCATGCTGAAGAAGGTATATATATATAAATATATATATATCTATATGTAATACATAAATTGAAGAAGAGCCTGGCGGGTTCGCTTAACGAGTGCCAGTGAAAAATGAAAATCAATGACAGTAAAAGACAAATTGTGCGCCAAGTAAAAACAGACAAAACAAAGGAGTGGGAGAGTCCCAGAAGAGGCTCGAACGCGAACAGTTCGCGTATTATAAACGACTAACCATGAAAGCAACAGCCAAGATCCGAGAACCAAGAACAGAGCGAACAACAACAATTGCAGTGCCAGTCCTCCTAGGTCTGGATCTGGCCAGAGCTGGAGCTGGAGGCTGCCAGCCGCAGCATAACGAACTCAAATTCAAGGTTCATGTCAGTAACCTTAAGTTCTGGTCCCGACACAACAATAAAAGCAACAGCCCAAACATAAAAAACACACATATAAAGGTGTTCTCTTCATATAGAAATCGGCTAGGTTCCTTGCCTATAAGCTTTACTACTTTTTAATGACCTATGTACAAATTTATCTTACATGGAGCTAATTAATCATCTTAATGGCTGAAAGATAAATAAAAACATGACAAAATAAAATAAGTTTTGAAATAGGAAACAAAAAGGTATTTAATCTACCTTTAAAAACGGAATAGTTACTAAAATAAATTTTATATTAAAATTATGAATTATAACCTTTGCTGAGGGTATTCTTTATTCGCTGGGCAGTATTTATTATTTTATACTTTTAACGCTAAATTGGCGTCCGTTGCATGTTGACTCTCATTCTGATTCCGACTCTGTTCAAGCCTTTGACTGTCTGACTGACTGCCTCCGAGCGTCGAGTGTACCAAAGCAAATTTCAGTTCCCTTTTTTTTTTTTATTAAAGCGACGACAACTGTTGCGTCTGCACTGGGGGATTCAGGGTCTAGGGACCCAAAGCCGAAACCCGGTACCCGAGACCCGGGACCGCTTTAATGCCTATTACCACGCATGCATGACAGTTGCACTCCCCCCCGGTTGGAAACCCTTTTCAAAAGCCCTCCACCCACACTCCCTTTAGGCCTGTCTAGGCTGAGGACTTGGCTGGATAAAAGCCGTCCCCATGGGGTCGCTTTTAGCCCATTCTCCAAGCCCCACGCCCCTGATACCTCCTCCATGACATCCATGAGTCAGTGGTCTGTTGTTGTAATACCTAGAAAAAAAGGGCTGTCTACCATTACAGCTGGAATGATCGAATGCTCGGGTGCGTCGAAAATTGCAGCTAAACTATTTAATGGTTATTACTGAAATGAGACCGATGAAACGCTCTTGGAAAATGATAAATGGAAATTTTTTGAATTCTTTGACAGCCCAAGCAATCAAACATAATCAAGTCCCAGCTAAATGGATATTGATTGACTAATTTTCGAATTAAAAAATCTGAGACGAAAGAGCCAGAAACGTATGTAGGTAGACTTCTTCCCAGCATTTTAGATGTACTCTGAACTGAAGCAATTAGCGATCAAGTTCAAGTTCTCATTAATAAATTAAATCTTAATTGAATGTTCCGGGCAGGAACGATCTTTAATCTCTGGTGTCTTCAGTGGCGAGTCAAGTGTTTTTGTATCTGTTTTAAAAGGCGAATCTTAAAGACCACCTTTAGTAAGGTCGTCATTTATTTATGACATGAGTTCTGGTCCCCCAAACTATGCCCTGAAAGCCAAAGTAATTACATAACAGAGAAAAGAAATGAAAATCACAAAGAACAACAAGTTGCCGGCTCGGCCTGAGCTTCCAAAAAAAAACAAAAAGAAGAGCTTTTCAAGCCAAGAAAACAACAAAGAAAACGAGAAAAAATATAATATCATTAAAGATGTGGCCTGCCTGATATTTTGGCCGGGGCTTGTCCACCAGGTCTTCCGAGAACGGACCGACCTATGGCTGATGATTCAGCCATTCAGGCAGAAGACTCGGTACCCGGGCAGACAGGGCTTAATGAATACCTTGCAGATTTTGCGGAATTGATGCTGTTGCTATTGCTGTTTTATGGCAAAAACCAAAAACCGAAAAAAAGAATGAGAATTTCAGAAAAAAACCAAAAGCCGAAAACAGAAATTACGTTTCAATGATGGCGTTGCCAATGGGAATTGCGGATGATGCTGCCGGTTTGAAGGCGATGGCGATGATGATGAGGCGCGTGAGATATTTCCAATACGATTTACGTGGTTTCCGCTAGAATTGGGCAACCTTTTTTTTGTAGAGCTCTAACCGTAAAAATGTGGGACAAAGCCTTGGAGTTTGTTTACCCCTGTTTCAGGTGATTCATGGATGTGGGAGAATTTAAAAAGAATTCTCTAAAGCTTACTAATAATATATTTTTTATATTTTTCAGAGATAACAACCATCTTGCCAGCTTCAAGCAGCATTCCCGAGGAGTCCAGTGTACGGTCGACGAGCATTGAACCGATTACCTCCACGGAGCCCACTACAACTCCCCGCCAGGAGACCTCTGTGCCTGAGCAGCCACTGATCTTCTCCCACACGGAGCCGGATCAGAGTCACATCCAGCACATTCCACTGAGGGATGAGCACGCCGAGAATAGCGGCAGCGATGACAGCACCACGGAAATGCTGAAGGATCAGCAGCTGAAGCAGGATCGGGAGGATCAGCAGAACGAACTGAATCAGATTTCTAATGAACAGGACGATGTGGTCAAGGATCTGAATAATTTCCGGCATCCGGCCACTCTCATAACGGCCAGCAATAGCAACAGCGAGGAGAACAGCGAAAGCGAAAGTGACAAACAAGTTGAGACAACAACAGCCACTGCAGCAACATCTACAGGTACTCCGGCAACTTCTACAGAAACACCAGCAACATCGAGCAGTACAACAACAGCAACAAGCACAACAACAGAGCAGAATGAACGAGAAGAAGATCCCTATCATGTGCATATACTGTCCGAGAATCATGATCGCCTGGCCGAACACGAAGATTATCAAATGCTCTCGACCAGCACCGAGGAATCGAGCTCGACAACAACGACCACAGAGTCCGGTATTGTTGTCAGCCAGGAGAACAAGGCAACGGCCGAGCCTTCGACTGCAACAGAGTCAACAACGACAACGACAACAACTTCCACAACAACGTCTGGTGCGGCAACAACATCTCGAGCACGCGCCATGCATATGAATGAGCCAGAAAATGAAAATGAAATGGCAACCACTATAATGCCGGACAGCGAATCGGGCCCAGTGATTAACATCGTTGAAGGACAGCACTGGCAGCAGGAGACCGAGTCCACCAGCTCCACCACTGAGGCTGGCACAACCACAAGTAGCAGCACCGACAGCAGCACCACCACTACCACGACCACAACCACTGAACCATCGCCATTTGTGGCTTTTGCGGGAGAGGGAAGGTCTGCGGGTGGCAATGACGATGTTGAGCTCTTCCTGCATCACAATTCCAACGCTACTCATGAGCAGATCATGGATCTCAGTGATGTTAACATGGAAGAGGATCAGAATGAGAGTAGCAGCAGCTCCACCACCACAACTACGACGACATCATCCACTACGACAACTGCACAACCGGAAACGGAAATGCCCAAAATCGTAGAGATCACTGCCAGCGGGGATACCATGCAACGCGAGTGTCTGGCCAATAACAAGAGCTACAAGGTAAGGGAACAAAATCTATAAATAATTTAAAGTTACAGTTTTGATAAAGTCTCCAGGAAATTTGAGAAAAAACTCCAAAATATTGTGCTTGAAGGTTTTGATGCAGATTTGTAGAGAATCGAATTACAAATCGTTTAAGGTATTCCACTTAAGTTTCTTATGGTTTATGGCAAAGATATGGCCTGCCAAATTGTCGCTTTATATGTTTTCCCTATTTTTGAAGGGGTTCCCCAGGAAAATTGAGAAAAAATCTAAAAAATATTTTGTTTGAAGATTTTGATGCAGATTTGTGGAGAATCAAAGTACAAATCGTTTAAGGTATTCCACTCTAGATTCTGATGGTTAATGGCAAAGTTATGGTCTTCGCTGTGAGCCACATTGTCGCTCCATGTGTTTTCCCCATTTTTGAAGGGGTTCCCCTGAAAAATTGAGAAAAAATCTAAAAAATATTTTGTTTGAAGATTTTGATGCAGATTTGTGGAGAATCAAAGTACAAATCGTTTAAGGTATTCCACTCTAGATTCTGATGGTTAATGGCAAAGTTATGGTCTTTGCTGTGAGCCACATTGTCGCTCCATGTGTTTTCCCCATTTTTGAAGGGGTTCCCCAGGAAAAATGAGATAAAGTCTAAAAAATATTTTGTTTGAAGATTTTGATGCAGATTTGTGGAGAATCAAAGTACAAATCGTTTAAGGTATTCTGATAATTATTAGCAGATATATGGCCTTCGCTGTGATGCAATAATTTAATAATTGGAAATGAATAATGAATATTAAATATAGTTTTGAATATGGATACACCAGATACAGAAATTAATCCCAAACCTTTTACGGAAATATACCAAAGTCACTAGTCCGAATAATTGAAAATTTACAGACAAAAAGTGCCCTTTGCAATCAAACCACAACACAATCTGAATAAAAACCCACACCAATCATTTGACAAAATCAATGTAGAATGTGAATTAGATCCTGACAGGGGAGAAAGCGGTGGCCGACGCCTCCATCTCCCTGTCGACCTGCCCACTTCCTGGCACGCAACTCCAATTCGGCTTGTCGTCACCTGGATTGCATAATGCCAACGAGTTTTGGAGCTGCTGCTGCTCATAATAATGAAACCGGTCAGACTTTGGGCTCAATGTTTCCAGCTTCCAGCCTGCAGCTGCTCTGCAGCCCAAAAAAACGAAATATTGAAAATATTTTTCGGTGAGCATTTCCCGGCTGCTCGCCCAAGCAACAATTATGCAAATATTTCGTACACCTTAATATTAAAAGATAGAAAAAAAAAGTTAGGGAAGGAGAAGGCGGTGGAGGAAAATACCAAGAAATTGCTGGGCCATGATTGATGTTGACATCGTCTTTGTGGCCCAATCACCCTCAAGACAATTCCTAATTTCCAGCAATCATCATAAAAATGTGACAATTGCCGGCATTTAAGATAAGCCCCAAGACAAATGCATAAATTATAGTAGAATGGCCCTATCTCTCCTCCGATAATTAACACCCATCGTGCAATTTAAATTTCAATAAATTTCTGCACGCTTTTGTGCGTCTGTTCGACTGTGACGTGTTCATCAAACATTGCACTCCATCTTGCCGGGGCGGCTCGAATAATGGCGCCCAGTCATGTTCGCTCCACAATGGCCATATCTTGGCTTCCATCGGCTGTTTGTTGTCGTCGAATATATACGATAGGTATTTGTGTATGTGGTGTTGCAGCTGGTACTACTTACTGACCAACCCATTTTCTGCTGCGATGCCCAGGCCTGGGTCTGGGTGTTGATTTTGCTTTAATTAAACGATCGTTGGGTTTTTCATTTAAGCATACCCTAACTATTAATCCATTGAGGTTAATTATAAGGTGCTTAAATAATTTTAAAAACAAAATATTTTATTGAACAAATTAATTGCAGTATTATTATTTAAATATATATTAATTTTATCAGTATATATTTTCCTTATTTTAAAAGATCATTCAGCATTCGTTGGCTGCATACTTAATAAGTATCGACTTTTCTTAATCTTTTAAATTGTTTGTGTTGTAGTTTTCATAATCGAGTTTGCGGTTGGCTTCGATATGAAATAATTTTTGCTTTCACTTTTAATGAATTGTTGTCGGTGGCCATTCGTCCCTCCTCTACTACACCAGCCCTCTCCCCATCCACTTAGCATTTTTTTTATAAATTGCTATCGATCGTTGGACACGTGCAACATGCCAAGCCGCATGCCACAAATGTTTTTCAAGTGAGCAGCCAAGTGGCCAACAAAAAAATAATCAAATAAATTGCCCAGTTTACCAAGTGTTTTTCGGCTTTTCTTTACAGTAGTTTATTGTGCCAAAGTGGGCGGTTTTCGGGGCGTTTAGTTTGTAGTCTCTATGGCATTATGGCCACCAAGGTTCGAAAGTTCACAAGAATTATGCTCATTAGGTGTGATTACGGAATGGGATAGAGAACGTGGCTACTAAAACAAAGGGGCGAGAATTTATGAACCTGAGAACCTCATAAGTGATTCGGAAAACCATTCCACGCCTTCGGAATTTTCTTAATTAAAAAAATAAGCAAACTGCTGTTAAACAAAAGACTTTGGCCACGAACTTCCTCAGTTCTCAAAGACGGCGTGGGTCGAATCAAAATTTGACATATTTGGTTATTGGAGCACCAAGCAGGAAACCTCACTTCATGATTGCCTTCAGTCAACAGGCCGAATGATTGATGAGCTTCATTCCACTCCACTCCAAGTCACTCCACTCCTCTCCTCCAGTCACTTGTTTAGTTAGCTCCGCAAATTGACGTAATTTTTCCGCAAATAGCTTTCTCACTCAGCGAAACTCAAGGAAATGTATTTTGACAAAAAAAAATACATAAAAGTGGCTCAGTAGGTCGAACTTTAGTCATTATCCATACAGTTTGTGATTGTTCTGAAGGTACAAACTGCGGTTATTGAAGGTGATTTGCAGGTGGGTGCTTACAGATAGTGAAAGTCGTGACTATAATTTCCTACTGCGGGAGGAAGGAAATTGAAAGCTTTCAGTACAATGGAGTTAAGGGTTTAGCCACAAAATAATATACATATTCATTTTTATGAAGACAATATCTTTACTTATTAAAACCTTCATTTTTCAGCACGGTGAGATGATGGATCGTGAGTGTGACGAGAAGTGCACTTGCAACCGTGGAGACTGGATGTGCGAGCCGCGCTGCAAGGGATTGAGTTATCCGCGTGGCAGCCAGCGCAGCATGGCGAATCCCAATTGCCGGGAGCGCGAGGTGGAGGAGGACTCATGCTGTCGAGTGATGGAATGCAACGATCCTCTGCTAGAGCCCACGGTGGTAACATCGGAGGGTGCCGCACCATCGATTGTGGGAAAACAGGAAGAGGTTCCAGCTACCACGACACCATCCAACGAAGACGAAGGTGAGTTGAGTTTAAATTAAAATTTAATAGGGAGAAGCTTTTAGTGGCTTGCCGTAGTCGTAGCTTTTACCGCATTCCTGACACATCCAAGCTTTAACATGCCGTGTGTTCTTTGTGCCTTCCCATATCCGCCATGTACCCATATCCGCCGCCTCATCACGCCCATCCCGCCCATTGCACCAACCACGCCCACGCCACATTGCAGCCACGCCCAAGACGCGCACCGATTGCCACTACAAGGGAGGAGTATACAAGTTCCGGGAGCGTCTGGAGATCGGCTGCGAACAGATCTGCCACTGTGATGATGGTGGCATCATGGACTGCCGACCCAGGTGCCCGGAGAGGAATCATACGCGTGCGGACAAGTGTGTCTATGTAAAGGATCCCAAGGATGTGTGCTGCCAGTTGGAGTTGTGCGATGTCACCTTAGATGATCACGAACAGCAGCAGCCGGCGCTGCAGAGCAACAACAGCGAAGACCCAGAGGAGCAGCTGCATCCAGAGAACATCTATGGATTCCAAGAGCAGGCTCGAGATGCGGGTGGTGCTGCCCAGACTTGCACCTTCAAGGGATCAGAATACGAGGTGGGCCAGCAGTTCCGCGATGGCTGCGATCAGTTGTGCCTCTGCAACGAGCAGGGCATCCATTGTGCCAAGCTCGAGTGCCCCTCGAACTTTGGTCTGGATGTCCAGGATCCGCACTGCATTCGCTGGGAGCCTGTGCCGGCGGATTTCAAGCCCAGTCCGCCAAACTGCTGTCCGGAGAGCATGCGGTGTGTGGACAACGGCACCTGCACCTACCAGGGCGTGCAGATCGACAACTGGTCGCCGATTCCCGCCAACCTGACAGGTAAGAGCTCATATGGCTTAATCACCATCATGTCACATCTTCATGTACATTTACACTCGAAAAAAACAGGCTGCGATCAACACTGCTACTGCGAAAATGGTCGCGTGGAGTGCAGGGCGGCTTGTCCCCCGGTTCCGGCTCTGCCTCCAGCGGATCTGCCCTGCCATCCGGCCTTGGCCCGCCTGCTGCCCATTCCCGATGATGAGTGCTGCAAGCACTGGACCTGTGCCCCACAAACCCCGAAGACCGGCGGAGAAGAAAAGGAGGAGGAGGAGCCGGCATCCCAGCTCCCTGAAAATGGTAATTGAAAGATTGCATGAACATTGGTTACTCCTTTCTTTATTTGCATGCCATTGCTAAGAAAGCATTTATCATCCAATCGCCATCACACCAATTTCAACAAAAATTTAAAGAAAAAATCAATTTCAATTTCATTTGTTTAATAGCTTGTTTAATTGATTTATTATGCTTCTGCTATCTGATCTCTCTATTTACAACTTTATTCTCACCTTGTATTAATGGCGCTGACATGCTATTTAATTTCGTTTTACTTTATTTTTATTTTCTACGCCCATCACAACCAATTTAAATACGTTATTATTCACGCTATGCATTTTGTAAATAATAAACAAACCAACCATCCAACATGCAACCGATAACAGAAACAGCAACAACAACGACAGCGACAACAGTAGCGACAAGTACAACTAACAAGGTCCCGCCAATGAAAAAGGACGAAGACAAGAAGTCCTCAAGTGGAGCATTCTATCCCACTCTCGATGGGAAGCCCCCGAAGTCCCTAGGTGGCCTCGGCATCTTTGAGAAGCCGGAGAAGCCCGAAAAGGGTCACAAGAAGGTGCAACATCAGCAACAACACCAGCAACATCAACAGCAACATCATCAGCAGGAGCAGCAGCAACATCAAAACGATGTGATATTCGATGGAGATCGTCCGGAGGAGCAAGAAGGACCTCTGCCACCCAATGGCGGGTTTGTTCCATTTCCATTCAGCCACCAACATCCCCATCAGCAGCACCTTGGACCCTATGGTTTTTACAATCCTGTCAAGCCTGTCTACGAGGACTACAATCCCTATGAGCCCTATGACATTAATCCCAATGGAACCCCTCAGGGAAAACCGCCACCAGTGCCCACTAGTCAGTCGGATTTGTTTAATATTTTGGGCGCCGATCAGCCAGGACATCCTGGTCAGCAAGGTCACCCCGGGCATCCGGGACATCCTGGTCACCAAGGACAATCGCAAAAGGATAACCACAATTTACCCTCGCAAGTGAGAATCGAGCAGATATTGCAACACCTGCAGCAAAGTGTTCCAGGAGGACCTCCCCACCAGCAGCAACAACAGCCGCAGCAAACTCTGGCACCACAGCCTCAACATCCAGGACATTATGTGCCCATTGTGCACAGTGGAGTCCCGCCACCACCGCCAGCTCATGGTATTGCCATTGTGGATGGCCAGCCGGTGGCTTATGAGAGTTATCCAGTGATACCTGGACTGGGAGTACCACCATCCACGCTGCACCACCAGCAGCAGCATGCGGCTACCACGCAACAGCACCAGCAGCAAGCGATCCTGCCCAGCTCGAGCACCACGTCCGGCTTATCCACTCAGGCCAGTGAGCACAGCTTGCACCAGAATCAGGACAAACTGGCCAAGCAGCCACCGCCTCCACCGCCGCAGTCAGGTTGATTACAATATTCTAATCACAAATAAAACCTTTTCGAACTCCTCTAGTCTGCTCTGCTCTACAAGCTCTACCAACCACAACAGATACACTGCGACAGGGTTCTACTGTACTAACTGCGACCACACACCCAAGAAAAACCCACAACAGACACTCAGACACACTCGAAAGACACCTCCATACACACTCATTTCGCACCAAAGATCATTCATCATTGTCATGCTTGCCACTAATCCGCAAACTAAGCGATTTCCAAATGAAATTCGTTAATTATTTTAAGAAAAACTAAAAAATCCACTAACAGAAACTAAAAATTGAGATGAGATGAGATGAGCAAAGACTGTTTAAAAAAGAATAATCCCCGTGAGACAGGGTTTTAAAACGGTTCATATTATTTGATAATGTTTCTTTGCTCATCGCTGTATTTTACGATTACTTAACCCCAACTAATAAATTTTTTAAATCCTTTTAACTAGGTGTTAGTAGCCTGCAGCCTGACATTGAAGTCCACACCCTGGAGGCCATCGATCCCAAGACCATTCGTATCGTTTTCACAGTGCCTCAGGTTTACGTGAACCTTCATGGACGAGTGGAACTGCGTTACACGAACGGTCCCAGCAACGACACTTCCACCTGGGAGCAGCAGATCTTTGCCCCTCCCGAGGACCTCATTGCCACCTCCCAAATGGAATTTGATCTGCCCCAATTGGAGCCCAACTCCCTGTACAAGGTGAAAATCACTCTCATCCTCCGCGATCTGAACTCCCAGCCCACGAGTAGTGTTTACACCGTGAAAACGCCACCAGAGCGAACTATTACTCCGCCTCCACCGTTTACGGACTACAGGCCCGACTTCCAGGACATTTTCAAGAACGTGGAGGATCCGGAGCTGACGGTGAGCGAAACAAACGCCAGCTGGCTACAGCTTACCTGGAAGAAACTGCCCGACGAACAGATGGAGTACGTGGATGGCGTCCAGTTACGGTACAAGGAACTGACCGGCATGATCTACTCATCTTCTCCGCTGATTCACCGCACTCTGACCAGCTACACCATCCAGAATCTGCAACCGGATACGGGTTACGAGATCGGACTCTACTACATCCCACTGGCGGGTCACGGCGCAGAGCTGCGAGCCGGGCACATGATCAAGGTGCGAACGGCCCCGAAGGTCGATGTCTACGGCTTTGATGTGACCGTGAATGTCACTAAGGTCAAGACCCAGAGCGTGGAGATCTCTTGGAACGGAGTTCCCTATCCAGAGGATAAGTTTGTGCACATCTATCGGGCCATTTACCAGAGCGATGCTGGCAAGGAGGACTCCAGTGTCTTCAAGGTGGCCAAGCGAGACAGCACCACGGGCACTCTGATCATGGACCTGAAGCCGGGCACCAAGTACCGACTCTGGCTGGAGATGTATCTCACCAATGGAAACACCAAGAAGAGCAATGTGGTGAACTTCATCACCAAGCCAGGTGGTCCATCTACTCCCGGAAAGACTGGTAAGTGGGTGGGATTAATACCCTTTGGAGGGAAATCAACAGGTTAACTTTTCTCTTTCAAGTCTGTGAATTTTTTAAAAGGATTTGGCGGGGAATTAAATTATTTGGTAAAGGTTATCAAGATATTTAATGTAAAATAGAATCATTATAGAGATTGGCTTCATATTTAACCTTACGTACTTTTTGAAACCCTAATATTGACATGATCTTTTATATTATTTAGGAAAACTCCTAACCGCGGGCACCGACCAACCCGTCGGCGATTACTACGGTCCCTTGGTGGTGGTTTCGGTGATCGCCGCCCTGGCCATCATGTCCACACTGGCCTTACTCCTGATCATCACCAGAAGGCGAGTGCACCAAACTGCCTCCATCACTCCTCCCCGCAAAAGCGATGCTGCCTACGATAATCCCTCTTACAAGGTGGAGATCCAACAGGAGACTATGAGTGAGTACCATCTAGGTGCTCTAGCTAGATACTATAATACTAATACTATATCATCTTTGCAGATCTGTAACTGAATCGCAATGCCCTCCAAAAACCACTAGTTTAAAAAACAGATTCTTGTAAATATTTAATGGAAAAAGAAAAACTCAGTGTCAGTAAAAAAGCGAGTTCATAAGTAACAATCCGGAATCGAACAGATTAAATCTAATGGAGGAGTATATAATTTTCATAAATCGGCGCAAGATCAGAAAATTTGTTAAAATCGCAATAGCCGCCATGTTGTATGTAGTGGTTAAGTAATCTAAAGATAAAAAACAAACACACATTTTTTGTTAAACAATTTGTGACTTGTGTAAATAGAGAGAGAGTGAGACACCCTAATGATGATGAACTAATTGAGAAGAGCTCCAAAAACTAAAAATTTCTAGCGATTTCGAAATGCCCGAAATACGAGTTTAGTTAGTTTAACTTGTAAATTTTAGCTTTACACTTATCGTAATTAAAAGGCGCATCCTGCAACGCGAACAAGATCAGCGACGACCACGGGAATATTGGGTTCAATGATGCGTTCTCCGATTAACAGTCCATAAATATTTAAATTAGCTTTTAAACAACCTACAGAGATATGCATATGTATGTATGGATAAATAAAGATAAAATAATAAACAATTAAATAATCAAGTTTTTCCTGTTTATGCCGACTGTTTACAGAGTCTTTAGATAAACGTAGTTCAACTAAGCTTTTTGAACTAAAGTCTAAAAATCGAAAAAGATTTTATTTAATTCCGATTGAATTATAGATTTAACGAATCTCATTTTTTCTGATTTAACGTGTTTACATTATTTTAAAATCCCCTCACAAAATAAGCTCAAAATTTAAAGCAGCTTCGAATATGGATTTCTTATTAATTTCGAGCACAATAATAAAGCCAAGGCAAATTATTAATTTATATACATATTAGTAATTTATCCGCAGGGAGCTTCAAGCTTAGTCATTTTTTTTTTTTATATTAAAGTGCATATTTAAAATTTTGAATCCACGGTGAACACATTTAATATGACACATTTTACAAAAAAAAAAATATGATAAATTTATGTATAAAAATAGATTTCACAGTTTATTAAGATTATTTTATATTTTTTGGGACTTTTTCGTACATTTAACTTCAACGCGTTTTGCGACGATAAATTTTTGCCAAAAAATGTAAGATTCCGTCTCTGGTATCGTTTCCATTTCCATTTATTTCATTTTTTATTTGTTTTCATTGCTTGCAGCACCAACAATATCAATATCTATTTGGGTTTAGATATAGGTGTATGTATATACAAAATGCACAACTAGATTTCGCTTTTCAGAATTCAAAATTCAAATTTTTTCGTACACTAATGTCATTCTAAATGCTAAAGTTCTGATTTACTCATTATTATTACGAAGTTATTGTAGAGCAAAGGGAAAAAATATTCAAATATCCTTTCGCATTTGGCGTGAACAAATCTTTGAGTTTGCTTCTTATTAAATTATTGTACAGTTAAGATTTAAGTAAAGTGTTTTTTTTTTTTGGGTTTTTCGTGTAAATTTACATATTTCTTAAGTTTTGTTGTTTTTTGTTTGTTTATATTTTACTTTCAGTTTTTAATGGTAAAAGTAATCACTGTTTAGCCTCCGTTCTTTGACATTAAGTTGGTTGTTACTTTTTACTTATTATTTTTGTTTTTGGGCAAGGCTGGACGTGCCGCAGGACTGGTCTTGCGGCGATGTGGCATTTACTTATTGCTGCTGGTAGTGCTGGCGGCAGCCTCGCTGTTGCTGCACTGTTCTATGACGCTGTTGCCTTCCGCCTCGCTGCTTGTTGTAGTCGACGAGACGCTGTCTTCATCTTCGACATCATCAGCCCCCTCCTCGTCGTCATCATCGTCTTCGTCGTCATCCTCATCGTCATCATCCTCGTCGTCGTCCTCATCATCGTCCTCGTCATCATCCTCTTCGTCTTCGTTCTCATCCACCGCATAGACAATCTCGTTTTCGATCAGCCGCATGTCCATGTCCATGCTGTCGAAGGAGTCGGTAATGACACTATCATCGTCAGTCGTTCCATCGTCGTCTTGGTCCGGCTCATCGTCACCCTGACCCAGCTGGTGCTGTAGGATTGAAGATCCGCCGCTACTGACCCCGACGCGCATCTCCTGTACCAGCTCCTTGATCATCTCAGTCTCTATCTCGGTCACCCCCAGTCCCAAGTGACGCTTGCTGACGTCCATCAGAACATTCTTCAGATTGCGGGCCAGCAGGCGCAGGTGCTCATCACTGCACGCATTGGCACTGCTTACATACCGAATATAGTCTTCCAGGTAGTATTTATTGAAGCTGTCGCGACATGGCTCGCCACTGGAGAACTGCTGGTGTGTGAGAAGCAGTTGATTGATCAGCCAGTTCCGTCCGCCCTTCAGCACTTCGATAGCATCACGAACGCATGTGCGGCCGAGCTCGAAATTGCGGAACAATGGGTACGTTATTACTCGTCGAAGAAATGCTACCAGCACATCACGGTAGTTGTCGAACTGCTCGTAGTAGCAGTACAGCGGACACAGTATGCTTCGCGTCCATCCCGATTCGCAAGTCGGATCGTTGTTGGTCGTACGCACATCGTAGCAGATTGCCAGAAGTATGCTGATAAGTCCGCAGTCGATTTCGTTCTGCGACAGGTTTTCCAGCTCAGCTGGTTCCTGCTCCCGACTAAGGTTGTGCAACAGATGCGCCTGCTCCTGAGTCATGGAAGTCTCGAAGATCTTGGGCTTGTAGCGCAGAGGATTTTGGTGGCCGGACGGAACTTGCAGCTCAACAAAGTTCATTTTGTACTGTTCGCGCGAGAAGCGCTTCATCTCGTCGACAATACGCTCCTGTCTGCGTTGTATAGGACTCATGCGATGCGGCTCTGCCACGCGGCAAGTGGCAATGTCCAGCTGAAGAAAATCCATGGCAATTAGGTTGAAAACTGAGGAAATGAAAATGTACCCACCTCACTGGCACTGGGAGGACCCCTATATTTGCTGGCAAAGCCGTAGCCAAACTGATTTGTCAGCTTATAGGTTCGCTCGTTGCCATCGAGCTGTATTTGGCACTGATCGGTGATGCGCTTAAGTTTCCATTCCTGGACCATTGGCTCTTTATCGGTTAGCTGGGCGGAGGGACCCACCAGCATAGGCAGGTGCAGGAAGGTGGCAATGTACTCCTTTCGAAAGCTTTTTGGCTTGGCCGCATCGCCAGTTCCGCCACCTCCAGCTCCTCCACCCGATCCCTCTTGTGATCCTGCGTTAAGTGGCAAACAACGCAGGCAGAGATGGTACTGATTTTCGGCTGTGTTGAACCTTATCAGCAGGGTCTTCAGCTCGCGCAGGTCGAAGGTGCGGCGACTGTGGAATCTGAGGAATGGGGAATGCGAATTCGATGCGTTATATATGTGGAATGCGGGGTGCAAGTAAAACGATTACAGAGCGGATGCAATGACTCACTTGTATAGCTTAACATCTGCGTAAAAGTACAGATCGTGTGCGTCCACGAATATATCGCAGTTTCTTATGCGATCCACATGTAACGCCTCCGCTGCTGCTACAGCGCACGCTCCCTCCCCCGTGCCAGTCACTGTTCCCTGGCCATCGCCTGCTGCCGTGGAAGAAGAAGCACCACCAGCCAAGGGAGCAGCTGCTCCGGGCTGGGGCAACTTGGAGCGCTGCTCCCTGGCATGCGGGTGTGGTATCACTAGGTTGCACGAGTTCTCCAGATAACTGTGTGCGATCTGTCCATTCAGCATCTTCCAACTTTATTCCGTTCCTTTTGATTATGCTAACTACTGTTTTAAGTAAAATTTTATTTATTTTAATGACCAGTGTGACCGTCTTCACTAAACTAAAAAAAACTGTTGATAGCAAAAGCTTACGTTACGCTTAGGACCGTGGAACATCGGTATTTGGCTAAATCCTGATAAGGCTTACGGATTTCGTAAGAGTGATAAGAAATCGGAAATATTTACACAAATTCTGATGACTTACTGAAAATTTAGAATTCTAAACTTCAAATGAACAAAAAGAATTTATTTGCTACTTGGACCTAAAAATTCTATACTAAATAAGCTTATACTCTTATAAAAAGTGGTAAAACCAACATTTTATAGCATAACTATTATCTATTTTAATTAAACAAATTCCGAAACAGTTCTTAATTAAATGGTCAAAAACAAATTTGGAAAGTCAAACTGTTAAAGCTGTTTAGACTTTTTGAAATGGTTACGTTTTACAATCGATAACTGTATGTTACGTCATTTCCGCTTGGCAATAACCTGTTATTTGGGTGACCTTTTGACATAATGGCAGGCCATAGAAGCCTCAAAACCTTAAAGACAAATAATTCCAACGGCAAAAAGAAAAAATTTATTAATATTATTGATACAAAATTAAAAAAAATACATTGTGAAATGCCAACTATCGATAGACGGCTTAGCTTTAAAGCTTGTCAGAAAAATACAAATATTTTAATTTTTAATGTAAAAGATAAATAAAAAATATGTTATTATTAAGCAACCCATTATTTATGAGGCTTAAATAAAATTCATAGTTATAAATTTATAGATTCCAAACATTTCTTATAATTATGTATCGACCTTTTGAAACCAAAAATAAACCAATATAAACGATGTTATATAAACTATTTTCTTTGGATTCATTTTTAAAATAGTTAAAAAATAAAAAAATAATTGTTCAAAAATCTATGATAACAGTATCTAGCCAGATAAAATTCGCTAAAAAACGGCTAAAATCGACGGGAAAAGAGCTAAGCTGACATCACTGTTGCCAGTCGCCATTATCGATTTGTGGCAGAGGAAAAATAGAGACTTAAAAAATCGAGTAACAGCGTTAGGCACCGGTTAGAGAGCGCATCAAACGCGGCGTTAAATTGTGAGGAGCTTGTGAAGTTAATACCACCATCCGTGATCCGTTCAATTAGTCGTGGCTGAGCTTGTGTAAACGTTTTTTTCCCTTAGAAATTCTCAATCAATCAATACCACCAGCTCTCTGGCTCGCTCTGTCCTCTGTCCGCTCTACGTGTGTGTGTGTGTGCGTCGTGTCTCTCTTTCTCTCTGGGTGCGTGCCTGAGTGTCTGTGTTTGTGTGTGTGTGAGTTTCTGTGGTCCGCTCCTTGGGTGCATAATTAAATTAATCAAGTAAATAAAAGCCAACGGGAGCAGGAAGAACAAAAACAAAAACAACAGCTTCATCATGACTATGGCAGGGCAAACGATCAACGACAGGCTGCTGGCCGCCCGTCACAGCCTTGCGGGCCAAGGACTCGCCAAGTCCGTCTGCAAGGCCACCACCGAGGAATGCATAGGCCCGAAGAAGAAGCATTTGGACTGTAAGTTGGACCACCCCCCCTTCGTTTCGTTGCGTAAAGTCACCGTTACACCTCTTCCTAGTTACCACGCGAAAAAAAATATGTTCATTCAGTTACACAGTTACATACAGCAGGGGACAAAACAATAGCTTCTTTTTAGGTTCATCTATAGAAATCTTCAATAAAACAGACCTTAAAATTACACTTGTTAAAACATTAAGGAAATATACTATATATTTAGCTCAATGGAAATGTTTCAGCAGGTTCTAGATATGTGGGCAGGCCATAAAATAAAGTTTTTATCGCATCAGAGTTGGTTTCCGTTACTAACTGAAATCGTTCTTTTTAACTAGTACTACTACTAATACTAAACTAAATTCATACACACTTAAAATACAAAATTCAACCAAAAAGTTCAAGGCCGTTTTACTTTATATTTTTTTTTTATCAAAAATTCCTAAAGCTGCTGCTTCTAGTACCACAAGTGTACAGCCATTTCACATCTCCCCCAATCTTGAAAAACTTTTTCTTATTTTTTTTGCGATAAGTTACAAAGTTTTCTGTGAAAACAACAAAAAAATGAACCCACTGATTACAATCCACAAAACCCATCCACCGTCCAGGCACCACCCACCCACCACCCCCCTACCCAGTGCACCTGTGCCACAGCTGCTGCTGTTTGTGGGCTCCATTCGTCATTGATAGCTCTCTGTCGTCTCCCCATAGCGCTCTCTTTCTAATGTTACGTCACTTTCCCACGGCTGCACGTGTGTAGTTGTGTTTGTAGAGTGGCTTGTAGGGGGAGGCTTGGAGGTGGGACCTGAAACGCCTACGTAGCAATTGTTGTTGCGGTGTCATTGTCTCCTAAATTTATGCAAAAGCCATTTTCACTAATTCCCTGGATTTATTTAAGCCATTACATACATTGAGCCATAGCCTGATAGCATTCCTGTTGGATTCTGGTTTGGTGACCCGCTTTTGGCCAAAATTTGCAAAAGATGACTCATCGGTTTGGCAGAGAGGGCACTACTACCCATGGTCTCTTTTTGCCACATAAACAAGTCTCTTTGTGGTTGAAACCAAACATAAATAGTGGTAGTGGTTGCTTTTCAAACAATTATTTGAGAGTTCTGTAATCAATAGGCTTTAAAACACCTCCCTAGATAAACCTGATCTCCAGTTTGTGTTCATGTGTTTAGGTCATAGGCCCACAACAGGTAGAATCCCCAGCTTACCTTTCTTTCTTTTTTTTCTTTCTTGCTTTTCCTAACGAGTTTCGGTTTATAAATAAAACGAGTTGTGAATTCAAAGAATCTCAAAAAAAACTAGACATAGAAACTCGCCAGAGAGCAGTTGATATTAATTAACAAAAGAAATGGGGAATTATTTCATGAATTAAGTACCAATAGGGCTTTAATTACAAGTACAGATCTATACAAGATTCGCTTATAAATCCAAACCTCTCAGCTGGAGACCACTGTTGAGAAATAAGGCATTTGTTTGGTTCACAAGCTGCAATCCATTAATGTTTATTGGAATTTGTTTCTATTAAAGCCTGGGAGACCCTCCCCATCTGGGTTGCCATGTGCAGACGCCCCTCGAATTGCACTCAATTATTCCGCTTTGCGGCAAGTGAAATGGGAATCGCTTCGAATTCAAAACCGAGTGATAATAACCGAGGGTTCCGGTCCTCAACTCAGCTTTGGGGCAGCTGCAAAACTTCCAGCCAGATAAAGTCCAACACTGACTGATAAGAAGGGGCGGTTAAAATATTAATGGATAATAATAATAAGAGATTATATTCTTGTTTATATTATTAAATATTATTTTTGTTTTGTTTTGCAGATCTGGTGCACTGCACCAACGAGCCAAATGTGTCGATACCTCATCTGGCCAACTTACTTATCGAGCGTTCACAGAACGCCAACTGGGTGGTGGTCTACAAGTCGCTGATAACCACACATCATCTGATGGCATATGGCAATGAGGTTTGTATCTGTATCTGTATCTATATGTGTATCTGTGTTGTGAGCTTAGGGGCGTATTACTTCCTTTTACTTTCTTTGGAGACTAAGTGCTAATCTATTTATTTTCATTTCATTTATGGAATTTTGTGGCCAGTGCCGTCCATACGCAAAGGTCACGTACATTACGAGATTTCCATTATTGTTGTGCTTTTTGGTTGACTCTCTCTCTCTCTCTTATGGGGGGAATGATAACTTACGCCCCATTCCACAAGCTTATCTTCTTTTGTTTTTCTTCGAGGGTTCTATTTGTTCAGCAACCGCCTCTGTAATCTCTGGGCCTCATAATTGCAAGCTTCCTTCACTCACATGAACGAATGAATGAATTTATTTGGCCAGAGAGAAGATTAATAATCATTTTGGGAGTAAATATGCCAAGAAGAATGTGTGGGTCTTTGTTTATTAAATTCTTTTCTTTTCAAATCGATGTGCAATTATTAATATTTTGTTTTTGAATTTTTATTTCAGCGTTTCATGCAATATCTGGCATCGAGCAATTCTACATTCAATCTCAGCTCCTTTCTCGACAAAGGAACTGTGCAAGGTATAAAAAATTAACTCATCATTTAACCAACTCCTTTATATTAAAATTAAAAACTAATGCTTAAATTATATTCATTTCTCCCTTGTTCTCTCTCTTCTACTCATGCGATTGCTGTGAATTTTTTGGCTTGTTCATTTATTTCTTTTTTAAAAAACGTTAACAATTTCTAAAAACCAAAAAAAAATTAACAACGAATTTCGCTGCTTACTGACACACATATTACCCATATAAAAACATCATGCTGACTAACAACAACAACGACATGAAAATACAAATATCTAAACTTGATATATATTCGAAATCGAACAATGTATACAGATGGTGGCATGGGCGTTCCAGGTGGCAGAATGGGTGAGTATGATGCAGAAAAATGCTATTGGAAATTGGCTTTAAAACTCCTCCTTTCGACCTGTAGATGTTGTATTCTTTCCTGGTTGTCACTAAAACTCGTTTTTTTAGCTAAACAGAAATCAAAATTGACTAACCCAATCGAATTAAATTTTTTTAGTTAAATGTGCTATAGAGCCCATTTTGAAGCACAATTTCTAATATATTTCCAATCAACAGGTTACGATATGTCGCCCTTTATACGCCGCTATGCCAAGTATTTGAATGAGAAATCGCTCTCCTATCGAGCCATGGCCTTTGACTTTTGCAAAGTCAAGCGAGGGTAACTATACCACATCACGCACTCATTCTCCATAGATACTATATGAGGCCTAATTGATTTGTTTGGTAATCTATCATTTAGCAAAGAGGAGGGCTCATTGCGAAGCATGAATGCTGACAAACTTCTGAAGACTTTGCCAGTTTTGCAGGCACAATTGGATGCACTTTTGGAGTTTGATTGCCAGTCCAATGATTTGTCCAACGGTATGGTTTCCCCTCATTTGCAAGTCATTCATAAATACATTTCTGATCGATTGCAGGCGTCATAAATATGAGCTTTATGCTCTTATTCCGCGATCTCATACGTCTGTTTGCTTGCTACAACGATGGCATCATCAACTTGCTGGAGAAGTACTTTGACATGAACAAGAAGCATGCACGCGATGCCTTGGATCTCTACAAGAAGTTTTTGGTGCGAATGGATCGTGTTGGGGAGTTCCTGAAGGTTGCTGAGGTAAGTGAGAGCGTTTATCGAATATCTGATCAATATTAATGTGATTATTACTTCCAGAACGTGGGCATTGACAAGGGAGATATCCCTGACTTGACCAAGGCTCCTAGCTCATTGCTGGATGCTTTGGAGCAGCACTTGGCCACTTTGGAGGGCCGGAAAGTATCTGCAGCCAATACACCCACACAGTCGTCGAGGTTTGTGGACATAGACGTCACTTAGTTGTATTTATTTAGTTACCTGGCATCTTGTTTAGTTAATGCCATCTTTTAAGCATCTTTATTGTGTTATTCTTATTTTATAAGTTGTTGATATTATTTATTATTGATTTATTTCTTGTTTTCTTTTATTTTTTTTTTTTTGCGGTTTGATTTTCCATTTCTGGCAATCATTAGCAATCAGCGTAATTTTAAATCCGCTGTCTCCGCACTCTCTTCTACCAGCTCGGCCTTTGGAACTGCTGCCGCTTCCAGCAAATTCGATAACAGCAATGGCATCGACGAGCAGCTCAAGGCCCAGGTCCTGGCCGAGGAGGAGGCTGCCATGAATCAGTACAAGGTGAGTTGAATCGTTTTACCCAAAAGTTACCCCCTTTTTAATTGATTTTTCTGCCTGTCCTTGTGCCTCCTAGTCCAAGGTATCGTCGCCCACAAGCAGCGGGGCTGGTGGCGCTAGCGCTGCACTAACAAATCCATTCCTATCGTCACCGCCAGCCGCCCAGGCTGGCCAGCCGATAGTTGATCTGTTCGGTGCCGCGTCGGCGCAGCCCGCTGCTGCTGCAGCAGCCCCACCGGCCCAAGCCACCAAGGCCTCCGACGATCTGCTGCAGTTGGGCAATCCGTTCGCCGACATGTTCGAGGCCAGCGCCGCTCCGGGAGCAACAGGTGCTGCACTCAATGCCAATAATTTGTGGATGCATAATAATGGTAGCATGTTATAATTTTCCCTTATCATTTTCGCCTAAGTTACCTTTTAAACTAGTGGATTATAATGATTTCGATTATTGATTTACTTTTGTGCTGTACATATATGTAAGAATATTTTGTGTGTAAGTGTAGTGACCCGAAAGGTGTTTTGTTGTCGTATCCGTAGACCTCAGAGCTAAGGGGAGTGCACTTTTCCGGCGCCCTAGACGCCCCTCTCACCCCTCTATCTCACACAGGCTTAGTCCTCTGTCTGCACCAGACTTTCATGCACCATAATTCATAATTTTTATCATAATAATCTATTTCAAGTTATCAGTTTAATTTATATCTTAATTATTTAAGTTTTCATTTCTTTTATATTCTTCTCTAATGTATTGTTACTCTTCATTTTTTTCATCACTTTTTCTTTCCAACCCTGAAAACAAACAAAAAACAACAACAACCACAACTACGATAAACGATACTGAAAACGATACTCCTCGATAATACCAAAATAATACGAATCGCAAATCTTCCAAAAAACACGCCTACGACCATCGTCCACCGTCCACCGCCCACACAACACCCAACAAAAATATCTGAATCCACAAAAAAAAATATATATAAATAAAAAAAAAAACATAGGTTTCAATGGCGCTTCAGTTTCCTCCGCTGCTGCTACAAATGCATTCGTTTCCGATAGTAATTTCTCATCCGTTTTCGGTAATACGGAACCGGCAGGTAAGTCTCTCCATGACAGTCTTCATTCATTCCTAACCTGCAAGCTATATATATATTTTTTAATACAAAAAACCGATATATTAAACAATAAGCAGTTACTAACCAAACAAAAGTGCCAAAAATTTAATATCTATTATAAGTTAAGCTCAAATCGGATCGGAACTAATTGATTGCGGCTTTAAAATGCTATTCTTTATACATATATAACTTTGGTGTGATTGCAAAAAACTAGCATGCATGTTTATTAATTTTAACGCAATTTTCCCACAGCAGGCTAGGAAATATTGTGTTTTGAGGTTCTTCAGAGATCTTGCAGATATTTTTGATTTTTTTTTTTAGTTTATCTCCCATATTTATTTAATCTGTTATCCTGTAAATGTTTGCGTTATACAGCGTCGATGTCGTTGCCAAATCCATTTTTTGATGAAATGTCCCAAGCCCCAGTCGCTGTTGCACCTGTTGCTGCGCCCTATGCCAACAATATCAATTTCATGGATCAGCAATCAGTGTTATATATGCAACAGCAACAGCAGCAGCAACAATTGCAACTTCAGCAACAGCAACAGCAGCAACACCGTCAGCAACTGCAACAACAGACTTCCTTGTCAGCAACGACGGCAGCAGCTCATTTTCCACCAGGTGAACCGCCAGGCCTAACCCCAACCATAAACACCTATCTCTTCAAAGCATATTGTATCTTTATCTACGCGTGCTTCGTTTCTGTACAAAGCTTGCTCCGTCACTTGCTTGTAGTGCTGCAGCAGACCTCTTTTCGATATCCTGCGGGCCTGGTCCTGTGTCACAGATACTCTACTTCATTAACACTAGCCAGAACATGCTTCGTCCACTGTTGTCTGCTCGTGATTTGTAACCATTTTTGTCCAATGTACCAAGTCTGAAAATGTTTTTTGAATTGTTCCCATCGCTGAGTGGAATATTTTAGCTGTCGGCTGCGTTGATATTTTTTTAAATTTTTAATTATTTTGTATTTGAATTATCTATGTTTTATGTTGAACCCAGTTTTTATTTAGTGTAATATATGTTTAATGTTAAAAGTGTGTCTAACGAAAGGATTAAGAATCGCATTGCTTACGGGCTTTGATTTCAGTTAGTCCTTTTGCTTTTTGAGCCTAAAAATGCTTCGAAAAACCTATTAATGTTTGTTAAATGTCTCTCGTACACTTATATACAACATATAACATTTACATAAATACTCGTGTGTTGGGATGCTTTTGTATATAATCTTACCATCTATCATAGACTCGTAGCTAACCAAGTATACTTAATCCTATTTCAAAAATCATTACAAAAATAACCAAAATATTAATATATTCAATACAATGCCAATTCATGTTATTTATTTTGTAAATGTTATTTTTTTCTCTTTTTCTCTCTCTTATGTTCTTATGTACTGAACGTAAAACAAAAAAACAAAACAAAAATTATAAAAACTATAAAATACCTCACATTGTCTCATGTTAATGTTGGTGGCACACAAAACCATATATATTCAATCTATAAAAAACGCTAAAATAATTTGTGTGTTTTATGGTTATGCTGGCAAAAAATAATACAAAAATAATTATAAAATCGATATATTCAATTTCGATGGCAAACAAAACTCAACGCTAACTCGACAAACATAAACTTAAAAAAATATCAAAAATCTTGGGCTTCATCGGCTTCATTGTTTATGCATATACCCTCTATACCCATAACCAAAATGTGTTTGTCTCTGTGTATAAATGTCTGGTATAATGGTGTATTGGCTATACAAAAAAAACAAAATAATAAAACAAAACACAAAAATGGCGTGAATTGTGTAAATGAAATCAAAGGCTTCGATGCTTTGGGTGATGTTCTCAAGCCGGCTTCCGCCAGCAGCCACAACAGCAATCAAATGAACGTTGTCGCCACAGGTTACACCGGCAATAGCAGCTCGATCCTTGCGTTACAACAGCAGCAGCACCACCAGCAACACCTGCAGCAACAGCAACTGCAACAGCAGCAGCAGCAGCAACAGCCCCAGGCACCGGCCAGCACTGGAAAGATAATTACCGGCGACCTGGATAGCTCACTAATGTCCCTAGTTGATAACTTAAATATTAATAAAACGGCAAGTGCAAAGTGAGTAATCGAGCCAATCTACCAATAATGTATGCGTGCGTTCGAAAGTGAGGCCAAGACCAAGAATGTTGAACAAAAAAATAAATTCATGTTGTCATCCTGATCATGCTCAGTAGTTGGTTGTACTCGACTCGAAGTTCGACAAGAATTGCAGGGGTCCTATTTTCCCTAAAAATTCCAAAAATCGATTCCAAATCCATTGTCATCCGACCTTGTGACATCCCTAGTCCAAAGTCCAACGCCCAAACCGCCACAATCCATTTATTCATGTTCCATATGTGTACATAAAGTCCATCCATAAAATAGTTCGAAATCACGCAGAAATCTGTTTAGATAGATAGAAATCCAAATCCAAAATTCAAATGCCGTGTTCATTGATTTCGTCTATATATCATTACTCTCTTACCCCATTATTCTCATAGACCCGTGCAATGGAATTCACCTAAAAATACAGCGAAACCAGGTGCTAATTGGACACCCCAACCAATGGCGGCTACAACTGGTGCTGGCTATCGTCCAATGGTGAGTTTTGCCTACTCTAACTCTACTCTCTACTGTCTACCCGACTACTACTACTACTTCTACTACTCAAACTCAAAAAAAAACTACCACCTACTACTAAAATACTACTCGAATAAAATTCGACAAAAGAAAAAGCCAAAAACCAAAGAAAAAAATCCGCGTTGCCTCGAATATTCGATAAGGGAATATGAGACATAATTCGAATACACTGAGAGTCGCTAGAGAAATTGTGCCAATACAGATAAAAAAAACGAAAGAAATGCCAGAAAGATAACGAATGACATTTTTTGTAATAAACTTAATTTTTCTTCTTGTCCTTTTACAAACACATCGATTTTCTTTTGTGTCACCTCAGTACTCTAGGTTACACTTCATGTACAATACACTATTTCTCTTATTTTATGTCATTTTCCTTATTAAAAATTAATATTTGTTTCCCAATTGCACAAAATGATTGGTTCTGTATGAATTTTACATAAGCTTGCTTAAAATTTTCCTAAAATTAACTTGAATTATTCCATTTATTATCATTAATTCTCAATGTTGTCACTTTTATTTGGAAAAATTGTTGAACCAGAATCTTAGGTCTCAGTCTGTGGGGGTCGTAAGTGGTTTCGTTTGTTTCTCTGGACCTGGATTTTTCAAACACTCCCGCACACAACACTGAGCAGTTATCACAGTAACCTGCACTAGAACACAAGCACTAGGGTAAACTTTTGTGGCACACCTCGGCGATTAGGTCTCAGAGTCTCCACACATCCACACCACACAGGCCAGAAACTACCAATCACATGTTTCCATTTTATATTTTTATTTCATTATTATTTTTGAATTTTTATTTTGCATTTATATAAAGTATATATAACTATCACTTACTTTCTTTTCTTTATTTTATGTTTGCTTTATATCTCAACTATCCCAACGCATACCGCAAAATTGAAAATCGCAAACGAATCAAATCGAATCACAATTAAATATATATTGAATCCGATCAAAACAAACAACAACAATGATCACGAATGACAACTCACGATGCGCCTGTGTTAATGCTGTCTGTGTGTATGATGTGTGTTTGTGATTTATCAATATATATTCTATCAATATACCAATATATATAAAAACATATATATATAAAATATAAAATACATAGGCACATGGCATGACCGTAAGTCCTGCGCCAATCACAATCAATCATCCGTATATACATGCTAGTTATCCTGTAATGCCAAATTATATGCAGGTAAGATGAAGCTAAAACCAACGAAATTAAAAACGAAAAAACAAAAAAAAAACCTTTCAAACTAAACGATAAAGTACAAAGTATAATAAAATTTATATTTTGTTTTAAACCTGGGTTGCCGTCTTTTCCTTCTTACAACTTTTTCAGTTCTGTTTTTGTCTTGAAACTTTATGATTTAACTTGGTTTATATTTTTGTTAATCAATCGATAATCTATCATCTTCAGCACTATAACGTATAATGCGACATATACGCCAGTTACCTTCCTTCTAACTTTCTCAGAAACCGATCTCTATCCATTGGTTTTGGTCCCCAGCCACAAGAAGTGTGTTCTATATCTGTCCCCACCTCTCTCTCTCTCTCTGAATCTTGTCCCCCGATCTAAATTGCATATTTGCGTTGCACTTTTATCAGTTAAGAATATGGTATTATTTTGAGAAACGTTATTCTTTGTAGATTTAAACCGAGTTACTATTCCACTTGTCTGTAGACCTCACTAACTTCCGTATGTAGCCACTGTTTTTCAAGTCCCAAGGCGGTTGTCCTCCTAAAAATGAAACCCAAACCGACAACTTTTCTGTTTCAACCATTGATTTTTTGTAGCCTTGCGTCTGTCATAGTAAAAACGTATTTAAAGTAACGCCCTAACGTCGTTCCTACCAGTGCATGAATATGAGCTCACCATACACTTTAATGTTTTTACTAACTCCTGTTTTATGGACTCTTATAGGGAATGCCGGTGATGGGGCAGCCAACTATGATGGGGCAGGCAGCAGCCCCTTTGACTGGGGTGCAACCGACGATGATGGCGGCGCCGCACAGTAATGCGTCAGCGACAGCGACGGGCATCATGCAACCCATCCAGCCCACGCAGAACGGGGGCAATAAAAACGTCCCGCTCGATCCATTTGGTGCGTTATAAGCGGCCCGCTCGGAGCTCATACGTACAACAACCACACCCACTCACTCACCTTTACACACACTAGGCGCTCTAACCTCATAGACCACACACACACGCAGCAAACAAAACTATAATATACTTATATATATTTGCAAAAACGAAAATTAAAAACTTGAAAAAATGCATTATAAGAAATGTTTACAGAAACTACAGAAACAATATATATATTAAAGTTTATGGAAATAGCAGCAGCAAAAAGCGAAAAAAACGAGAAACACAAATGAAGCAGATAAGAAATTATATTATAATAATGTTGAACATTGAGTAAACGCAAAAACAAATGCTATATACATACATATATATACATAAATATATATATATTTATATTATTACTATTTAAATGAAAACAAATAAGTTTGACTATTTATATGTATACACCAATTTATATACTATGCTAAAACGAATGATGAGAAGGCGTCAAGCGATGAGCAAAACGAAACAATTTCCATGAATAGCTAAAGGAAAGTAGCCTATGTGAAATATACCTATGAGAACTCTAAGATAAGTCTAAACAAAACCTGTAGTTGTGTCCTACGCCAATCACTAAACACACACGTTGAATTACCTAGTGGAACTATGTTAGCTGTCTCAAAGCCGCATCGGAGGAGGATCGGAGCAAGATCCTCATTTTAGAAGGAGAGTGACACTTTTAAACTCAGTCCAAGTGTGTGCACAGCTTACCGTAATTATTTGCAATATTTTAAATCCGTCTATGAAACAAAAATTCATGTTTTTCTGTTATCTGTGTATTTTTTAATAACTGTTATTAAACAAATTATTATTTGTTGAATGGAAATTATTTGTAAATGCATTCCAAACTAGGTCCAATTTTGTCCAAATTTAATTTGTGAAAGGAATACAATTGTAATTATTAAGTATTATTTAAAAATTGTTTCAATATAAATTGTATGGATGATTTGTTTAAATACTAGGTGTACCACAATGTTTATTTAACTTGTGTTAAACTTTAGAGCGTATGTTGTATTTAGCCATTTATGTAAATGCTTCTCAGCATTCGAAACGATTCGAAACTGACCCATAAAATACGTAGTTCATTTCTTGATTGTGTATATAAAGCATATAAAGTGTTTGCAGCACGATGCGCTGAACTATGATTAAATAAAATTTATATAAATTATGTAAAACCTTATTTTATTATTTGTTTAATTTAGTTGATTTTGTGCGGCACTGGAATGTGAATGCCAAACTTACACAAATTGAATGACTTCCAACGTTTTTTTATCAACTCCAACCCACCACCCCCATTCAGTCTGTAACTTTTTGATGGTTCAAAGGTTTCTTCACCTCACTTCTCATTCTAACTTATAGCTGTAATTTCCCCCAAAAAATATTACGAGTACTTTCAAAAATATATAGCCGCTAAGGCTATAAGCAAAATCTTTCATTTCTTCGCAGTTAACCGAAAATATGCTATATTTTTGCACGAACCAGGGAGTATTTCATTGCTCACAAAAGTAAGCAACATTTTAATAAAACTCGCCGAGAAGCATCAGTTGGCCAAGATTTGATATTTTTGGTGGATAGTTCAAAAACACTCAAAAAGGCGAAAAAATAAAAACACTCCAAAAACGCAATAAATGTTAGATGCAAACAATCATGTATGGAATTTTCATTAAAGCTAATGCCACAAAACCCGAATCAATGTAAATTTAGCAAAATTATACACCCAAAAAAAATGACAAAAGCTAACAAAAAAATGTTTTATGACAATATTTATACGCTGGTGTTTGAGCTAAACTATACTCATACTTAGGTCTAACTAACTTAAAGCTACTAATAAAGTCTACACGAAGGATACTGCAGAGCTGAGGCATTAGTCGAAGCCCCTGCGACCACTTGTTGATGTTTCGATTGAGATTTGAGTAGGTTGATACCAATCAGTGAGATAGTCGGCCTGCCAAATCGAAATGTATCTTGTAGATAACCATAGATTGTGCAATAGAGAGTATCTACACCTAGGGAATACTTGTTTTAATCAAAAAGTTGCTGTGTTTCTATTAGTTTGAGCTTTCTCTTTATAAACGAATCCAAATCCTCTTATGCCACGTGCGTTAAGAACACCAAGAAAATAAAGATATTTTTGTCACGATTATTATCCTTAAAGTTCAATTCGATCCTTGAATATGAAATGTATTTGGGTATGCATATGCACACATTCTCATCAGATACAAGTAGTTGTAAAAGATATTTATGTTGAAAACAAAAACCCAACTCAAAACAAAAATGAAATGTTAGTGCAAAATAAATGTGTAAAATATATGTGTTGTGTTTTACTTTTAATATAAGTAAGCCTTGCCATAAAGATCTCAGTTGGGGAGGCCAAAGGTCTTAGTTAGTACTAACAATATACTCAACCACAACAATACTCACTACTGCCAGCTCGATTTTTGGAAAGTTAAATAGCATACGACACAGATACACAGGATCACACCATGCCGCCTTGTCGGCTGCGCCAGACGGGAATGGGCTTTAAGCCGAGTAATAAGAACCGGGAGAAGGATGGCGTGGCACCGCATCCAGTCCATCCTCGTTCTTCCCGTTTCCATGGATTCTTGGGCATGCCCTACGTGCAGCAGCACGTGATGGTCGATGAGCGATGGACTCCCATCTCGCTGACTGAGCAGTTCAAGGGCATGACCGACCTATTGAGTGAGTTATGACCTCGAAGGGCAAGAAGTATACATTGACAAACCACTATTTTTCATTAGCTCGTCGCTTGGTTTTCAAGAGTCATGAATCCAAAGCCGATCGTCAGAAAAACCAACGCCTTAAGAGGCGTCTTAACATTCAATGTCGTGATGGAAACCTTAAATTGCAAAATGTCCTTGTGGGTGATAACGCCCAAATGATACGAAACTACTTGATCAACCACAGGGACATGCAACGTTTGTACCAGAAGATGCCCATCCATCTGGTGGTCGACAACATTAATCAGAGGACATTTGTTATGCGCAAGGAGAGGGATCGTTTGGAGTTTCGTTTGTCGCAACTGAAGAAGCAGTATAAGGATCAATTGGTTTGTATTTTGGGGAGGTTGCAAAATTATAATGAGATGCTTAGCCCTGAATCCTCATAGTTGGAAGAAGCCTTGCTGGAAAATCGCATAAAGTTTGAACACGAAGCGCTATTGGACGAGGAAGTTAACTCCCGGATCTTTCTTAAAAAGATTGAGAACTCGAACGTACGTCTAAAGGCTATCAAGACCATTAATAACACATACAAGAAGATGATTCAAGTTCTACTCCACGATGAGATATTCTATGAACCCATCTTGATTTCTCTGGGCGAGGACTTGAAAGATCAGAAAAGATTCCTTCAACACATACTCTATTTGGGCATTCCGGCCATTGCCAAATTCAAGGAGCTCAGTGATGATTTTCGCAATATGGAAACAAGGTTTCGGAATACTCTGCAGGCACAGATGCAAACCTTAACCGCTTATAGGCGATCTCGGGGCCCGTCGGCCATGAACTTCAACAAGACAAAGGAGGCGGCACCACTCAACGACATCAGGAGATATGTCAGGGAGACCAGGAGCATGATGATCCTTAAACTAGAGTTGAAAGCGGTCGAGAAAATTATCAAGGAGGTGAAGTTTGTCACCCTGTGCTCCCAGGCCAAGGAAATCTATCCACGGTTCGTGTTTTGAGTGGACATTCCCTTAAGATATTTGATTTGGTTTTCCTTTCTTTTTTTTAGAATGAAAAGCCAAGTGGAGAACAATGAAAAACTGCATCGTAAGATTGTTGGCTCAATGTTGAATCATGAGATGCTAAATACAAAAGAGAGGTGCGCCAATGTGCTAAAAGGAGTTCTAGTCAACAATCTCTCAGATGAGGAAATCAAGTAGGTGATTTTACTTTCCATCCTTCCCTAAATATACATATAGCATATATTAACAGACGGTTGGAAACCATTGCTGAATTGAAGAATAAATTAAAAATTGGTAGAGATTTTAAACAAGGTACTCTTAAGCATCTCGAAAATCGAGCGACTGCTTTCTTCATGATGAGGTAAACTTTTGTGAAGGCTTGAGAACATTCTTCTTCATAAATCGCAACATTTTCATTGTTTTTAGAGTGAGTATTTGGAATCTTTTGGAGATACTGCGCCACGTTGAGCGTCAACCATCAAAACGACGAACCAAGTATCCCAATTCCTATTTGAGGTTGCCGCTGCTGAAGTTTGAAATGTTCAACATGAGGGCCGTTGCTCCAGAAATATTTGATGAAGACAGTTGAGTAGTTCTCAAAACAATCCATTCAATATAAAAACGAGTCCATCTTTCCTTTTCACAGTGGATACCATCTTAAACAGTGTCAAGCGTAAAATCTACAAGCTGATGAAACTGTATCCGCAGGAATTAAGTTCTTCGACTATAGCGGCCCATGTTGAACGTTACCATTGCGATTTCTTGGCCAGTTTGGATAGGAACGCGGAGGCTGAAGACGAGGCGGCTCCACAGGGTGCTCCGGAAGACGATCTCCTGCAGGAGAGCAAGGCCTTCGCCTCTGTTCCGAGTCGCAAGCAGATCAAGGCCCAGAGTGCTAAGGTGATGGAAGAGGCCGCCAAGCAGAATGAATAACTTGTTTTCGAAATATTACCAATTATATACTTTAATACAATTAAAAATTTTTGGTTTCTATTTTTTAATAAATCATAAAGCAACTACATAAATCTTTTAATCTATTTTCTCTTGAAAGTTTTAAAAGATTTCATCTTAAAGACTTACCGTCTAATACAAATTCATATAAAATAAATTATATAAATCTGCCAAAGATAAACGCTTTAAAAGGCTTTATAAAATAAAAGTCTATACCATATGAAGTGAAGAATATGTTGAAAACATTTTTTTAGAAAGAAATTGTCTACTAAATTAAGACAAACACAATTTCAAGTTAGCCATGAAAAACTAATCTCAGTAGACTCTGTAACTATCCACACATACCCTATACCTATACATAACAACACTACATAACTTAATCTTTAAAATCAAGACAAAACTTTTTAAGGATACATACAAACATAGATAAAAAAACTTATCATGCCGCCATGCACATTGCGCCAAAGGGGACTGGCTTACAGGCCACGTCGCGACAAGAACCGGGAGAAGGATGTCCTGGCACCCAAGCCAGTGCATCCTCGCTCTCTGCGCTTCCATGGGTTTTTCGGCATATCCTACGTCAACCAGCATGTAATGGTCGATGAGCGTTGGACTCCCAACTCGCTGACGGAGCAGTTCAAGGGCATGACGGATTTGTTAAGTGAGTTGTGTCTTTCAAGGAAAATAGAGGGATATATTGACTAACCATTACCCATTATAGCTCGTCGCCTGGTCTTTAAAAATCACGAGTCAAAGGCCAATCGTCAGCGATACTTCCGCGAAAACAAGCGGCTAAAGCTACAATGCCGCGATGGAAGGACAAAACTGCAGAATATCCTGGTCAATGACAACACCCACAAGATACGCAACTTCCTCATCAACCATAAGGACATGCAGCGCTTGTACCAGAAGATGCCCATCCATCTTGTGGTCGACAACATTAACCAGAGGACTTTTGTGATGCGCAAGGAGAGGGATCGCTTGGAGTTTCGATTGGGCCAACTGAAGAAGCACTACAAGGAACAATTGGTATGTAATGAGAGATACATAAGCACTAGTTATTAGTCTATTTTTATATTATTTTTTAGCTACAACGAGCCATGCTCCAGAATCGCATCAAATACCAAAATGAGTTCATCTTGGACGAAGAACTCAAGTCCCGAATCTTTCTGAAAAAGATTGAAAATTCGAATGTGCGTCTAAAGGCCATTAAAACCATAAACAATACCTACAAGAAAATGATTCAAGTTCTGGTCCACGACGAGATTTTCTATGAACCCATCTTGCGATCCCTCAGCAGCGACATGGAGGATCAGGCGAACTTCATCAAACACATCTTGTACTTGGGTATGCCGGCCATAGCCAAGTTCAAGGAGCTAAATGACGAGTTTCGGAATATGGAGGAGAAGTCTCGCAAGAACCTCCAGGCCAAGCTCCAGATGCTGGCATCTCTCAAGAAACCGGGTGGAACTTCAATTATTACCTTCAACAAGCCAAAGGAGGCGGCACCTACCACCAATCTGAAGAGATATGTCCGGGAGACCCAGAGCATGATGATTCTTAAACTGGAGCTGAAGGCCGTGGAGAAGACGATAAAAGAGGTTAAGTTTGTGACTTTGTGCTCCCAGGCCAAGGAAATCTACCCTAGGTGAGTTTTAGGTTGAACTTCCTGTCAAATATTTAAACATTTATTTTCTGTTCGATTTCTTTAGAATGAAGAGCCAGGTGGACAACAATGATAAGCTCCATCGCATGATTGTCAACGATATGTTGGCCCACGAAATGCTGGAAACCAAAATGAAGTGCGCCAGCGTGCTAAAAGGTGTTTTGGTTAACAATCTCTCCGAGGAGGAGATTAAGTGGGTATCCTGAACAATACTATAACTATCTTATACTGACTTCTGGCTTGTTCTATTTTACAGTCGTTTAGAGCGCATCAAGGACCTGAAGAAAACATTGGAAAAAGATACTGAATTTGAAAAAGATACTCTGCAGCATCTTAAAAATCGAGCGGATGCCTATGTTATGCTGAGGTTACTACACTTACTTCCTTAAACTATTAAATCTAAATATTTTTGTTTTCAGAGTAAGCATTTGGAATCTCCTGGAGATCCTGCGACACGTTGATCGCCAACCAAAGTTGTTGCGGGCTCAGTACCCCAACTCTTACTTGAAGCTGCCTTTGCTCAAGTTTGAAATGCTCAACATGAGGGCCGCTGCTCCGGAAATATTCGAGGAGAACAGTTAAGTGGTCGCCCAGCCAATTTATTCATACTGGAATTCATAAATCCTACGTTCTCTTTCCACAGTTGACAACATAATGCATATGGTGAAACGAAAGATCTACAAGCTGATGAAGGCCTACACGGTTGAACTGAAACCGGCGACGATCAAACGTAATGTGGAGGAGTATCACGCCGATTTCTTGGCCAGCTTGGATATGTACGAGCCGGTGGATGCCGACGAGCCGCCCCCGACTGCTCCGGAGGACGATATCTTGCAGGAGAATAAGACCATGGCCAATGTACCCAATCGGAAGCAGATCAAGGCCCAGAGTGCCAAGTTAATCGAGGAGTTGGCAAAACAGAATGAATAATTATGGTTTATCTGTGTGACACTTTCTTTTCGGACTTCCATATTGATTAGTTTGGAAAACTGGCCAAAATTTGAAGTATTTCAATTGGTTGTGAAAATTCTGGTTAGTAAGAGACAATAAAGTTCAGCTACAAGTAGCTGGTGAAAAATTAATAAATCGTGAGCTATACACAAATTGCCCAGAAGCAGACAATGGTCGCCTTCATATAATTGATCCGAAATTGCTGGAAACTTTGGATTGGGCTGGATTGCTCTTTGGAAACTCTTGGGCTCATTGTCGACGCCCTGCAGTTTTTTGTAGATGTCGGAATAATGGCCAGGAAGAATTATTGTTCCATTGCCTCATCACATAATTGGTGGAGTTTTCCCAGTTTGATTTGTGGATTGTGCAAAGTGTGAATGGGTCGCGGTGGGCTGATGGTGGATAAACCTTCAGGTTTTGATATATACGAGTATGTATGGGCTATACAGGGTACGGGCAACCTTCTATCAATTATAGCGCATTTGTTGGCCACATTTTGTCGAGTGGTGGTCGTTGAATGCACCAATAGAGCCATTAATCATTTCCTGGCCACTCCAAAGCAACTTCCTCTCCCAAAAAGCTGCCCAAAAAGGTCAGTGGTTGTCATAAAATGTTCAAATTTGACTCGATCACCGGCGGATGGAGTTGACGACTGCCTGCCTGTCTGACTAGCTGCCTGGAGATGGGTTATGGCCTGTCATTTCTGGTAGTTTTCCTTTCAATCTGGGGGCATGGAGTGTAGCAGTTGCACTTGCCTGTCTATGTACGTTTCTATCTTTACTCTTATATCTGCGTACACGATATCACGCCGCAGTCAAAAAAAAAAATAATAAATACATATTTAAAAAAAGTCAAACAAAAACCAAAAACCGGGCACGGGAGCACGCGAAGCCCATAAGCCGCCAAATGAGGTTATGCAAGTCTCACATTATTCGCGGGCCTGCATGTTTATTCATATCCACACATATTCGAACATATTCACGTTGCCGTGTGGTTTCTTCTGTCAATTGTTCCCCCACGAAAAAGCCAGACAAATTGGGTACGGAAAGTGTTTGGTCTAAAGCCATGTTGATGTTAATGGTGGTGTCTGCCCTTAAAAGTTAATACTGTGGTCAACTTTCAACACTCGAATGAAATGCTTTTACAAATATTTTGAATAAACCATGTTTTGCGGTTAAATTGTTGTGTAAATATAGTAATTGTACTATAAACATAGGGTAGTTCCAGCATTCATGTACGTATTTTGAAGTCTGAATTAGCTGCATCATTTCTGCTCTGAATCGAATAATTCGATTAAAAATACATCCATCTGAGGTCATATTCATGATCATTATATTAATAAATCAACATTTTACGGAAACAGATTAAAATGCCAAAATCAATTAATCCAATTGGGCAATGAGAATAATTACGATGGCAATCAATCAGTTCTGCACACTTTTTATTGGTGTTGCTTCAGTTTTGTTGGTAGTTTGATTTTTTACTGAGACGGCTAATTATTATAATTAGTTGGTTTTTAATAAATGGAAATAACCTGAGCAAACATGACCCCATCCTGGATAGACTACGTGGTTGGGCCTAACAAATGACCAATTTGGAGTTAGTTAGTCTTCATAATCGAAACAATGTAATTGGCTTGAAGTAGTCAAAGCCCATTTAACCCGCCACTTTGCACTCTTGGCCCAAAACGACGATGTGCCCTGCAGTTCCTGGCCAGCATCGCTCAAACAATTTCCAGTTGCAACATTTCAAGAAGCCACAACCCACCGGTAGCAGCAACAAACGTTCGTTTAATAATTATGAACCTTCTTGGATGTTGTTGGCGGCAGCTTGTGTTTGAAATTATTCGCATAGTAGCCCCAGCATCGTGGCAACAACAATTGGTAGTCAGTCAACTTAACGCGGTCTGCGAAACTAGCCAATTTCTGTTCGTTTCTGCCTGCCGGAGTCGTGGCCAAAGTTTTCTTTCCTTTTTTTTATATTTTTGGTTTTTGTACAATTTGTAAAACGAAGACGAACTACAGAGAGAAGGAAGAAAAGCCTGTTTAGAAATAGTTGCGTTGCTAGATGGATACTCTAACTTGGTTAGAATGACAAAAATAAAATGTATTTATTTGGAAGCCTTTCGACACAACAGCTTAACTACTATGGTATATTTTGATATTTTTTGTATATTATATAGTTTTTTAATAATTTTTTTCTGTAGTTACCATATAGGAAAGAGTATCCTAAAATAAGATATGTTAAACAGGATTTACTGCATTGCATGCAGCACCCCTAGGAAATTATCTTGTCAATGGCTGCGCTTCAATTGCAGTCCAGCTATTGTTGGGCTTGGGTTTTTGGGTTTGGGCTTTGAGTTTTTGGGGCTTTGGGGCCAGCGTTTTGCCTGAGATGGACAGTAGCCCGGACCTGGCTGGCAGTTCCCTTTATTTTTCCTTGGGTTTTGGGAGGCAGCTTGTTTTTGAGGTGTGTTCCTGTAAAGCGCATGATCTTAACCATATTTCTTCTTCATTTGCTGGCATAATTTACATATGGTTATATAAGCAGTAGCCACGAGGGCACCAACGGCCATGTATCCGTTGCAAAACTCAGCTCCAACTGATGCGGCATGTTTTATTTAATTGCCAAAGAGTCATACCAAGAAAAACGGCGAAAAGAAAGAGAGAGTACCAAATCGAGTACACATGTAACAGTTAACATCGATTCCATCCATCCATCCATCTATCTATCTATCAACTCCCCGTGCAATTGGTGATTTGTGTAGGGCAGATAGTTGTGTCTTTTGTTCGCGGTCAATAGGTGCGTGTTCCCCTTTCAATGTGCTCAGCATGTGGCCCAGCAGCCACGGTTATTGATAGGAAGACCGGTACTCTGACAGTCATTAAACGAAGCTCATAATTTGTCAATGCTTCTTCAGAGAAGTAGGTATTACTTCCAACAATATTGGAGTCAGCCCCAAATAAATCTCTCAAATTTATTGGATTGTCTTGTGATGATGTCTCGGCGAAGTCATCAAAGTCACGATCAATTTTGGGCTATTATATCACCTGTAGAATTATGTATTAGCAGGTTTAAGCTCTTCGGTGAGTGCTTTCCTGTCACACCCATTTCTTTGGCCCACAGACCGGCTGGAGAACAAAAGTTATAAATAAATCTGTGTCACTGGCAGAGCCCAGAACAAGACAATAGGCAACGAAAAATAACCGCTAAATTAATACACCAAAAAACATTCAAGATTATGCAATTTATAGGAGTAAATGAAAATATCAAACACGCAAGCGAAAGAAGCGAAAGAATCAAAAGACTTAGACAACAAACTTGTTTCGGTTCTAAGCTCAGAACACGTTTCGGCGAATGATCTTCGCGGCGAACTTTCCCAGCGGCCGTAGAACTTTTTGGTTGCTTATTTTTATTTTGGCCAAAACTGTTAACTGTAAATCGGCTGCGGCATGCATATTGTAATAGTGTCATTTTGTCTTGGCCCAGTCATCTGCCTAATTAACGGTGCTTCATAAATATTCAAGGAAATCGCAGATAAGAACCTTAAGCCTGCCTTCGCTTCTCCGGAGATTCGAGTTGCACGTTCTGTTTCGTGTTGCGCTGCCATTAAGATTGCTGCAAGCCTTTGACTGCCCGAAACGGTTTTGAAATCACTCTCTATAAATATGGATTTCTCAACAGCTTGTTCGCTGTGAGAGTTTTGGCATAAGCCGCATAACAACCGATTATTTTAATTAAATTCTTATTCTAAAGAGACAAAGCTGCAACGCCCACATGCCAATGGCAAGACAAATACCCGAAAATATGTATTGCCATTGTTGGGATTGTGCAATTGTGTTGTGCCCAGGTGGAGCTCACTATGCAAATGTTCTTGCCAGCAGCAAGCAGCCAGCTTATCTGGTGAATAATTACCCAGCTGCAGTTATCAGAACACGGCCCGACCTCGGACGACCTCCGGCCAAATCCACGCCCAGACCACGAGGTTGCCCTTCAGCCCAGCCACAACAACCCACCACAAGCCCCCTGCAATTGTTCCGTCTAATGCAAACATTAGACACTTCATTTCATTTGGGCCGTTGTGGCTTTCAATACCTCAATTAACCCATCATGGGCATGGGCATGCGCAGCTTCTGTTTGTTTTTCTTTGTTTTTCCTCTGCCTCTGGTGTATCTTCAAGATACCTATCAAGCTCAACACTTACACGTCTATCTGCGATTTCCGAGATTCAAGTTCCGAGATTGTCAGTCTGTGCCTCAGACTTGGTCTCAGAATTTGGGTGCCATTGAGGGGAGTCGTGAATCAGTTAAAAGTTCTTGCAAATAATTGAAAGGTTCCGCAGCTTAGGCATACTTGAGACAATTACCAAGCCCTCGATGGCTTCATTACCATAGGCCGTAATATAAAGAAATTATCTACTCAATGGTCGTGAGAAATGTGACCCTCCAAAACAATCAGCTTTTAAATTATTTATAAAAATAAAGAGTGTAATTTATAGTACTTACGAGTGTATTTTCAGCACAAAGAATGTATTATGGTTTATCTCCATAAAATATGTGGGAATATTATGTTAGCTAAGTTGGAACTAAGTAAGCTACTATTTTTTGTTCAAAAATATTACAATTCAAAAGGTAGTCTACTTTAACACACAAATTAATAGTCCTGTCAATTCCTAAGGTCTAAATTATACAATTTTCACCCTCAGGTATTTAAAAAAATCAAAATATTTAATAAGAACTTTATTTACTAAAATAAAATGCCATCCTTATAAGCGGTACGAAAAAAAGTTTTTATTAACAGAGTGTGCTGGTACCGCTCGGTATTACATATGGACGTCTTTGTTTGGTTTCGCGCTCTTGATGGCCATCTGAGGTCAGCAAAGCGCCGATCTCATAGTCTGGAATGCCAAATAATGTGGCTACAAGTGTAGTTTTGAGTTTGGTTTTGTATACCCGGGACTATCTCTCAATCGACATCGATAGAATCTAGCCCGGTGGCTTTTACACATCAGTTGACAAATCTATCGGGGAGTACCCAATAGTTCGGAGCTGCGTTTGAAATAAAATAACATTCAGACGTTTTTGAAAAAAAACTGAGGCTGTAATAGCCCTTTCAGCGATTTGGCCGATCATCTTAGCGCTTTTCAACGCTATAAAAAGGATCTACGAAATGGAATCGATATTAGTCGATATATCCAAGGGAATTCTTAGGACCGTCTTACCGGCCAAATGCTGCAGCTCCGGGTCAATATGCGGGTTTCGTCTTTTGTATTTGTTGGCGGCTGCCGGATCAAGGTGATCTCCGGCAGCCTGCCGATGCAGAGGGTCAACTGCCGGCCCATATGTGGGGGCAGGTCCCTCTACTGCCTGCTGCTGCTGCTCCAGTTTCTTATCTTTTTTTGTCTCCTCTCCCTGGCCCTGGAGCTGGGGTTGTTCCGCTTCCTGGCCCACCTCAACCCGTTTGTGGCAGTTAAAGAAACGTATCCACTTGTACGGATTGAAGCATCGCCGCCCTGGCATCTTGGAGGGTTCCTCGAGAGCTCCGGCCGCGACCTGAGAGTCGTTAGTGGTCGGATATTGGGCAGGGCCACGGCGCGGCTGTTGCTGCAGCCGGCTCATGTCTTCCACTACGAAAAGGATGCCAGCTACTATAAGTAGAGCCACCGACAGCAGAATGAAGAAACAAAGGAGGTCCTGCAGCAGGGTTCTGAGGTAGTCCGGGCTATCCGCCCGGCGCCCATCGTTTGGGCTTTGTCTTTCGGCTTTCGAAAGATCCATCACAACAAATTTTGAGCTCCCAAAATTAAATTATTTTTTTTTTCACTTTTTTTGTAAATATTTTTTTTATATTTTTTTTTGGTCTATAAATTTTGATTTCCGAAAGGTGTTTACTGGTCAACTGACCCGAATGAATGAGGCTTATAGCCGGGGCCCGGACCAGGTTAGCCAAACTGGTAAGCATTAGGCTACTTGTTTCAAAAAATGTCTCTATTCCGTTTTCCACTGCCTGCTTTTCTCATGATAAGCTCACAACTTTCCCAACAACAGCATTGAAAATTGGTGTAATTGAAACTCTTTAACGGCACTTTGGCGCCCATCAACATGGCGTTTGATGTGATTGAATTATTGGACACTTAAATGGGCGGCCCCTAGGGGAAATGCGAGGCAGGCAGCAGCCCCCTCGAATCGGCTGAAAGGGTCTTTAGCGCTTTTGCCCATTCACACCTCGGGCAGAAATACCTCCGCCCCCAAACTCCCTTTCACCTTTCCTTCGATGAATTTCCCTAGTTTGGAACTGGCTTTGGAAGCCTTACATATCACTCAGTGCTAATGAAGATGTCTCTTCCAAAAAACTGGGACCGAAACCGTGGCATCGTTGCCAGCTCTGGCACTTCATTAGTCAGGAAGTGTTATACATGAGGCTGATGGGCTTGCTGCGATGCATGCCAGGGAAATTGAGGCTTTAATTTGATTATATAGACACTAATGCGGGGGGAGTAAGTGTATTATATAAAGGGTTGTGTTAAGCGATTACCAAAGAATTCGCCAGGCAAAAATTGAACGAAACTTATGCTCAGAAATGCTGGGAATTCTATATAATACTCTTAATGCATCCTTATCCTCATTTGAGGTCAGCAAAGTAAATTTCCGCAAAACCAGGCTCAATCAGAGGGCTAAAATCAATTAAAAGGCAAACGTTAATGCTCGGTTATACAATCAGAGTTGTAAATTGTAAATGCCCCCACTGGAGTTGACGCTCGGCAACTGATAAGGCCGGCTCTGTCCCCCAACCCTCACCCAGCTGAAGAAAACCAAAGCCCGAGTCCAATAACAATGGGTTAGGAGACATTACATAACCTCCAGATGTCAGGGCAGGCACAATAACCTACAAGAAAAAAAAGCAACCTCCACTAACCGACTGAACCCAGACCCACAAGCAGAAAAAACACAAAAATAAATAAAATACAAAACTAAACTACTAAAATCCAACGTAATACGGTTTGCAGCTTCTAAAGAAAAACTAAAGTCGAGCGGGAAAATCGTCGGGTCGGGTCGGGTTGTGTGTGGGAAATTGCGACAACGACAAATAAATTACAGCAACGCTTAAGGTCAACCGATTTGTGCAGAAATGAGGCATATAGAAAACATATTGCTGCGATCGCTGCCTCACTGATAACCAAAGAAATGAATAGGCCCTCCTCGACTTCCAACCAACTCCCGACTGTTAGCTGTGGAGTGCCAACTTCCAACTTCCATTTTCCGACTGCCAGCGAATCGTGGCTACCTCAATTGCTGGGGGTCAAATGGCGTTGAGGTAACGAGGCGAGCTAAATCATCGACTCCACTTGGGAGTCAACACGTGCAGAGTGTTCCATGCCCCCGGCGGTACTCAGAAACCGATAGACGAAACAAGAGTCTCCTCTGGAGTCGAGAAGCTGCTCCGCCAGAATTGATTGCCACTTGGGAAGGCCATTTCGGTTGCCTTTCTGCTGGATTCGTACATATAAATCAAAAGAATTCTTTTTTGTAAATGCTTTTTTTTCAGAAATTGCAGACTGCCATGATTTAAGTGGCGCGGTGGGCCCAAAATCTTGTCTGACATTAGCCATCTAGCCGGGGAGTGCCTCAGTCTGGGGTAAATCAAGGTGTCAATTTGGCGTGTGAGCTATTTGGGGATGGCATTCAGGTAGTTGGTGATCAATTAAATTCGCATTAGCCGGTCGATTATCTATATTAATTTAAACCATTGTCTGCGATTTGGGCAAAAAAAATGGTGTGAAAATTGTGGAATTGGAATAAAATAATGGTCAAGTACCCTTATGTTATACGATTGATTTTTAAATTGGTAATATGTTTTTAACAAATTAAAAAAAAACCCTTAAGCTAAGACATGATGTAAAGCTAATTTTATTACTAAAACTTCACCGTCTGGCTAAAAGGAGTTTCCCCATAACCCTTACCCTTTCTAGATGGTAATTGTTTAGAGAGTTTCATAACCCCTCGTAAAAATACTGCAACTTCCATAGCTTTGGTTATCTTTGGTCTTCGTGTCTGCATGTCTTCATTTCACCCACAGCCACCACAAGATTGTGTTAAAATTTTATTTTTGCATAATTGAAAAAATTTAACAACTTAAAGCAAACAAATTTTTTGTTAACTGTGAGCATTTTGTAATTTTGTTAGCGTGCACATTTCGCTGCCTGACCCATTCCCTAGTAGAAAAAAAATCCTATCCTATCCTAACAAAAAAATAACATTATTACAACAAGCAGCGTGATTTCCGGAAGTTGAAGCGCAATAAAGGCGCCTGCGCCTGCGCAAATGTCGTCGTCGTTGCTGTCGAATTGATTGTTGCTGGGTTGCCATGTTGCAGTATTGCAGTGTTGCTGCTGCCGTTGCAGCCCAGGAAAGTCGTGCGCCAACAGCTGCAACAGACTGTCCTGCCTTCGTGCGAATAATGTCATTTGTGTTTGTTTTATAACCAAATTTACAACAACTTGCCACTGCCGGTGACAAGATCATGAAGAAAAGAAAGCAATCATGGCCTAACAAGTACTTGGCATAATTGTTATAGTCCATGTCAATGTTGTCAATGGTACATTCTCTAGAACATTTTCCTCCTCTCTTAACTTTTGCAAGCATCACGATTTCTTAGCAGCTGTCTAACGAACAAAAACTAACTAGCCAACTTTAGGAAAGAGGCACACAAACCTAAACCCTTGCTTTGAGCAAACACCTGTCTCTTATTTAACACTTACATTTTGCAATCTCCCCCTAGCATGATTTTTATTTTCTTTCCCTTCCTGAAAAACAAACAAATACTGAAAGTGAATTGTAGCACTTTCTACAACTCTCCACTTTCGCCATGAGCTTTTTTCTAGAAGAGATTCTCATCAATCATGTTATAGCCAAAATTATTTTTACTTTTGACTCGTTTGGTAAGAACAAAGCCAACTGCTTCAGGGTCAAGAAGTTATGTAATCTTATAGGACACAAAAATCTTGCGTCAGATGCAAAAATAAAAGAGTTAATTCCTAATTAATAGGTTTTCTTTCTTTTCTTACCGCTGTTATTGGTGGCCACGCGATCTTACATAATAATTATAGAAATAAAGCTGTCGTGGCAGACATAAATTAGCATTATAGAAAATAGAAAGGTCCCCACTTCTTTTTTGGCCAAATGGACCCATAGCCAAATGGTGTTTTTGCCCTCGCATCCAACCCAAGTGTATGGGCCATTCTTTTGGCTGATGATCGTGGCTAATTTTATGCCACAAATCTTTGGATTTCATAAATCTCTGGTACTGGTATGGCGAAATTTCGTTCAAGTGGCGGGGCATTAAATTAATGTTCTAAAACAAAATTTATAATTCATGTTTAAAGGCCAAGACAACACTTCTTATTTCTTTTTTGTCGTTCTGTAAAAAATGATGGCTTTGTCCGGGCAACCAGGCAACCGGCAGTTGAAGTTGATTTAATGACCTTTTTAAGATGCTGATGCCGATGCCGATGCGGAGATGGTGGCATAGACACAGGTACTCTTATTAATTATAATATTGGCAGTCGATTTATAAATGCTTCACTCATAAGAAGCGCTAATTAAAGTTGGATTTTTTCCGTCTTGCAATTCTGTTGGGCTCAATTAATTTTGTCAAGCCTTAACAAATGGCTGTTTACTCACGTAAACAGTTTAGTAACTGGTTTGGATCCTTACCACAATTACTTTTGCTTTGCAAGGCCACACGTTTTATAAATTCTCTAGAGACGTTAAACTCTATAAAGTCTAGAGGAAGGCATCTATTTGCATTCACTTCTGCAGCATTGATGTCTTTATATCTTCACGCACTTCTTGGGCCTCTTGACCTTTCAATTAATCATGGCTAAAATAAATGTGTGTGAGTTTTCCACTTGAGATTTGTTAACGGTAGCTGCGGCTGTCACTCAGCCAATCAGACATGTTTTACCATAAAGTTTTCACACCGTCAGTCAGGTTTTTTGGCAGTAAGCCAAACTATATATGAATATTTAATTATTTTCGGCTCATCTATGTTTAAAATGCAAATAGTGTATTTGAGCATAAATTAAGGTTTTATTTTGGGAAAAGGTCACTCAACTTTGGACCGAGATATTTAAATTTTGTTGAAACAAAGTATATGTGTTATGCAAGCCCCCTTTGAAAAAGAACCGAATCATTCAGTCGTGCTTCAGATTGAATAATTTTTGCGGTCAATAGAAATGCGGAATTCGGTTAGCTGCCCTCCCCATTCACAAAATTAGAGCATATAAATATTTAAAGCAATTTTTTACAATTACCGAAATCGATTTGCAACAATAGAAACTCGACAGCATAATGAATTCAATATTTCCAATGACACAATATATAAATCGGGAAATAATTTCTCTCGCAATTGCTTTGCTGTCATCCAAAATAAATATCTATTTTTTTCTTTTAAATTTTTATCAATGGAGATCACTGGGTGAGTGGCACACAGCGCTAATTGTAAATTATGGTTTGAAATCAAGAGTGCTACCGGGAATACAAACAACAACAAAAATGACATTTTGGCCAAATGGAAAATTGCGTGTTAATAGTCATGCAGGGCAGACAATAGATGGCTCTGGGCTCTGGCTTTCTTTCAACCGATCTGAGCCAAACAATTGGCATCCGTGTAGCCACAAATCAAATGCTCGTAATCGCAACAATGAGCAATCGCTCACATTAGCCCCGATTGTTTGGCCAACTTTACAGCCTACTTTTTTGTTTGATTGGGAATGGGAGATTCGGGAGCGGTTGCAGCATCAGTGGCGCCATTGGGCCACACACTTTGATTGCCAGGCCTGGGGGACCTAGCTTCCGGCAAGTCATTCAGAGCTGGAGATGGTTACCAAAAGTCCGGGTATACTTTAAAGATTATTTAAGTTTTCAGCCACCAAGAATATCCATGTTATAGAATATCTCTTCTAAAACTTGTACCGTTTTTGTATTGTACCTGTTAATGGGTTTAAACCTTTCCCATCTCTGTCCAGGGCTGACCCATCACCGTGTGTGATTATCAACTTAATCAACGTAGGCTAATTGCTGTCTGGTGCTGCATTTGCACTTAACTAAGTGCAGCTAGGTTGGAGTTGCCACAAAATTTCCGCCTGTCAGCGACGGGCTCAGATACGTAGATCCCATTTCCAGTTTTTGGGGGCGGGGAGAAAAACGTGTGAAAATTATGAAACGGTTTTTTGATGCAACGTCGCAACGACTTGGGGTAAGTGGATGGATGGACTCCCAAAATAAGCAACTCGCCCCCACTCCCCGCCCACTCAAAATGTGAGCATTTGATTGTGCCTCTGTGGATTTTGTGCCGCCATTTGGATAGCAGTCGCTTGGCTTTGTTTGGGCTGGCATCGTCTCTGGAGATCTGAGCGAGATTTGTGTGTCCTGTCAGGGAGATCAAATTTTCTTTTCTCCGCCGCTTAATTTGCGCTGTAACTGCATTTCGTAGAGCCCCCCAGAAGAGCACCAAAGTACCAGAGTGTAGCAGAAAAATAAATAATTTTTATTGTGTTGAATTTATGAGTCATTGTTTGGCTCTTCGGCTTGGCTGGCTTTTTGGATTTTGCATTCGCCGCTGCTGGCTTTATCTTCTACGCTTTTGCGAGTTCATTAATTCTGCATCTCAGCATAATCGCAGGAAAGACAGGTATGCAACTGCCTTTTCCCCCAAACGTTTTCTTGCTTATCAGAGAGTTAGTTTTCCCCCCATTCCATTGATCGATTGTGCAACTTTGTTTTATAACAAACAGTCCACTAACTGCCGGTTAAGTTATCTGGCAGTTACCAGTATAATAATATAAATATTTCACCCAAGAGATGATAGACAGATTCGAATCGTACACTATCATATTTAGACAAATAACAGCTATCACACATACTTAGGTCTAATCGTACAATTTTCGCGCTTATCAATCACAAGATCACAGCCCCGCGACTTTCTCCAAATAAAATTAAATTACATTTCTATGCACAAAAGACGAAAATAATCCGCCAGAGAAAAGAAAACCGCAGAGCTCGAAAATTGAATTAGGTTCAAGAGTTCAGGATGAGCCGATGGCTCAGCTTTTTTGTGCCACAAATTATTGAGTGAGTTGTCTTGACATGAGAGCATTTTGGAATCCCGCAGCTTATGCAATGGGTTTGGCTTCACTTTAAAAAACAACAAAGGCAGCCTAAGCGTGTGGCGTGGCCGTCGAGCCCGGAGCTCCGAGGTTGATGCCAAGCTCGAGCCAAGACATCATTGGGTTTCACACGACAACGGTGTCGTCAGTGCGTCATCAGCTTGCCTTTGGTCTCCGGCAGAAACAGGCCCAACACAATGAATCCGAAGAAGCACATGCCCGCCGACATGAACATGGTGGCCGCCAGGCCCTGGTCGTAGATCATGATGGGGTAGATCTTCAGAGACACAAAGATGAAGCCGCTAAACGTGGCCATACTCAGGGAGGTGCCAATGGATCGGATCTGTAGATGGGAGGTAATCGTATGAGGTGTTGAACGAGACCGATGATCTGTGTTTCATAAACTTACCTTAGCCGGCAGCATTTCAATAATAATGATAAAGATCAGGGGTATTACTCCCACCGAAGCAATGCAGGTCACATAGCACATTACAATCAAGGGTAACCAACTATTTTCGGCCAGGAACTCCTCCGATGCGAAGCACTTCAGCAATGCGATCGTCAACTCGCCCAGCCCCATGCCCGCCATTGAGGTCAGGAGAAGGACTCGGCGTCCACATCGATCCACCAGAGCCACGGCACACAGGATGCTCAGCACCTGGACACCGCCCACCACAATGGTGCAGGTATTTGGGTCTATTTGGCTTCCCAGTTCGGCAAAGATGTGGGAGGTGTAGTTGAAAATGGCAAAGCTACCCGATAATTGGTTGCAAATAATAAGCACAAAGATCAGGCCAAAGACTTTCATAGTGGGTAAGTTAACTGAAAGATATAAGGAAACAAAATATAGATTACTAAAAACTATCCATAAACGCAAATCATGGTGTGACTAAAAGTCAACCCCATCACAGACGCGTTAATCTTTTATCTTGTAGATACTATATTCTTATGTAGATGCTTTATCTTACTCACAGAAATCACGCTTGGTAATTTTCTCGGTGATGCCGCCACTAAGAACCTGAAGACGGAATGAGTCGAACTCAATTTTGGCAGCGTCATGATTAGAGGCCTCTTTATCGCCGACTTTTGGGGCCTTGAGGTTCTTATAAAAATAGTAAGATTTCTCAGCCTGTTCATCCCGACCCCGCCGGAGCAGATACTGGGGGGTTTCAGCAAGACCAATAATAGCCAAAAGGAAAACGATAGGGAATGTAATGGCTATACAAGGCATCAGATGGTAAGAAAGATACGAGGCCAGCGAAAATCCAATCATCATTCCAATACTAACGTACATCATGGCCATGGAAGATAGGGCTCCACGAACTCTGTAAAATTGAAATATTTTGATTAAAATAATATTAAAGACAAGTATAAGAAACTACAAGATTTAAGATCTATGTATGTTATTGTTTTAGAATACTAGGAAGTAAGATAATCGCTCATTCTGGGGATTTAACTGCTACGTAACGCCACACTTATGGAGAATATTTCTTAGACATCTATCTAATCGTTTAAATAGTAGACAACATTAGGCAAGGTTCTTCAACCTAATGATTTTTTTAAAGGCTTATCGACCTCACGTAAAACTTGAAATAATCAACCATCTATTTGAGATTTGTAAGCCTTTAACTGGTTTCCAATATATATGGTGCCACTTACCCATTATCTGCAATTTCCGCGATGAATATGGGTAATACAACGTAGCAGCCACCGCCTGATATTCCGGCTAAGAATCGGCCGGCATATAAATAACCTACGTTTTGCGCGGTATAGATAAGGATCCAATAGGTCTACGGGAGTTGGAAAATCCATAATAAACAAAAAGCGATAATCAATGAGTCAAGAGGTATATTTGATTGGGAAACCCCTCTAAAATAATAATAAGCACTCACCATGTTGGGTATGGCCAGGAAGTACATGCAGAGTTTTCGGCCCAACCGGTCTAGCAGTAGACCAAAAATTATATTGCCAGTCAGAGAGCCCAGTCCAATCAGAGATCCCATCCAAGATGCCTCACCGATGGTGATAGGATCTCCCAGTGGACTGTGATCCGATCCCAGAAGCCTTAGACTTGGAGACAGCCATCCCACACCAACTCCATGGGTTAGCGTCATGATGTGCACTATGATTTATATACTTTCTATTAAAATTGTTCATTTAATCCACCTTAACTCCACCCACCCGTCATTGTGGCAATAATTTGCCAACGGTAACGTGCACTGAAAACACTTAATTTTTCACCGGCCGTCATTTTTGTAGGACTAAAAAAAGGCTGTTACCGGTTGGAAAGTCGTGCGACTACTGCAATATTCCTTACAATGTTCTCGTCTTATATTGAGTACTGAAAATCACGCCGAGATACGTAATCTACTGGTGAATATTAAACAATTATAACGATTATAAAAATCTTCAAGATTAGATTAGCGAGGCAAGTAGTCCATATCAACTGGACGCTGATTAATCTTCCACTTTATGATTTTTACCATTTGTAAATAGTTTTTGAAAAAAAATAAACAAGATATAAAAAAATATAGCCCTTTACAATTGTATTGTTGTCAAACTCTAGGTGATATATCATGTTTTGTTGGGGTGATGAGGCTATGCAAATTTTCAAATCTCTGTTGTATGTCAGGCAAGTCAATAAAAAAAATGCACTTGTAAATTTAATCGGAATCAATTATATTTATTGTTTTTATTTTTTATATAAAAGTAAAAGTATTTTTCAGCCTATGCTGTCTGATTTCATTTTTTCAAAATATAATGGTGTCTTAGGTAGAAACTCTTTAAGGGAAGTTCCCTATCCAGGGAAAGATGTACTACCTGTGAAGGTAAATGGTATACAGACTGCTCCTGATTAAAGAAGTTTGTGCTCCACATATATTATATAAACGTTTATGAATTGGTTTAAATATATAGTTAATTTACATTTTGAGTATAAAATACGATGTTTTTTTTTGCTTTGGTAACTCATTGTGAATTCCCAACGTAAATTCCCACATTTGTAGAATAGTTTCTTTCACTCGGTTATCACCTTATCACCCGAATGTAAAACTTGAAATATTCTGCCAACTAATGGCCTGCTCCCCATGTTTTAATGACCAGCTTACCTACTATCAGACATTTCTGCGGTATATAAGGGAAATACAACAGAATCGGGGCCTCCGGTCATTCCCGCCGACAACAGAGCCACATAAAGATATAATGCATTACCCAAAAAAATAAGAGCCCAATGGATCTTGGAAGCCGATTTTTTATTTTTGTAGATACATATATAAAAACAGTTGGGTTTTAGGTGTGAAATTATCATTCTTTAAAATGGTTTTTTATATAAGTAAATTAATTTTCCTCGAAATTTAGAAGGATTTAGAATTTAGAAGGTTATTAAATCTCTTTGACAAAATTGTGACCTTAAAAGAACCTAAAAGTTTCTACCTTTATGCCAATTGTTTGTTTTTGGTCTCTGGTAAAAATATTCCCAATATTATTAAAGCTACAACACACACCGACGCCGACATAATCATAGTGGGCCCCAAACCATGTTCCGCCATCATTATTGGATATATCTTCAGAGCAGTAAATGCAAGGATACTGAGCAGGCACATGGACGTTGAACAGCCAATCGAAATTATCTGCGGAAAGAGACTTAGCCAAAGTACAGATACGGATTCACATTATCACCTTGTTTGGCAAGAGCTCAACGACAACCAAGAATGTCAAAGATCCCACGCCCATGCCAGCGACAAAGATTATAAAGCACATTGTGGCCAGTCCGAACCATCCATACTCCTTCAGAAATTGCTTGGAAGCAAAGTACTTTAGTCCGGCAATGGTCAGCTCTCCTCCAGCCATTCCGCCCATGGAGCTTAGGAGAAGGATGCGACGACCCACTCGATCCACCAGAAAAATGGCGCTAATCATGCCCAGCAGTTGAGCCACCCCGAGTCCAATGGCACTTAGATTTACTTCAAAATCGTTGTTAAGATGACGAAAAATAGTGGTGGCATAAGTTACAATAGCAAAGTTTCCCGACATTTGGTGGGTGCACAAAAGCACAAATATCAGGCCGTATGCTTTCCAAGCTTCCTTGTTGCCTGGAAAATAATAAACATAATCCATAAACCTTATTCTCAAAAGTAACTTACAGTAGTCATTAATAGTCACTATGTCGACCGTGCCTTCGTTAGAAAGTCTTTCCTCAAATTCTTTGAATTGTTTCTTAGATTCAGAGTCTTCGTGAGGCAGATGCTTGTAAAAGTAAAAGGACTTTTCAGCCTTTTCCGTCTTACCGGCTTTTAGCAAAAAAAATGGCGTTTCTGGTAGAAATGTTATTGATATTAAATATATTGTTGGTAGTAGTAGAATTACGCAAGGAAGCACTTTGTAGTCTAGGAAATATCCCAAAATATACCCAAGCAGAATTCCAGTAGATGTAGCACAAACGATCGTTGACGTTAGAGCCCCGCGGATGCTGAAAACAAATAATTGCATAAATTGAACTTAGTTTCAAAAGTTTAAATTATTATCTTTGGCTTTCCACATTCAATGACTAGCTTACTTAGAGTCAGCAATTTCAGATATAAATACTGGAAATACTGAAAGAACGCAGCCTCCGGACACTCCCGCAAAGAACCGAGCCACGTAAAGGTATATTACATTTGTTCCAAAGTAAATAAGAATCCAATGGATCTGTGGTACAGAAAGGGGTAACTCTATAAAATGTAGGATCTTTTTACTTACAGCATTTGGAAAAGCTAAAAAATACATAATGGGCTTGCGTCCCAAATAATACAGAGGAATTCCTATGGATACGTTGCCGAATAATCCGCCGATTGCAATTAAACTGCCAGTCCTGTATAAATAGTTTAGATTTTGGAAAAAGGATTAAAAGGGGTATGTTAGTATTACCATGAGGCCTGGTAGACGGTGAGTTTTTCGTCTAGAGGTGTGTTGTCGGAGGAGAGGTAAAGGTACATCGCAGACAACCATCCAAGGGCCATCCCATGTGCGAGCATCATAATTCCCACTGCGGATGGTTATGTTCTTATGATTATTTATATGAGGCAAATATTTTCATCATACTCTCCAATGTGGCTATGATTTGCCAACGACAGCGACCCAAATCTATCATACTCCAAATTTTGTTATTTTTAAACTTGAATTCAGAGTAAACATGACAAATTTTGCAAAAATGTAATATTTCCGGATCTCATAAAATATTTATATATGGGGAGAAGTTCTGCCATACTGGTATTCATATTGAGATGTGGACTATAACTCTATGAAACAGCTACGAGATCCAAACTTAATAATAAAAGAATAGTAAAGACATCTTAAATGAGTTTAAACTTCGCAAATCGAGGATACTTCTATTTTTTCAGTTAAACTGGAAACCTATTGCTTTAATAATTCAAACAAAATGTTTCCGGGAAGTTATTACTCTACAAAGTTTATTGTACAAATTTATAAGCCTGAAGATTCATAGAATCATTAGTATTCTATCTATAAGTTAAACCGACTGAAATTTTTAAAACTCCAACCATTATACATACATACATACATCTTATGCCAAGTGTTTATTTTTGGTCTCTGGTAAAAATAAACCCAGTATTATGGCAGAGAAGATGCACGAAACCGCTGTCATAATCATAGTGGGGCCCAGGCCATATTCTGCTATCATCTCAGGATATATCTTCAGAGTAATAAATATAAAGATATTGAGTATTGCTATGCTTATTGATGTGCAAACCGAAATAAGCTGCAAGTACTGCCTGAGCAAAAATATAACAAAAAATGTATGGAAATGTTCACCTTGATTGGCAGTATCTCAACGATAATTACAACTGTCACAGATGCCACACCAATAGAAGAGAAAAAACTTGTAAAACACATGGTGGCCAGTCCAAACCATCCCTGCTCCTTCAGAAACTCACTCGAGGCGAAATACTTTAAGCCAGCTATGATCAGCTCGCCCAAAACCATTCCGGCCAAGGAGCTTAGCATGAGAATGCGTCGACCCATTCGATCAACCAGAAATAGGGCGATAATCATGCCCAGTAGTTGAGCCACCCCGAGAATAATGGTGCAGAGATGCAAGTCCAATTTGCTGTTAAGATGCTCGAAAATGGTAGTGGCATAAGTTAATATGGCAAAGTTTCCAGACATCTGGTGGGTGAACAAAAGGACAATGACAAGGCCGAATGCTTTCCATGCTTCCCTGTTGCCTGGTTAGCATGTGTAATTAAATAAACAATTAATTAAACCATATTCTTAAGTATAACTTACAGAAGTCTTTTGTGGTGATTTTCTCGACCGCGCTATCGGCAAGAAGTTCGTCCAGAAATTCTTTAAACTCCTTCTTGGACTCGGGATCTTCGGCCGACAAACCTTTGTAAAAGTAATAGGACTTTTCAGCCTTCTCCGTTTTGCCGGCCCTTAGCAGAAATATTGGCGTTTCGGGTAGAAATATAATTGATATTATATATATTGTGGGTAGCACTAACGCTACGCAGGGAAGCACTTTGTACGCTATAAATGAAGCACAAATATATCCAACAAGAAGTCCAGCGCTTATAGCGAGAAAGATCGCGGATCCTAAAGACCCACGGATGCTGAAAAGAAATTTAGAGTTAATATTTATTTATTTAATATTAAAGCCTATTAAAGTCTACTTAGTGTCAGCAATTTCAGCAACAAATATGGGAAACACAACCACACCACCGCCTGCGGCTACTCCCGCCAAGAACCGAGCCACATAAAGATATATTACATTAGTCCCAAAGTAAATAAGAATCCAATGGGTCTGTCTTGAAGAGGAGGCTATTACCATTAAACATACAAAATGTGTCAACTTACAGCATGTGGAATAACTAAAAAGTACATCACAGGTTTTCGGCCAAAGTAATCAAGGGGGTATCCCATTATTAAATTGGTTGTTAAGCCTCCCATACCGAGAATGCTGCCGATCCTGGTTGAAATTTTTTGGATTTCGTTAAAAGGTAAAGGGAACTGTAATAATAAACATACCAAGAGCCATGCTGGACGGTGAGTTTTTCGTCAAGAGGCGTGTCATCAGACGCAAGGAAGACATACATCAGGGAAAACCATCCAAGGATTATGCCATGTGACAGCATTAACAAGCCCACTGCGGCGTAATATTATTAGGATTATTTGAATTAGGTAACCAGTTGCATCATACTTTCCAATGTGGCTATAATTTGCCAACGGCAACGACGCCAACCCGCCATAATTAACAATTTTATTTTATTTATTTTTTTGTTGTTTTGAACTTTAATTCTAAGAAGGCATGACGATTATAGTGACTGCCATACTTGGGCTTCTGTCGCATATTTCCGGTACATTATGATTCTATAAAGTTTATCGCAAAGTAAACTTTTAATAAACGTTGAAATTCACAACACCATGTATCTTTTATCTGAAAGTCATTTGCTTCTTTTACGTTTTTTTGGAGAAATGAAAAATGTAAACAACCAGCGTGGCAACAAGCCATGTTGATTTTAGAGTAATCTCTTCCCATTAATCGAAGTCCAATCAGCGATCGTGTCACAATAAATGATTTTCCTGTGATCAAGTTATTATCCGAGATTCCTGGCCTCAGTTCGGGGCAGTCATTGGGCCTCTCATCGACTGTCTTGGCTGGCTGCTTATATCGATCGATAATGATGGGTTCCTGAGCTACCAACTATCTGCCCGACTCTGGGCAAAGCGACTTACATAAATCTCAGTTGCATTTTAATGCAGAAAAAACGGCTTTGCCCAACTGGCTAGAGCCAGAGCCCCATCGTGATTCCTAGTAGATGATTCGTGGCTGGAGAGCGCTGCACGGTCGGAGGTCATGCTCCGTGGTTTGTTGTGCAGTTTGTAAATGCTCAATAAAAAAAATATCAAATTTTTTCTGTGTCATTTGCATTTGCACCACTGCGATCTCCGACGATCCGTGACCATATTATAACCCAGTGTGGCACTTTGACAGAGCCATGGCAATAAATACCTCTATGCTGGGGTATGTCCGCTTCTTTGGTGGCCATCCCGGTTGTCTTTCATCATTAGCACACAATTGTTTTCTATGTTCGACTGCAAAGGTATCACTTTCGTTTGTTTATCTGTCAGCGGAGATAAATTGCAATCCAAAAGTACACAGCGAACTCGGGACTTTATGCATTCGAATCACTTTTCACCCGCTTATCTGGCTTGTCTCAAATTCCAATAGGATGATGCACCTCGTATACTAAATATAACCAGTTGGCTAACTAACCTTATTGTATTGCCTGATTCGCTTTAATTTATTTGTGGTTTTTCGGGTAGATTTAACAAGCAATCGATGGTCTTAATTGCCTTTAGATTCTTTTATGTGTATAGTATATCTTAGTATACTTAGTATATCATTTAGATTAAATCGAATTAAATAATGTTTTAGATATATCACTTTGTAAATTGTTAAAAAAGTAAGTTTTTATAAAAATTGGTATTCTTAAAACACTTTCAAAACCTTCTAAACAATTTTTTTTTCTTATTTAAAAAAACAAACTTATTCATTTTAAAACATTTACATAAAGTTTGACTTTTCAACAAAGTTTGAGAACATTTCAGGGATTTCTTTTTTGAATTAAGAAGATTATTTTTAGGAAAGACCAAAATGTTAATTATATTCTGCTCTACAGTCAACATTTATCAAACTAACCAAAAACATAACCAGCGAGCATTAATCACGGAGTTATCTTCAGCATTGATCTTGACAAATGTGGGTCGACTCCAAACGAATTTAACAAACAGCATAGTTTACCCCGAAATCGTGCCAAGAATGCAAGCAAATTGCCCAAGAAAATGCCACGCCTAGATATCGCCACAAAAATGAACAATTAAATCAACAAATTGTTACATCGAGGTGGGGAGAAAAAAAAGAAGCTGCAGCCCAAACCTGAATGAATGACGGCATGAATGGAGGAGTAATTGAAGGCAGCCAGTATTGTTCTCAGGCTGTAAGCACGTTGACAGAGCGCCGTGTGTGTGGGTGGGTGCAACACGCTGGCTGTGGCACAGAGTCGGGGTATCTGCCAGATACAAATACATTCGGTGGCTCAAACTCAGCCAAGTCAAGAGACGATCGGGGCCTTTAGCCATCGCGAAAATCGCACGTTTCTATGCAAATCTTCTTCGCTTTTCAATCATCTACACGACTAGACCACGGCGGCTTCTGTTTAGTTTTTTTTTTCTATCATTTTTGTTTTTGTGTGGCCTCTTCGTTTTTTGGTAGTTTGTTGTCTGGAGACGTTTTTGGGGGCCTGTAGGCAATAATTATCGCTTGCATTACGTATTTCGGCTGCTTCTCGCTTTTGTTTTCCAACTCGGCAGCAACTGTGTGGCAATCTAACTGGGTTGGCATAGAAAACGGGCGTTAAAATTAACGGGATTTAAATGGTTTTTCAATTTACAATAGGCCAAAAAAACCAAAAAGGTAAAAGGCCGCAATTGCACGAGGGCCCAACACCATTCATGCTTCTTTGATGGATAGTTTGGGGTTAAATATAGGCTAGATGGCTTCTTAGATGCTTCTACAATGATTTGACACTTTGCCGGATCTCTTTGCTCTCGGATCACAGCCAGCCCAGCGAACTTACCCACTGAATTACTTTTCAGAAAAATGGTAAAACGACCTTTTAAGGTTGTTGCCCAACGTTGTTCACAATGCTGCCACTGAAGGAGTGCTATAATACTACCTGTGTTACATCTGGGTATTATTGTTTGGCCAAAGCTGGCCGCAAAATGAATTAGTTTTGGCAATGAGATTGCATTAACAATTTTATCTGTGGGTGCACTTGGTAACGAAATTTTTTAAAAAAGAGTAATTAACAAATAGTTTTTTCAATATGAGAAGTTTTAGAAACTATTTTGCAAAAGTTTATATTGGGAGACCCTATTTGGCCAATATGCAACTCCTTAGTCTCTTTCAGGCATCTAAACTGAAATTCAAAAACTAATTTTTCTGAAGGATCACGTGGAGGCCCTATATTTATAAGTACTTGCATTAAAATCTAACCGCTATGAATTTTTTGTAAATTTTTCTGAAAGATCTCATTCAAAAATGGCTTAAATGCATGGAACGACCACATGGGCCCCTTCGAAGGCCATATCTTCACCAAAACGTATCCGATCCTTAAACGGAATACCTTTAATGATTTGTAGATCGATTCTCCATCAATCTCCATCAAAATCTACCAACGAAATATTTTTTCGATTTTTTGTCAAATTTTCTGGAGGATCCCCTTCAAAAATGAAGAATATGCATGGAACGACCACATGGGCCCCTTCGATGGCAATATCTTCACCAAAACTTATCCGATTCTTAAACGGAATACCTTAAATGATTTGTAGATAGATTCTTCTTCAATCTGCATCAAAATCTACCAAAAAAATATTTTTTCGATTTTTTGTCAAATTTTTTGGAGGATCCCCTTCAAAAATGAAGAATATTCATGGAACGACCACATGGGCCCCTTCGATGGCCATATCTTCACCAAAAACTATTCGATTCTTAAACGGAATACCTTAAATGATTTGTAGATTGATTCTCCATCAATCTGCATCAAAATCTACCAACGAAATATTTTTTCGATTTTTTGTCAAATTTTCTGGAGGATCCCCTTCAAAAATGAGGAATATGCATGGAACGACCACATGGGCCCCTTCGATGGCCATATCTTCACCAAAAACTATCCGATTCTTAAATGGAATACCTTAAATGATTTGTAGATCGATTCTCCATCAATCTGCATCAAAATCTACCAACGAAATATTTTTTCGATTTTTTGTCAAATTTTCTGGAGGATCCCCTTCAAAAATAATGAATATGCATGGAACGACCACATGGGCCCCTTCGATGGCCATATCTTCACCAAAAGCTATCCGATTCTTAAACGGAATACCTTAAATGATTTGTAGATCGATTCTCCATCAATCTGCATCAAAATCTACCAACGAAATATTTTTTCGATTTTTTGTCAAATTTTCTGGAGGATCCCCTTCAAAAATGAAGAATATGCATGGAACGACCACATGGGTCCCTTCGATGGCCATATCTTCACCAAAAGCTATCCGATTCTTAAACGGAATACCTTAAATGATTTGTAGATCGATTCTCTATCAATCTGCATCAAAATCTACCAACGAAATATTTTTTCGATTTTTTGTCAAATTTTCTGGAGGATCCCCTTCAAAAATGAAGAATATGCATGGAACGACCACATGGGTCCCTTCGATGGCCATATCTTCACCAAAAGCTATCCGATTCTTAAACGGAATACCTTAAATGATTTGTAGATCGATTCTCTATCAATCTGCATCAAAATCTACCAACAAAATATTTTTTTTTCGATTTTTTGTCAAATTTTCTGGAGGGTCCCCTTCAAAAATGGGTAAAATGCATGGGACGACCATTTGGGCCCTTCCGAAGGCCATATCTTCACCAAAACCTATCCGATTCTTAAACGGAATACCTTAAATGATTTGTAGATTGATTCTTCATCAATCTGCATTAAAATCTTGAAACAAAATACTTATTCGATTTTTGTCATTTACATAAAATATGAGGAGGGTTCTTTTTTAAAATTCTCTATGGTCTCTTACCACGTCTATATAAATAGCGATAATCTTAAGTGATGGATTTAACCTATTCTTTTAACCTAGCGAAATACCTTTAACTTTAAATCACAAAAGATGTCTAATTAGTAAATTAAACTAAACTTTTAGAAAAACTCGCCAATCTATTGCAAATTATCGATTGAGCAATTCATTACGATCGCATGCGGCTCGCCATGCTATTCTTAATGAGAAAAGCCACAAACTCAATGTCATTTGAAAGAAAAACATTGTGAATTGTGGAAGGAGCTGGGATGGCTATTAAAAACGAGAACCAAGTCGCCATTAAAATCACGTTAAGCAGGCAGAAGCGCCAACTGGATGGTGATTACGACCATCACTTCTGATTTTGAATAGAATTCAAAGTTAAATTTACATGAATCGCCAGGCGGCTTGTCGATGAACTAATGCTAGTTACTAGATAGATACTACCGGCTGTGCGAAGTGCCTGCCCCCTTGGCTGGTTGATTCGTGGGAATATTTGCGGTTGCGATTATTTGAGCATTTTTAACTCCACCACCACCGAATCCATAATCGCAGGCGCAATGAATCGGCATCTGCATCTTATGCCTTCGTGTGCAGAAGGAAGAAGAGGTCGCTGTCAAGAAGCTGAGGAGGCGGGAGCTGGGTGCTGGAAGCTGGAAGCTGAGGAGAAAAGCAGATGGAGCTAGCGAAAATCAAACAAAAATATTATGCAATCGACCTACTGCTCGTCAGGAGTGGTTGGGCTCCAAACTGCTTCTGCTGCCTGCCCCACAATCATACTCGTAATAAAAACTGTCCACTGTCAACTCTTCAGCTGTCTTCCCTTTTGGTCCATTGTCTTGTGGCCTGGTCTGGCTTGGCTGACCAGAAAATAGAAGCCAAGAAACAAGAAACGCCTCAAGTCAAAAAGTCGTCACTGCGAGCATTTCGAATCTTTAATTTGCGATTTTGTTGTTTGTTATGCCATCCACGGGCGATTGGTCGGCAGATCGACCAGCTCCCCCACCGATGACGACCGACTCGAACTCGGATCCACTCCAGATCCCCCTGGGTACCCAGTGGCATAAGCCCTACAAGTGCTTCCCCTTCCTCATTAACCGATGATGGATTTTAAAACTGTCATCTTGCTGATTGACTCGAATCCATTTGAATTGAATGAGACATTTATTGTCATTTATAAAAGTATATGATGCAAAGGGGACAGTCCCCATTATTTTGAACCCAATTAGAAATAATTTGACAATAGTTTTATTTTTGTATATATTTTTATCATTGTGTTCTTGATTTTTTAAAGAATGGTTGAAGAAATATTTGTTATAATTTATAGGTATAATGGAATGATTGCTTAATAGCTAGTTACAAGCCTTAAAAAAATATTAGGCTTTATTTTGGAATGAAGAATTCATTCATAAACATTTGTTATATTTATCTAGTTTATATTCTCAGCTAAGGTAGGACTTTTTTTTGTAAATTTTAATCGTTTTGTTAACACCTTTAACAACCTTTGTAATCAAAAAATTCTTTTAAAGCGACTAACAAAATTCCATCTTAACAGAAAATGTTAGCCAAATGGGGGTTTCTGCTCTCTTCCGATCTAATGCTGTTAAAATACGAAGACTGCCGAAGACTGGGAGCTCTCTTTCTTTTCTCGGAATCTTCACAATCAGCTGATGGCTGGACCGGTCGCAAAGACACACTGTCTTTGTTTGGATTTGCCTCTGCTTTTGGTATGGTCTTCGGGCTTCTTTGGGAATCGAGGAAGATGTGGCAGCGATCTTCGCCGTGCGGTAAGTTCGTCCGGATTGGAGTGGATCGGGTGCTTTTGCCTTTGCTGTGCTTTTGCCTTTGTGGCGGTGACGGTGGCGGTGGCTTTGCGAGCGTTTTCGCTAAACAGAGTTTCGAGTGGAGCTCAACTACTAAAGTTGGACGCCGCATTTGCCAATTGAAACATTCAAATGTGAATATCGTACGGGTGAAGACGTCTTCTGTTCGTCTGGCTCTGGCTCAAATTGTATTTTCTTACCAATCTGATGTGATAAATCATTTTAAGAATACTCAAGTGTCCAAAAGTGTTTAATGTTTTGAAACTCTTGTGATTTTCTCAGCTATTTTTTTTTTCCTTTTTAAGGATTTAAAAATAGATTTTGTATAGGAACAGTTTTCGGATTTTGAAAGCTTAAAAGGATAACAGAACAATTTCACTTCAAGTTTCTGTCGAAAAGGGATTTTTATCTCAACAATTTTTTATTAATAATTTTCTACTTTTTTGTGCCAATGTTTGGCCTTAATTTGAAGGCAAAACCTAATCAATTCACATTTTAAATGTTGGATTACCAATGTTTCCTGTCTTCATAACACTGAACATGAACAACTTGAAGTGATTTTGTGCCACCACCGAAAACATCAACTAAATCGTGATATCTGTGCATTACAACCGGATCCCACTCTAGCCCATAACAAATAATAAACCAAATAATCAACCTTAGTGAGACAACATCAACAGCAATAACAATAACGAAAAATATGCAACAATTTAAGTAATATTCACAAGAAAAACGAAAACAAAAAAAATAAAAACAGTACGAATAACCCAGTCGGAGAGCGGAAAAGTTGTCATAAATAAGTTTACGGCGAAACCTCTATATTACTTCAATCACGAAACTGAAAGCAAAAAAGGAAGCTGTGCAGATTGAGTTGCTGCCACAGTTACTTACCTGAGTTACCTGAGAGTGTTACTGCTCCACAAACTGACATTCAGAGCACTGCCAATGATGCTGATGCCGCTTAAAGGTGAGTGAGCCAGTATAACTTGGCCAAGAATTTCGACAGCTCATCACATCGACAGCTGAATTGCTTTAAGGCTGAGAGGCTTCTACAAAATAAAATGCCAAACGCATTTCGTACGCATGAATGGATAAAAAGTGTTGTTGTTTAAAGTCGTTGCCTTTCACAAAGCATCATCTTGCTTAGATTTATTGCATACGTAGTCCATGTAATTTTATAACTCCTTTTGGCCAGTCAGCTAGCCCAAGAGGCTGGTAAAATGTCAATGCGTTGTCTGCATAATGGAGATGCCATGTTTATGGTGGCTCTTGTGAGTTATGCAACTAAACTCCTTACTTGAGCACAAATTATGAATAAAAAATGATGATATATGAAAATATAATTTTTTAAACATAAATTTCCCAATTTTGAAGGTTGTAATCAATCCACCAGTCAATCAATTAAGATAAATAACTTAATTCATTTTGCCCACTGACCAAAGTCAATGCTATTAAAAATCTTAAAATAAATCTGGCTTCTTTTTGAATTCTTCTTGCTTAGTAAATATTAATTGGTTCTAAACGAATAAAATTATCGACAATTTTCATAAGTCTTTAATATGCCTAAGGTGACTCCGGTCCGATGATTAATTTGCAAATTGTTGGTTAGCTTAGATGAATAGATACAGCAATTAAAAGGTAGGCAAGAGCCTCAAAATTGCCGGCATGCATTTCAATTTTTTCTCAATTCTTTTTTTGGGTTTCTAATTTTTTTTTTGTTGGTTTCTAATTTTTTACTGCATAAATTTAGTGTTGCAAAATTTGCAACCACAATAGTTACCTCGACTTGGCATTGTTATTAACGAATCTAAGATAATGCTAGCGGGCACACAGTTCAAGGATGAACAGCAGCAGCAGTAGCCGATCAGCTCAGAATAAACCCTTGGGAGGAGGCTGGGCCAAAAATTCAAGTTAAATAGTTTGCAGCTGCAACATTTTTGTGTTAGATAATTTCAATTGGTGCTCAGACTGTGATTACTGGGTGAGCAGCTTGGAGCAGAGGGCCGCAGAAAGTAGTGCAGAAATTAGGAAATTCGTCTTAAATGTCAAGAGGTGGCGCAGTTTTGTTTTCTTCTCTAGTATCCAGTGCAGCCTCGTGGCGCAAATGAACAAAAGAAAAGCCAGGCCAAAAGAAAAGACAAATTTAGGCCAAATGTGTGACTTAACGTCTTTCACATCACATCGCACACACCTACACCTACACCTAAAGCCTAAAACCCAAAGCTAAAAAGAAGAAAGGGGGCAGACCTGCTTTTTGTTTTATGTGGCAGGAGGTTAAAGTTGACTAGGGAGACGAGCCGAAAAAAAATCCGAATCCGAAAATGGAAAACTGCCTGGCTGCCTCAAATGTAACAAATAGTACAATATAATTTTGCCCGTTGTTGTCTGCAGATGGCCAGATAAAAGTTCAAAATGCGAATTGTTGTTGCACTCCTAACCGGGTCTAGTCTGGCCTGGCCTGGCCAGGTCTGGTCTGCTCATTAACGTTGCCAGCGAAAGAAATGGCAAATAAATTAAAAAGTCATTCAAGCAACAATACCCGAATGGGGGAATCCTCTTAACTCTACCAACTAAAGCCCTCTTGTCCAACCCTCTTGTAGTTGTTACCTATTTTTGCTATTAGTCTGGTTGTTTTTGCTACAAGTATTCCATTCAAGTGTTGATGCGTTAACTGGCGCTGCGTGCGCATCGATGAAAAGCCAATGAGCCGAATCTGAGAGCCGGGTAAAAGTATCTAACGATTCCTTGTAGACGAAAACAAACAACCTCGCAATTGATGTTTGTTGCTGATGCTGTTTCTGTTGCCCATCTGGCTAGCTGGCCCTGTTTATTTTTTGCCCGTCTTCAGTGATTAATGAAGTGTAAATAATGTTCATGTTTTTGTATTTTTTCTAATTTTTATTCAACCTCAAGATTTCAACACATTCTAGACGGAATTATTTGGGGTTTTTACACGCTCGATCATTACTTGGTTGTTTGTTTTTACAATTTTTAAAGTCCATCTTAGGGCTGGTTTTAAAAAACCACAAAATAGAGGACAAAAAAACAAAAGACTTTGACAACGAACTTGCAACGAACATGGACTGTAAATAAAAACCAACAGTTTTTTTGTTCCAAACGATATTGTCAAATGTCAGCCAAGTGCACTTGAGTCATAAATAAGCCATTTGTCAGCTTTTTTCTTTTGGCGAACAAATAGATAACCGAAAAAACCAACGAACTTGAACTTTTCAAACGATTTCTGTAGATTTGGCAGCGCCACTTTATTGAGAGGGTTGGAGTTTTAAAATAAAATGACGAATATAACTTAAGCACCTTGCAGTGATTTATCAAATTTATGCTGCATCAAGCATTTCCCTAATCACAGTTATTTTCATGCATGCGTGAAGTGTTCAATTACATCACGATTTTAAATATGATCATTATAGCCATTTAACAACTAAATGCCAGCCGGCAGCCAGATTCTGAAATTGTTGCCACAAAACTGCGCGCTCATCGAGACACACGTGCGTCGCGAATTGCGTAGAGCTGGGATGCCTTTAATGGTGGACCCCACGATATAGCCGTAGCCAACTTGATATATAGTATATAGCACCGACCAGCAGGCTAAATGTCAGGCCAAGATGCTGACCTCCATGCAACGTTTTGGGCCATTTTAGGGTCTTCCAGCTCGGAATGGCATTTTGATCTGCCATGGTCTAAGGTGAGCATCACGGCGGAGAGTTGCCCAAGATGGTTGGTAGCTAGTTGCATTGAAATAGTTTATAGCATTGAGCTCCTTTTGGGAAGCCAAGCGAGTGGGGCAACATTGCTAATTAAAAGTTAATTTTAGATCAAGTTTTTTTGACCATAAAAATACTATTTTGCATAATATTTATAATTTCAATTATCAATGATTCCCCAAACAAATCGAGGTTTAAAGCCCACAGGAACAGGTTTGCTAATATGCTTTCTTTACTTATTATTGTTTTATTTTTTTTTAAGATATTCCAGAGGCTGTTTTACAGTTGTCTCAGAACCTGATTCCAGCATATTTGACTCAGTTTTGTTTACCTCTTAGGCAGGATCTAATTCGGGGAGTGACATCACTGTTTGGCTCGCGCAAAGGATGCGTATTATTTATCTAAGCGATCACGATCGCAGAACAGGTTATCGGCTGGCAATATATGATTCATAAAAGAGCATATAAAATATGAAGACACTAATGGGTTTTTATAAAAAAGGTGTCAGCCAAGGCTAGAATCAAAACATCCATTCTCACAGGGGGCTATTAAAAGTCGCGTCAATCGATAAGATGATGGCCACAAATAGTTCCCACTGGTATTTGGTCATTTAAGTTGCCGCTTCATGTATGAGCTATTATTACCTATCAAAAAAATGTATAAGAATAAAGTGTCAATAATGGTCTATTAGGCCACTACTTAAGAAGGCAACGTTCACGAATTGGTATCAATATCAACCACTGAAATCAATTCCACCGTCTGACAGCCAATTAGGGACGCCTACCACTCACATGTTTACTACTTATGAAAAATCGAATCATAAATCAAAGAAGTCAGAGTTGAATTCCGCATTTAATACCTCTATATCGTTTGATATTTTCAAGCACAATCGAACGCGCGAAGGAGACCAAATGACAAGAGCTTTCAGCAGTCATAATCATGTTTACCATACAAAAAAACGAATAAAAACAACAGTGAACAAAATACTTTGATATTTTCGGTAACTGGTTGTTGTTGCTGCTGACGCTTACAAACAGTCGCTTGAAAATGGCAAAGAGCTACAATAACAACAAAAGCATTTTTCTTGTCGTGCCAAAGTCAAGTTCGTTACCTGAGTCTTTTGTTGTGAACTTCGAATTTAAGAGTCTAGAATCGTGTTTCGAGTTAGGAACTTATCGCGTTGATTAACTTAATATGTCTACGGATTACGTTTTGTTGCCTCAAGAGCAAACAAAGATGTAATTTTCTCGGACATTTCCGCTTGGACTTTGTTTTCTATTTTCCGCCAAAGAGTTGCGAATGAAAACGAAATCATAACAAAAATCAAAAATGACTTTCATTTACGTAGCAGTAGCGGCAAACAAGAAACAATTACTCCAAACAATAAGCAACTAATTCGCATCTTCATTGCTGCATGTCTAACATTTATATGAAGATATTAGCATGTGTATGTGAGAGAAATAAGTAAGTACACTGGGAAAATTAATAAAATTGAGAAAATTTAATTTTAAAAACAAATATGTTAAATTAAATATAAATTTTTATTACCTAAACTAAAGTTTATGTTTTATAGTTAAACTGAGAATTACATCTTTTAAAAGGTAATGAACATTTTTGGACAAAATTAAAAATGATTGCTTGTGTTTTTTTTATGTGAGGATGGGTGCAAGCTGAAGCAATCATAAAAAGGCCATCATGACGAGGAAAAGCGCTGTGCGAACGAATGAAAAGCCGCAAAAACCCCAGTGGCTCAGATAAAGTTGGCCATTGTTGCTGGGTATAATTAAACAGAGAGATGGTTATTTAACCAGGTGACATAAATACACACCGCCCTGATAACAAACACTGACCCAAATACGCGTAATCTGGAATCAAAGTGAACAAAAGAACGAATCAAAAGTGCAATAGTTGTTGCTGCTGCTACTGTTGTGCTGTTGTGGCAACGTCAACGGCAATTACTTATTAATTGCCCCTCGACAGCTTGTTTGTTGTTGTTGGCGGTGTTGTTGTTAGTGGCACTGCTACTGGTTTGGCTGCTGCAACTGTTGCCGGCGTGTCTGAGGCCGACCGAGCTGTCATAAATTGCGCTTGCCAGCTCTGGCGGATTGCCTCATATCAATTGAAACTGTCTGAGCGGCGTTTTCAATTGTTATCTTTTGATATTTAGTATTTTTTTTGAATTTTTTTTTGGCTATTACCGATGAGACTTTTCACGTCTTGCAGAAAGTTATATATCTTCTCAGTG